CTATCTTCTATCTTCTATCTTCTATCTTCTATCTTCTATCTTCTATCTTCTATCTTCTATCTTCTATCTTCTATCTTCTATCTTCTATCTTCTATCTTCTATCTTCTATCTTCTATCTTCTATCTTCTATCTTCTATCTTCTATCTTCTATCTTCTATCTTCTATCTTCTATCTTCTATCTTCTATCTTCTATCTTCTATCTTCTATCTTCTATCTTCTATCTTCTATCTTCTATCTTCTATCTTCTATCTTCTATCTTCTATCTTCTATCTTCTATCTTCTATCTTCTATCTTCTATCTTCTATCTTCTATCTTCTATCTTCTATCTTCTATCTTCTATCTTCTATCTTCTATCTTCTATCTTCTATCTTCTATCTTCTATCTTCTATCTTCTATCTTCTATCTTCTATCTTCTATCTTCTATCTTCTATCTTCTATCTTCTATCTTCTATCTTCTATCTTCTATCTTCTATCTTCTATCTTCTATCTTCTATCTTCTATCTTCTATCTTCTATCTTCTATCTTCTATCTTCTATCTTCTATCTTCTATCTTCTATCTTCTATCTTCTATCTTCTATCTTCTATCTTCTATCTTCTATCTTCTATCTTCTATCTTCTATCTTCTATCTTCTCTCTTCTATCTTCTATCTTCTATCTTCTATCTTCTATCTTCTATCGTTTATTTTCTATCTTCCCTCCTTAGCCTTCGGAGATCTATTTTTTGAAGTGTGTAATTACAGAGTAAACAACGTGTACAATGAAGTTGATATTAAATGTGTACACACAGAAGTCTAAAAATGATTCAATGTGTGATGTGAATCTGCCGAACATAATGAGAAGCATTCAATTGTTTATGCCAAAGGCGGTCTATAAGGAGGAATGTTGAAAACTTACCACATATATATGCATATAACATATATATACCCATTACGCCTTTTTACAATAACAGCAACGTGAAGAAGAGTAGCTATATATATATATATATATATATATTGTATAGATATATTGTACATATATCTATATATACAATGCATCGATTTATTTAATTGTTTACTTTAAGGGTAGGCTCGTCTAGGCTTAGCTGAGCTGAGCTCCGGTCACCCCTAAGTAAGGGCTGAGGTCTGTCCCTACATCTGCCTAATAAACCCTCGCGGAGTCTCATTGTATAGAGGAGAGAGGTACTCTGGGCTACTCATATCTGTGTCCCTCTATCTATTCTGTATTGAGTATGCAGTGTAACTACTTTGACCTCTATTGTTATTTTAGTTATTATATTTTAGAGTCTTCCTCTTCAATCACTCCGCGCCGTCTGTCTGCGGTTTTTTGGTCTTTGTTTTATTTACCTAAGCTACATTTTGTTCTCTCTTTCTTCTTTTCATCTCATTGTGTTGCATATACTTTTTTTTATTTTCTATTTTCTATTTGCTTCTTTTTTGTTAATAAGCTTGTGACTGACGTTGACGTTACCACTGCGGCCAATTCTGCGGCTTATTATTATTGTGGATCCAAGAGGGATATCTTTATATCTCAGTCGATGTGTTGCGAACCAAAATGCTAAGGCTTGCTGGCGCATTTCATACATATATATGTCATATTAAAGCAGTAAAAGTGCTGTAGTCGGGAGTACCCGACTAGGAGATACCCTGAACCCTGCGCAGTGTTGTTATTTCATTCTGAGCTTATCATATATACTTTGCAAAAAAAGCACCTGCGCCACCTACGGCAAAGGGCGAAGCTGTGGGAAACTTTAGAAAATGTGCATTCCCCACAGGAATCAAATGATTGCTTATTATCAATACTAATGAAATAAGTTATCGAGAAGAATTCTCTACCTCTCTCTATTTCTCATTCGCATGGAGGACTAGGCGGACAGACAAACAAGATCAAAAATACATATGCTTTCTGGAGTCTGCGAAGCCTTATTCTGCCGGTTACTTACAATGGGTTCGGCGTAAAATACAAAAGCTAGATACAGACGGGAAGATAAACAGTTCTAATCTAATTGTTACTTCGTGTGTTCGTGTTGCTAACTGTAGAAGAAGAGGTATACAAATCGAATAGTCGAACATCTCTCAAGTTATTTTAATTGATCTATTTACAAAGGTATGTGTTTATAAAAATTTCAAACTAAAACCATATTTAACTAAATAGTTTTTTGAGGGCTTTCATATTTTGGTACCCGGAGACTGTTTTTGTGGAACATGGTGTTCGTGGTCCTAATTGTGTTTTCTCGCCGAAACAAAAACACTCTGCGTTATTTAATATAGACTTCCTTTCTTTTCTCTCCCTCTCGCCCTCTCTATCTGTTTGCACCTCTGGATCGTTAAGAGTTTGTTGACAGCAGTAATCAATAGGCCAGCCTACCACAAATCTCACTCCCTATCCGCATACTTTGAACTCGTGCCCCGACGCTCGTTCTCATTTGCTCTCTTTCTCTTTTGCTGTTTTTCCCCTAACCATCTATATATTTGGCTCTTGGCTTTCGAATATTATATATATGTTATTGAAATTATTTGAATGCTGACTGGAATTTTGAAATATGTATATATGTATTTTTAAATGTATAATCGCTTAATTTTGTAGCTTGAGAGATTCGAAACATTCAGACAGATGGACGTGTGGATATACCCTTTCTACACATTTTCAATGCGCAAAGACAATAAGTATTATATCTCCGAAATACGTATGCCTCAGTGTCAATATGATTTGTAGAGCTCAACTTCTAGTTTGAATAATTGCAATTTAGGAAATATATATATATATATATATATGATAATAATATATAGGATAAGTCAATTATTTGTTGGAAATACCCGCTGCAATTGCAAGAATCTAATATAAAACAAATTAACATTTTTCACACATTTCACAAACAAAAAACAAAAAAAAAAATAAAGAAAAAATTCTGATTCGTCACCTCCAGAAAATGATCCATGAAATTTCTACCCAATTTTAAGGACCAGGCGAGGAATTTGCTTTGAAGAAGGCAACGACATTCTTTATGAGTGTGCGAGGGTGTGTGCGCGTGTGTGTCTGTCTGTGTGCGTGTGTGGCTATGTGGGTGTGTGTGTTGATGCGTGTGACTTCAAAAATCCCAAAAACGTGTCGGCCAGCATGTTGAAATTGACGTTCCTCTTCAACCATCCATCCATCGAGTAGTCCCCAGTCCCCAGTCGAAATCCACTATGAAAAAAAGGAGTATGAGTACTACGAGGGCTTCGTAAGCTAAGGCACAAGTTCCGTCAAGGAAATGAGGTTTGAGTTGCGATTTGCTTACGATGCTTACGCAATTGAGGGTGGAAACGGCTTATGATATGGCACAATTTTCAACATTCTATGGACCGTTCGATTTGCTGCTGTTGTTATTATTGTTCTGTGCTTTGTTGTTGTGCTTGTTGCTGTTGTTGTTCTTATTGTTGGCCTCCTTTTTCTTGTTGTGTAACAGCTATATGTGTTTACGTAACTTAACTTATTTTCTTATTTTAAAAATATTATAAACTAACTGAAATAGAACAGCTACGAAAAAACATGAATATGAATTACTATACAAAATACAGCATAAAAAATAAAAGCAAAATAAAAAAAATTACATAAATACAATGTTATGGAAAATCGAAATAATTAAAATATGTTTATAATATAAGATGATAGCAAATGAAAAATATACTGTAATATATATAATAAATAAATAATTTAAAATGACATAATATATATATATATATATATATATATATATTATTATTAATATAAAAATATTATTAATTAATAAAATTAGATCACAAAAATAAGAAAATAAAACTAAAATTACGCAGAGAAATAAATTTTATTATTATTGCTTGATGAATTATATAAAAACCACAATAGAGATCATAACAAGAATAATAATAATAAATAAATAATGTGCAAAATAATTAGTAAAAAATGTATAATAATATAAAGAAATAATAAAAGAAATAAAAATAAATAAAAATATACAATTGTTAAGATATTGAACTTTCAAATCTGTATTTAGTTAGGTAGATATTGATTAAATTTTTAAGAACAAATATGGAGCTCCAAGCGATATGTACGGATAGGTATATAATGGACTGAATTGCTTTATTTATATTACTATATATATGTTTCGTATATATATTTTCATGCAACACATCTTTGGTTAACTTAATTGTAGATATTTGTATGTATTCTTCACTTGACTTTCCCTGTTATTGATGTTTTTAATGTATGAATTTAAGCATGCATTTAGCATATTAAGACGAACACGTCTGTATATAGTTTGCATGCAAATGCATTGTGTACACCTTATGAAATACTCCTTTCAAGTATTCTAATACAGGGTATAAAAAAGCCATACCTTACTTGCATACATTTACATATGGCTAACCATATACATATGTACGTATGTATATAATAAGCATATATATGTATGAATGATGACAAACGTAACCCTCCGTTGGGCTTTATTTGCATTTGTGTCTGTATATACATATATATATATATATATATATATATACATATATATATATATATATATATATATATTTATATATATATATATATATATGTATATATATGTGTGTATATATATGAAAAAAAAAGTTTTCCAGCACACTCTTAATAAGAGGTCCACGCGGCTTTTATTTTTGTAAATGGCTGAGTAACCTGGGATGATTCTGGGTCCTGTTATACCAAGCGATTTACACACACGAACAGTGTATTGTCATCCCTTTCATGCGCAAAGCGTGTGACTATCGTCGTTTCGCGTAACGTTAGCACAACTTAGAACAGTGCCATCCCGCTCTTGCTTGGGCTCGCATGCACTCAAAATGGCCGCCTTGTCGCATTTGTTGGTTGCCTCTGATATACGGTACTGCTGCCCTCCTCTGTGTCTGGGCAGGTTCGGTCTTTCGCTTGAGAGCTCATTATCGTTTCGCTTGGCTAACCAGTTAGTCGTACACAAGTTTGTTCACTGTACACTGAACACCGCCGCCGCAGTTTGATTCTTTTGCATTTTGAAGCTAACAAATTGTTAGGCGAAGTGACGGGCACGCAATCCGTGGCGTTGCCGCCGGGTCGCTGGGCTGCCCATTGGCAGATAGCAGATCGGCAACGATGTCTAACTGCTTTACAGCATACGAAATCGAAATAGAATTCGAAATCGATATCGAAAATAAAGTAAAAAATCAATTAATTAATAACAGACAATAAGTACAAAGAACAGAAAGAAAAAAGGAATGAAAACTAAATTTTAATAAATTAATTATAAGCCCGCCGAAAAATCGAAGTAAAACTGTAACGTAGTGTAAAGTGTAATACAGATACAAAATGAAACAAAATAAACATATATAAGTATATATATATTTATATGAGTAAAAGTACAAAATTCAACAACGAAATTATTGCATGTAAGGCTAGAAGTCAGTGAATCCGTATACATATATATATTTATATATGAATATACGTACATGCCCACATATATATGTATATAAATACATCTATATGTAATATAAAAATAGTCCAAATATTCATCGATAATGCATATACCATTCAATCGCACATAAATCGGAGTAACGGATATCATAATTCAAATCGCTTACTCTTAGTTATAACAAAATAACTGTATCAAAATGATGCTAACTACGGAACATATTATGCACGGACATCATCCGCACTCATCGGTCGGCGTCGGTGTGGGTCAAAGTGCGTTATTTGGCTGCTCGACTGCGGGTCACAGTGGCATCAATCAGCTGGGCGGCGTCTATGTTAATGGCAGACCCTTGCCCGACTCCACACGTCAAAAAATCGTCGAGCTGGCTCATTCCGGTGCACGCCCATGTGATATATCACGAATACTTCAAGTATCCAACGGATGCGTCAGCAAAATCTTGGGCAGGTAAGAGACGACACTGAAATGAGCAGATCTTAGACATATTATAGCACTATTAAAAAACCATCAGTAATTAGATAAGTTACACGGATAAGAAGTGCATTCATAAGGACAAGTGGCCGACTAGCAAATCCTTCTATTTCAATTCATGTACCTGGGCTGCTTCTAAGCGCATATTTACTTCTCGCTATGCAACGGCTGTCCTTGTTTATCACTTACATTTTAAAGCTCTTTCTTACAAAATACAAATCTTCCAGTGAGGAGCATTTTTTTCAAATGATTGACATTGATCGATATTAATGAAAGTGGAGAGCAATTTAATAAACGTACACTCTATATTATGCTCCGTTCCAACAGTCTAAATGTCTATTTCATGCTCGATATGAATTTTAAGCGATTTCACTGAAATGTCAAAATGTAATATACGTAGGTGTACAAATAGAGCAGTAAAAAACGTGATATTCTTAAAAATAAGGATCAATTAATTTATTTTATATAAAAATAAAGTATTCCATAAATAAAAATAAATTTAAAAAAATCTATTCCATAAATGCAAAAAATAAAACAAATCAGAAGACTTCATAATTCACACAGGTACACATGTATGTCGTATTCAATCACAATAGATTATAAATTTTAAGTAACTTTCGACTAAAAGAATTTGTTCCTTGTGTAAATTAGCAAAAGAAGTGTACTTACTTACTTACAGAAATTTGACTTCGCCTGAGCTCGAACTCCAGTCTCCGTGACAACACGAATCCCCTCAACCATCTTTCTAACAGACAATTCGAACTCAATTCAATGCAATTGTGGTTCTATTTATAGAATTCGAAAATGAATGAATGCTTGAGTGAGTGTGTGTATGTGTGCATACGTGTAGACCAAATGCCAGCGCTTGTCACTGCTTGGCACGTGCTACTTCTGCTACAATTGACCACACGTTTTCTTCCATAACTTTTGTGTTGTTTCTCGGGTACGAATGAAAGTTTCAACAAATAATCTGCTCACTCTATTGAATAAGAGGCGTATATGCCGATTATATGATAAATATACATGCAAGGCTAGTGGATAAATGTAATTTAAGTTTCTTATACGCTAACTCTCTCTCTCTCTCTTGCTCTGCTTTTCTACTTATAGATATTATGAAACAGGATCAATTAAGCCTCGAGCAATAGGCGGTTCAAAGCCCCGAGTGGCTACCACGCCCGTCGTACAAAAGATTGCCGATTACAAAAGGGAATGTCCAAGTATATTTGCATGGGAAATTCGGGACCGACTCCTGTCCGAGCAAGTATGCAATAGTGATAATATTCCAAGCGTAAGTACAATGACATCAATTCTAGATATACAAAATTCACTCAGATAAAACATGCATATACCGGTTAGCATTGTGAAAACAGAGTATACATTACTTGTCTTTTTCATTTTTTCTGTATATATTTGTACGTATAAACTCCTGTGTGAGTATGCTTACCTGATCCGTTTCTGCTTCCAACACCAAAGGCTTGAAATCTGACGAAGACCAACCTTAAGGATTCCTGTTGGGAAAACCTACAGCTCCCAAAGTTTTAGATTTGGTAGTTAATCTTTTATAGAAAACGCCCTTTTGGACGCCAGAATGAACTACGCTAGCTTCATATTAAGGAAAGCGATGTTTACAAGTAAACGTGAAAAGTCTTTCTTAATGCTTTCTTAAATGTGTTATCTTAAGACAGTGATGAGCCGTCTCCTTTCGGCTTCATGGCACAAACCTTGGTCTACTTTCAGTCAGTCAGCTTTAGATGCACTGACACTCACTCTGTCAATGTGTATGTCTGTATAGAATACCATTTTTATATAACAAGATAGTGAACACGCAAAAGTCAGTGCAAGTTGCATTTTCTCTGAAACCTGGAAGTTGTTCTGCAGGCACACTAAACGGTCATGCTATACCTGTTAGTGAATCGGTAAAATACCTCGGTGTTCTTCTTGATCGGCGGCTAACTTGGAAGCAGCATATCAAATCGAAAAAGAGCAGCTCGAGGCGAAAACCAAGAAAATGTATTGGCTGTTAGGGCCACGTTCTGAACTTAGTCTTGAGAACAAATTAAGGCTGTATAAGGCCGTACTTAAGCCACTATGGACCTACGCATTGCAGTTATGGGGTACTGCTAGTAATTCTAATATCGAAATTATACAGCGATACCAGTTCAAGACGCTCAGAATGATTACATGATCACCCTGGTATGTGACTATTTATAATATCCACAAAGATGTTAAACTGCCCCTTGTTAAAGAAGAAATACAACTATATGCAAATAGATACATGAATAAACTACATAACCACGATAATGCTCTATCACTAAGACTACTGGATAACTCAAGCAACTTAAAAGATTTCATGTCCTAGACCTGCCCCACAGAGATATATAAATATGTAAAGTAGATAAATATAGGGATTCATCTCATTGGAGCCCAAGCCATTCGGTTATGTATTATTATTGTTGAAAAATTTGTTTATTGTCTAGTATAAGACAGATTGCAAACAAAAACAGCAAAATTAAACAAGTAAGAAAGCTCTAGTCGGGGTGCCCGACTAGGAGATACCCTGATCCCAGTCCTTTTTGCGTGTATAAATAATTTCCGTAGTTTGTATCGAGTATTCAAAAAAAAAAGAAAACAAATAAAAAACGACATTACGAGACCAGGATTCGAACCCGGATTGTTTGCGCAACGTGAACCAACTTTACCAACACCGCCAAATTTGAAGCTGAGAAGCAGTTGATAATTCAAGCAGTATTCAATCGCAATTTCGATTCTTGGAATAGAAAAGAATACACGCATTTGAATGAACAATACACGCTTGGCGCTGCTGACATGTTCATTTGCAAATTGGCCAAACGTTTTGTTTAATAACTTCTGTTTTACTTAATGGATTTTAATGGAAATTTTCAGCATATGATATACACATCCTATTGGCTTGGTTGAGATGCAAACGCCTTCACATAATGGCCCTAGTTCCACCTGAACTTAAATTTTAAGAACTTGGGGAAATTTGGAGCCGGTATCCAAAATCCAACAAAAATCAAAATTGCATAAATAATACATAAAACTAAACACAAAATTTTGAGGCTCTAGCTCTTAAGACGTTCGAGATATAATTTATTTACTGCATTTCAATAATGTTTTTATTCGATAACAACTAAATGAAAATAGTTATCGAATATTTGAAACAAACTTGACCTGCGCGTGCTATACACGGACCTACAAAACGACCATACCCTATTTCAGTGGGATCAGGGTATACAAAAAATATATATAACAAGACCTCGAGCTATGTATGCCTAGATCACCCAACATATTCATCTAATTTAAATGATCTATAACTGATATATTTATGTTTAATATTTTTGAGCTTTTTTCAAATTTTATTTTGACCAGTTCCCTTTCTTGTTCCCGTTTTGCTTCACACAATCTCTAACCTTTCAAACACTAAACAATAGTAACAATTGAGAACACTAATTCCAATACCAAATTTAGCTGACCCAAATAGGGTGAATCTTATGTCTACAAGAATATTAGATGGAGTGACGGTTAAAAGCCGAGTGAGAGAGAGAGAGAGAAAGAGATTGCGAGAGAGCGCGAGGGTAGGAATTACAGTGCGTGCCATCAAGATTGAAGAGCAGAGCAGAGCAGAGCTGGGCTGCACAATGGATTAAAGTAATTTCAAAACAATGCCTGCCCAAAGTTTTTAAAATGGATTAAGATTTAGATTAGATCTACTTTTCTTCAACCGAAAAAATAGGTAGATAATTGCTGAATAGAAATTTGGCCGCAGATTAAAATAAAAATAATACACCAAATATATAGAGACCTCTGGAAGTATTCTAAATATGGATTTTGATTTTCCAAGATAGTTCCGAAAACCTTTTTTAAAATATTTCATATATGTATATATTCATATATACATTCATATATGTATGCAGATTTAATGTTTAAGTATTTATATATTTTGTTCGAAAAGCTTTATGGAACTTGCTTGTTTGCCCTCTAACATATTTTTTTAATGTTAAAAATATAAAAACTGTGACAGAATGATCCTTAAGATAACAATACTTATCTTCTAAACCATTTTTTCCGACTTGACTAAAAGATATTCTCCATAGTAGGCATGTAACATAAACCTGTCGAGTTCGAATTCAAAATCAAATAGCATGCTATATATTCTCGATGCCGCCTGGAATTGAGCACTGAGCGGCACACCGCCTCCAATATCAATATCACCACTTCACAGCTTGAAGAGGAACTCGCAGATTCAAATTAAAGTAGCTTCTGACAATACAACTTAATCGCAATTGCGATTATATTGTTAGAATTCGAATAATTTAATATTTTCCGTAGTTTGTATCGAGTATTAAAAAAAAAAAGACAATAAATAAAAAACGACATTACGAGACCAGGATTTGAACCCGGATTGTTTGCGCAACGTGCACCAACTCTACCAACATCGCCAATTCATAATTGAAAAAAAAAAACATAAAACAATAAAAAATATTTCATCTCCAACGTCTCGAACCCTGGTACTAGCTGCACACGAGCGCCGCCTCTACCAAGGCAGCCTCTGCACCTCTTGCAAGAAGAGTTGCAAATTTGAAGCTAAGTAGCAGCTGATAATTCAAGCAGTATTCAATCGCAATTTCGATTCTTGGAATAGAAAAGAATACACGCATTTGAATGCATGTGGCGCTGCTTGACATGTGCTTTTGCAAATTGGAAAATCCTTTTGTTTAATAACTTCTGTATTACTTAAGTCTGTCTGTATGTGTGAACACGTCGATCTGAGCTTATATAAGAGCTAGAGACTTCCTTGTAGGTCCGTGTATAGCGCGCGCATATCGAGTTTGTTTCAAATATTCGATAACTATTCGCATTGAATTGTTATCGAATAAAAACATGATTGAAATGCAATTAATAAATTATATCTCGTACGTCCTAAGAGCTAGAGCCTCCAAATTTTGTAATTAGTGCACACATGCATTCTTTTCTATTTGAAGAATCGAAATTTCCATTAAATTGTGCCGAATTATTAGCTGCTACTTAACTTCAAATTTGCAACTCTCTTTACAAGCGGTGCGGTGGCTGCGTTGGCAGAGGCGGCGCTTGTAAGCGGGTAGTCTCTAGGCTCGATCATGTCATGGTTTTTAATAATGAAGTGGCGGTGTTGGTATAGAGCTTGATGCACGGTTTCCATAAACAATTTGGGTTCGAATCTTGGCGTCGTAATATCGATTTGTTTTTTTTTTCTTTTATTTTTAATACTATTGAAAATATTAAAAAACGCAGATAGGAATGGGTATCTTCTAGTCGGGCACACCGACTAGAGATTTCTTGTTTAAAACAAACTTGTTATGCGTGCTATAGACACGAACCTAATCAAATTAAATTAGTTCAGTTTCTAATTGAAAACTGTAGAATATGCACTTTTATAGAACTATCATTTTTTCCTAAAATGCATACCTTAATTAATAGATAATAATTTTGAGATGCGGGCTGTACTAACTACTTTATATGTCATACTTCAAGTCTAATGTTCAAATATAACAGAATTTGTTCAAATACCATTAACAGTTGCATCCGATTTACCACGCTTCCAGTTGGCATTGGTATATCATTAATTCTTAGTACCACCCATGCCAAATTTGGAAATTCTAGCTCTAATACTGTGGGAGATAACCAGTTGAGAATTGTATAGCTGCAACTTTTACTAGCAGAGTCACAGCAAATGACTCCAGCTCCTCATTTCGTATCATATGCATCGTATGTTTACCCAACTCCAACTGTAAAGTGAGAGAAGTTCGTTCGCCAACAACTAAAAGAGCTGGCAAATGTTCTTTTATATCAGCTGCAACAAAAGTTGATATTTGCAACTTCTTGTATAAGAAGTGGCGGCGTTGGTAGAGGCGGCGCTAGATGTTGATAATTACTGGTTTCGATCCCAAGCGCATGAAGTGGAGGGGTATGAAGTAGCGTATGAAGTGGCGTTCCGTAAACAAGTTGGTCCGAAACTTCTCATAATAACGGTTTTTATTTGTTTTTTTTTTTTAACTTGAACAGACTATTAAAAATATTAAAAAACGCTGATGGGACTGGGATCAGGGTGTCACCTTGTCATGTACCCCGACTAGAGCATTCTTACTTGTCTTAAGAGTATGCTTGACATTATTAATCAAGTTATGTTATGCAATTGACCAGATCTTGAAAAGATATTTCTCTCTCTGTTTATAAGACTGGCTTGTGCGCATTTTAGGTACTTTGCAGGCATTTTATAATTAGCGCAGTAAAGCAGACCGGAATCGAGCTTAATTGATGCGAAAGGTAAAACACGTTTAATGCCTACTGCTTCTAGATAGTTGCTAACTTCACCATTTATGGGCCATGCCCATTTAAATGGGCATGGGACGGGGCTATAGAATCCACAATAATTATTATTCAATATATCGATGATTCCCAAATAATGATACAACATAAATATAATTCTCGCCAGCTGCTGTCCGTATATCTGTATGCGATGCAGCGCTCTGTTTTTATTGTTATAAACATTAATATAACTAAAAGTCTGGGTGGTATCTGACTTTGTAGATTGCCATTGGTCTTTAGCGAATTTACTATATTTTTAACTTATTGGCTAGTAACATTCAACAGAAATGTGCACAGCTTAAATTATATATTAATGTATTATATACATTGTATACATTCTATTTACATAAGAGCATACATATGTACATATATGTTTGAGAATATAGTGTAGACTCAAAGCATTTGCCGAATGTCCGCTGCATCGCTGTTTGCCTGCCATTAATCGGAACATGGTTAGCCGCACTTTGGTCCTTTTTAAGTGTTGGCACGTGTCTGAGGCATTTGGAGTTGGCGTTTCTTTGCATTTGGGTGCTTGTACCTCTCGTTGACATTTCTTGCGATTATATAATGAGTTACACGACTTTTTTGTATTTGTCACATAAAGAGATCAAAAGACATCAAAGGTTTGCTCTTTATAATGCCAATATACACGCTAAGCAAGTTTTAGGGGGGCCCAAGACTCTAAGCTCTGTAAACTCGACGTTACTCTGTGATACCTTTTTGAATACATTTTCCCTTCTGATTGTTGCATAGGCGAATTTAAATATATATATGAGTATGTATACCCAACTGACAGATATCTGGCCATCTCGTATCTTTAATATATTTAGATAATCCTGTTATTATATTATTAGTGTAATTTTCCTTGAAAGTCGCTCAAATTATCATATCACATGATATCACATAAGTCTATTTGTAGAGGCGAAGGCGGACGAGGTGGGACTAAGTTAAATACTTGTTGATCTTAGCTCTAAAGTATCTAAAGTACATACTATGTGTACTCCATCCATATCGAAGCGTTCCGATCTATATGATTTTATTCCGACGGCATTTTAATTTGCTTCAAGCTGTCAAAATATTCCTAAATTCATAAGCACACGAAACAATCCTCGGTAGGGGATGATGCTAGACTTCAAATTTTGAGAGAAATATATATATATATATATTATGGCAAAAGGGACATCCAGTCTGACCGATACATCCATATATATACTCGTGAACAATATTACATTTGTGTATGTATATTGATATAGTATCATTGCAGTTGTAGTAGATTGGAAAGTATATCAGCAGAAAGATTTCGATATTGAAAAACAAATATCGTCGCTGACTATTTACAAAGGCTAACACACGCAAAAAAGCTTTTAAACAACACTATAAACCAATATACTGTGCTTGAACTCTATACATGATGTACCAGTCTGCCCGTCGCGTGTTAAGTAATTAGGTTTAAATGTATCAGCTGCCTTGATCCTTGTTAAAAGCAAGCTCTTTAATGCGAAAACACACATACATATATACTACATATATACTTAGATATGGACACATACATGTATCGTGCCAAGCTGATAAACTGTTATTGCAATGTGTGTGTAAGTCGTATTTGTAAAAATGTTTTAACATGCGTATAAAATGTACACTCTTGCCATCTCGCTCTTGTACAAATGCGTCTGATTGGCTGTAACTTATAGCCAATGGCAGCATCTTGCGTTGCATTTGTGTGCTTCGGGGGTAGGAAATGGCGCTACATTCCACTACATTTACACAAATAACAAATACAAACACACATACACACACACGCACACGCACACGCACACACACACACACTTATATGAATTACCTTTTACTTGGATATCTAATGTAAGCGAATGTCCGTCCTTTGTGCCATTTTGGCTTTAATTGCAGGTTTCATCTATTAATCGGGTGCTGCGTAATTTGGCATCGCAGAAGGAGCAGCAGGCGCAACAACAAAATGAATCTGTCTATGAAAAGCTAAGAATGTTCAATGGACAATCAGGCGGCTGGGCCTGGTATCCGGGAAATACAACGACAGCACATTTAACATTACCACCAACGCCCACAGCAGTACCCACTAATCTATCTGGACAGATAACCAGAGATGAGATTCAAAAGCGAGGTAAAATATAGTATTTCTACTGAATTGTTAAGAATATGTATGTATATATAAAACAGCCCATTTAGCTAGCTAGCTTTTGCTAACACCCTGGTTAGGTACACTCGTAAACCTAAAATTAATCATTTATTTTCAATCGCATAATGTGCTGCCTCCGTGTCAAAGGCATTTGGCAACATCGATTTTTGTTCCTGCTAGATAGAACTTCTATCATCAGTTAAATTTAGGAGGGGCAATGGCTTATATAACCTATTTCCGACGGGCACTTCCGAAAGTTGCTGATTAAAACGGCGTATTTACAGGGTAGAAGTCCGTGTATCAAGGCAGGCACTGCCGACTCAGACTATCCGCGAACCCACTGGTAATGTTATAATAATGCTCATTTGTACATAATGCGACATGACATAGCCCATAAAGTATATATATTCTTCATCAGGACGACGAGCTGAGCCGCTGAAGTTATATCCCTCCGTCTCTCTAAAAATTTGAAATTTGAAATTTTTGATCGCGTATCGTCGTACGCCATACGCCTTCCCCTTTCCTTAATTTCGATAATAATCGAATTTCTGGACTGGCAAAGAACACAGACTGCAATGTTCGCTAATGCTATACGAGTTTCCACTTCAAGCTGCTAGCTCGAGATCACATTTGATGACAAACTCGCTGAAATCGAGACTGTTTCAATAAATCGAAATTCGAGTCCTGAAATACACATAGAACAATCTTTACTTTTAGACAGCGCTTGTCGCTTGTCGCTTGTCCACATTACTACAGGCTCCAATATATTCTTCTTTAATTTCCGAATTTATAATCTGACTTTGTTCAATGGAGGAGCATCCTCTGTAAAGTATTTTGTAAGTTTCAAAAATGTTTATTCTATATCTATCATGTTACAAGTAAGCAATTTGAAGACAGAATTTATAAAGCTTAACATAGGACTATGGCAAAAATGCATGCAAAAACCTCATCAATTTGTAGTAAACTCAAGAAGTACGTTCTAAAAAATTAGTCAATGTCTGGTGTAGTAGTATGTAATGTTTTGCAAGTGCGGATAACTTGAAAAATGACATCTATTTATAAAACTAGTGTGAGGATGACCCATTCTCTCTGAGGATAGTTCAGGTTTAGCTTTATTGTGTAACTCCTCTGTTGAATTCCAGGATAGATCAAATATCATGTCTAATATTTGACTTTGCGTGGCTTGGTTCTTATAAATGTGCAACCAGGGCTGACTTCCGCCGGCGAGACTTTCTATCTATGATTGGATACAAAAAACGACGTAATGTCTTAGTTTCTTAAATATGCAATTTAATAACAATGTTATCAAACTTTGTTGTCTAAGATAACTCCTAAATATTTTGCATTGTTGTGTTAATGTCAGTTGTCCGTCTATTTGAGGTAAGTACTATTAGATGTGATGTAAATATTTTGCCTTTTTCTTGTAGATGAGATTGAATTGAAAAGAAAGAATTATCCACCTTTTGAATTAAGCAATAATGGTGTTAAAGACTTCTCGGAGTGAATTTGAGATATTAGCTGCAAAGATTGTAGAGCCAGCATCATCCACAACATTCGATGCAGTGCATCCACTTCAGGGGCCATCTCGGATGTATGTGTGCTGTATACTATTGGGGAAAGACAGGAATCTTGCGGACGGCCTGCAGATATTCTTACGACCTTTGCTTATGTGCATGGCAAAGGAATCAAGGCCAGGAGTTTTCTTGGATGCTGGAAATGATTTGCTCAAGTTCATCATCATGTGTATTGTGAGTCATAGTTTGTGTTGGCAGCTGAATGCTGCTCAAAGTCTTGTTGTAGCTCTTTATCTTTCATATCGGAGAGGCACCTGGTCCGTCAGATGTTATTAGACTGACTTCAGTTGGATGGCTTTTGCTAGTTGACAATACAAATTCCTTTAAAGCAATCTGCAGAACTTATTAAGTAATTTTTCCCCATTTGGGTATTCAATTAAAGTTTGGTTAGAGTTTTCGAAAGAAACTCTCAATAAGCACCGAAGAAGCATTACGTTAGAGTTTGCAATTCGAAATCACTTTAATGACGTATGGGGTATTAGAAGTCATCGAGATGAGAAGTAAAGCGAAAGCAACCAACCCCTAAGGCATTTCGAACAGAGCATTTGCTACATTGGAAACATTTTGTCACAGATGATCAAACACATCGGACAAACAAAAATAGTTAATTTGTTGGTCATTTGTTATTTGCCATTAAATCTAATTGAGGAGCGTAATTCAGTCCATGAAGGATTTTTTGTTCGCCTTTCAATTGTTTTTGTTTACTCTTCGATCAATAAATAAGGCTGACATATGTCGCTTCACCCAATGTAAGTAGCAATGTCAAGCCCAGCCCAGCCCAACTCAACCCCATCCCTTTCCATCTCTCTACCGCACATTTGCAACAGGGAAACTACTGATGCCATGAGTATGCCATGAGCTCCTTATTGTGTTTTGTTGGTCCTAACAAATGTTCCGCAAAGATAAGCAAAAGCAATCAACGAAATGATTTTACAAATGCCACAGCATCTGCATCTTCTCTAAACAGATTCGAATCTATGAGAATGAATGCCGAAGTGAGATATGCCCATTGAGAATGGAAATTCAGGGTATATTGGCCGACCCCATTTACATTTATTTCCGAAGCGATTGCAAAATCGATCCGTCCGCCTGAAAGCGAATCAAAGTTCAAATACATAATTATATTACGACTTGAGGATATGGAAACAAATATATATATACTTGCTCGTTCGCATTTCAGATCTATATCCTGGCGATCTCTCCCACCCCAACTCCCATGAGAGCACCTCGGATGGCAATTCCGATCACAATTCATCCGGCGATGAGGATTCCCAAATGCGTCTGCGACTGAAGCGCAAATTGCAGCGTAATCGGACTTCATTTACCAACGAGCAAATCGACAGCTTGGAGAAAGGTAAGAACGTTCAGGGTTGACCTTCAATGGACACAAACAAATATACTCATGAATCATATATAATATTCGCCTCAGAATTCGAACGGACGCACTATCCGGATGTCTTCGCACGGGAGAGGCTTGCAGAAAAAATTGGTTTGCCAGAGGCACGTATTCAGGTTTGTCTTTCCGTTTTGTTTAATTCTTTTCATTTAAGATCTGTTTGAAGTCAATTTTCAATTAAGTGTTTTCTTTTTGACCTTTTATAATATTTCTATTTGTGTTTTCTATTTAGTTCAGTTATTCTTCAGTTATTCTTCCCTCTCTCCGTCACCCCCTCTCGCCCCTGTCTCTGCCTCTCTATCTCAACCAGGGTATTTGGAAAGTCTTGACATTTCGAGAAATAATATTGAGCTGAGCTAAGACCGTAGCAGAGGGTGCTACATATAGATTGAGTTCTTCGGCCCTTTATTTTGGCTGAATTTTATTTTAACGATTGTCTGAAGTGATTACCCGTGGCTTTTAGCCACGAGCGACTAGCCACGAACGACTAGCCACGAGAATGAAAACGAACCCTCGAGCTCGAACTCGAACTCGAACTTGGTTCACGCACCCCTCTAATTATTTGTTATTAATGTTTTTTTTTCATGCTTCGGCTGTGTTGTGCTCGCCTCTCGTGATACTATTATTATTTGTGTAACTTAATAAAAACAATTTGACTGTGAAAACACTTGAAACTACTTGTGATTCTGCAAGCAAACTGCTCTCAAGTGTTTTGTCAAGCAGCACCAAAATCTGATGATGGACAGGGAGCCGCAATTCGCGCAAAAAAATAATAAATTTCATGGATGAAAGTATAAAGGCAAATATCAAATATTTCCGAGCCCATTCACAGCTACAGTCATAGCCTCAGCCACAGCCCTTTTGTCACCGAGCTCAGGCAAAAGGGTCTCATTCGACTCCCTCGACTGATGCGATAATGCTTAAACTTCATTACATGTCAAAATCGGGTATGTATGTATGTTGTTGTACAGAGATACCCTTGTATATTGAGCGAAAGAGGGTATTATGTTTTTGGCATCAAGTATGTAACTCACTGAATACACACTCGACTTTTCGAACTGAGTTGTAATGGATCCTTTGTGGAGAGAGTTAGAGAAAAGCCTTTCTGAGAGAAATATCCCATGGTGTCTGTATATGAGGCATATATATAAGATCGAAATCAATTTTCATCCTAATTAGACTGCAATTGTTCCATAAGTTCAGGCATATACTTATATCCAGTTTTGGAAGGGTATTCAATCGTCGTTGTGAGCTTCGTTCTGCTTTCTGCTGACTGCTTTCTGTGTGTTTTTATTACTTCACTAGGTAAATAGCCATGAAGCGAATGGCGTTTGCAAGCATTTATAAATGTCAAGCGCAATTTCATTATGTGAAAATATGGAAGTCGAAACAAGTGCTTCCATGAAGCTTCCATGACCAAGTACTTTTCACTCCATTGTGCTTCACTCTGTTGTGCTAATAATTCAACGATTCGATCTGACTACACCATAACAGAGGGTTACAATTTTTAAAAGCTCACAATTGCTACAAAAATGTAGTTTCACTTTTACAACTGATGAGCGAAGTCAGAATCGGGAAATACTATTTTCGGTATATAATAATTTAAGGCCCCGGAAGAACTTCATAGCTTGTGCATCTAATACAAATGTAATTTGTTTCCTACTTTAGATATCGGCTAAAAAATCCACAGAATCAGCTCAGTCTAAGGTCTGAATGCATCTGAATGCGGATCTTGGTATCTTAGAATACGTTCTAACGCTAGAGGTCGCCTTATATCTATATATCTATATCTATATCTATATATATATATATCTATCTTATATCTATAAATAGGAAATCGCAAGCTTCTGTGCTGTGCTGTTGCTGTTCAGCTCCTGGGGTTGTGGGGATGGCAAATGTGATCTGATATCGTCTCTTTCTACAACTTTTATTTTATTTATGTGCACCTTCTCGATATGTTCTCCCTCTCACTGCCCACAATTCTATTCATAATAATTTGAGAATCTTATATCTTTTCTTAAATTTAGGTGTGGTTCTCCAATCGGCGGGCCAAATGGCGACGAGAAGAGAAGCTGCGCACCCAAAGGCGATCGGTGGATAATGTGGGCGGCGGAGCTGTGATTAGCGGTCGTACAAGCTCCAATAATCTCACCTCTGGCAGCTCGGCACCTGCCAATGGCACTGCGGCAAACAGTTCGACGCCCAGCATCGGCAGCTCGGCCGTATCAGACGGCACAACAGTAGCAGCACATGCAACTGGCAACAACAACAACAACAGTCTAACCGAAACTTCTAGTGGGCCAACAGTAAATATACAATTGAATTCTCTTATCTGTTTGAGATAGCTCGAGAGATCGTTAAGCAGTCCTAGAACAATCCTTGAGACTGCGCTCCGGCTGATCTGTTGATAGCGATGCCCCCTTTCGTGTTCCTTGTCTGTCTTTCGTCTGTCCTTTACTTGCCAGCGGATTACGCTTCCCACAATTCTCTTCGTGTTTGAGTTCGATCTTACATCCTGTGATAGCTAGAGATTTGAAATTGGTTACATTGATCCTTCTAAAGCATGAAGTGCACAAAATATTCAGGATGTGATCGGCTGGGACTCCAGATATACCTTAATCGGCCAATCCCGCCTATAGCATCTGACATGGCTTCTTCATTCTCTCTTTTACTAATCTTTTGCAACATTCTACTTACAGATACACGGAGGCGAGGCCGGCAGTAATGCTCATAACAACTCCGAGAGCCCACCTTTGCAAGCCGTGGCACCCCGTCTACCTTTAAACACCGGTTTCAACACAATGTACTCATCCATCCCGCAACCAATCGCAACTATGGCAGAAAACTACAAGTAATTCCCAAATTATCAATCTTTAGTATACCCTGGAGCCCGGTGCAAATAGAAAGACCCAATATAAAATGCACATATATAGATATCTCTTCTGAAATAATAATAGACAAATATGTAAATGGGTAAAGGTTATTCAATCAGTGGGCTTTACGCCCACAATGTGTGTGCGTTATGCATGCGTGTGTGTGTGCGTGTTTTTTTTGTAATCTTTTGTTTGCACTTAAAGTATACTACATTTTACATATTTTCAATAAGTATAAGGTAGAGCATGAGGCTTGCGGTACGGCCGTAAAGCATTGTTTCGTAAGCACTTTGCGCTACTTTAACCGGGGGAAATGCTCCTTCTACTGCGCTCGACTCTACGCAGTTCCAGCATTGTGGTTGCTGCGAAGGAACTAACTAGGGTCCAGGTTATCTTAGACTCCACTCTGATGGGTCGGCCTAGAGTTTCCTCGAGACTCGTTATGTGGTTGGCGTCGTCCACTAGCCCTCTTTCGCACCAGGAACACTCGCCAGTATCCTCATGGCCAAACCGCTTCAGGTAGCTGCGGAAAATATCCATGGCCAGAAAGAATCTGTGAAAGTTAAAAATTCGTATTACCGTGCTTACGATTAATCCATAGAGCGATGCTATTTAGTGTTATTTGTGCTCGGGAATTCCGCTCTGCGGCCTCGGTGACCAGGGTCTTCTAGGTCTTCTAGTCGTACCATTCCTGCTAGGACGAACGCCGCTTCTTCTCAGACTGTTCTGAAGGCACATCTGACTCGGATTGCGTTCAATCGGTACGTGGTGCAAATACCTCGGCTGTAACTATGAGTGTTCATTGCTCTCGACCAGATTGGCGCTGCCTAAAGGATGGCGGACCTTATGACGCTTATGACTTGCTTCGCTCCCCTTGTATTCAGCATTATTCTAGAGAGAGCTCTGCAGGAATCAGCAGCTTTTTGCTGCACATATTCCAAGTGCTCGCGAAAAGTCATTACTGTGTCCAGCATGACGCCAAGATACTTTATCGCTCTCCTTGACTCAATGATGGTTCTGCCAATCCTTATGTGGGAAGTTTCCACTCTCTTACGGCTGCTGACAAGGACGGCTTCAGTTTTATGAGCTCCTGCTGCTATTAACCAATCTCGGATGCACATATCCGCTGTATCCTTAAGCTCCTTTCCTATGGTAACGACGGCTACGGTGTGAGCCTGAGTGTAGATCTAGGCGCAGTACTCCATCATACAACGCATTCCATATGAGAGGCCCCAGTACTGATCCTTGGGGGACTCTGGCAGACACTCGTGCCTTGGAAGTAGCTCTTAATTATTTCTCCTAGATATTTAGGGATATTGTATTGTGCCAGAGTATCGAGTATCACATCCCAGGCGTCCGATGTTGATCTAACCTCTCTGAAGCCAAATTGGTTTGGAGATAGAGTGTGTGTGTGTGTGGCTGAGTGTGTGGGTGTGTTTGTGTATGGCTATGTATGTAAAAAACCATAGAATCAGACTGTAGCTCTGAGCAACGCTTCGGGTATCTGCTAGTCAGGCACTCCCGACTAGAACACTCTTATTTGCTATACGTATGTATGTAGTCCACACATCTGAAGCTGGAGCTCGTGTTGAAATATGTGTTCTGCTTTTCCCACTTTACCCAGCTCTATGACGTCGTCGTTGAGTTCGATGACGCCGACATGCTTGCAACAAAGGGATAGTTATCCATATATGTTCCACGATCCACTGTCCCTGGGATCTCCCTATGCGGCCCATCCACGGAACACCGCCTGCAATCCTGCAGCCGCTCATCAACAGCCGCCACAACATGGAGTTTACGGCAACGGCTCGGCAGTTGGCACAGCCAATACAGGTAATATATATGATATATATACTTAATTTAATTTTTTTTCACCCTTTGAAGACCGTTTCCGAGTTATGCAAGGGATACAAAAATATATCAAGCAATCTCGCATCTAACTTCAAATTAGTCTGGTATATCGTTGTTAGACATTTCCGGCTAGATCACTCTTACGTGAAGGGCTACGGCAGAAGGGCTACATGGAGCATTTGCCAGACAGTCGGTCAGAGACTTACTCATAAATTAAACTCGCTTCTATTTCAGGTGTAATATCTGCGGGCGTTTCGGTACCTGTACAAATATCGACACAAAATGTCTCCGATTTGGCAGGCAGCAATTATTGGCCGAGGCTTCAGTGATCTTCAATCTTTAATTTGCCCAGCGAGCTGCTGTCGAAAGCTGCAGCAGCAGCCGCTGTCGCGGTAGCACACGTTGTCGAGGAAACAGTTGCAAACAGCACCGTCAGCTGCAGCAAGTCGTCAATGGATAACCCACCAATGCTATTGCCACAAATAGCACCAACATCATCAGCATCAGCATCAGCATCTCCAGCAGCAGCAGCAGCAGCAGCAGCAGCAGCGGCAGCAGCAGCAGCAAAAGCAGCAGCAGCGGCAACCTCGCCATCATCTTTATATTTCAATTTAGCTGAAACAGCGGCCCTCAGTCAAAACTTCACACCACCTACAACACCGTCCGGAACATCCACCGCCCACGTCCATGACCCCGCCCTCGCCCCTGCCACCTCCGGTACAGCCACAGCATTCATTCACTCCAATCATTCAACTGGTTCGCCCATCTTTCAACATGCTTTCCATCACACGTCAACGTATAGTCATCCTCTCTTGTGAGCGGCCTCTACATCTTGAGAATCTGAAAATATGAAAAATAAATGAAAAGACAAACAATAATAAAACCATTAAGTATATATGAATATATATGCATATATATCATTTTGTTAAATATAAATGGCAGCAGACCACTATCTGATCTGTTCTGATCCATGATCGAGAAGCAAGTGAACCAAAATAGAAATCGAATAAAAATATCAAATAGGGTCTTAATCTATATTTGATTTAACTATATATAATATTTAATTTTATTGTGTATTAGTCATGACAAATGTAAATAACATACAAATAAATTTAGTTTTAATTAATGACTTTGAATTGCAATTGAAAGATTAAATATATACATTTTTATAATTTTTATTTTTTATTTATTTGACCCATTTCATCCAGTACTTCGAGCATCCAAACTTCAACCACTCAATTTAATATTTTTTAGGTTTGCAAAAACAAATACATTTCTTTTTCTCATATATATAAATATAATTAATTAAGGTATGGGACTAATTAATTTTTTTTTTAATTTACACACATATTTGAAAAAGGTAAAAATTATACAAAACATTTGAAAAATTTCAGAACTCGAAAAATATTCAAAGTATTAAATAACCTAAACATTTTTTAAAATACTTAAAAAAAAATATTAAATCCTTGAAAATTTAAAAGCTTGAAAAATATTTTTGATGATGAAGATTGAACAACTATTTTCAGAACTTTAAGAAAAAAACAACAAAACAACTTCAAAATTGAAACGATCCAAGAATCGATCCAATTTTTGGTCTTGGAACGGAGTTATTGATTGTCAAATGGACACCTTCACCGTCTCCTTTCCTTATCCTCCTTCTTATAGTAGTTCTCCTCATTCTCCTTGTCTTCTTTTCCCTCTCCGTCTAGTTATCCTCTTTCGCTTTCGCTTTCTCCTCCTCCACCTTCGACTTCACCTTGGATGTGGTAAAATATGCCATTAAAGTTGCTGTAAAGCTTCGTAGAAGCTATATCTATTTGTCATGCCATCTCTTTGGCATCTCTTAAGATTCAATTGCATCAATTGAACGTTACATTAAATATCATTCCGAGCTGAAGTTTACAGCATCATACAGGCAGATGCAAGAAAAATCTACGCAACAATTTGCAAGTCGACAATGACGGATCTTTTACTAACTCTAAGAAGTCTCGAAGAAGTCATTAATTATCTCTGAACGAAATCAAATACTTTTACTTATTTCTCCGCGTTCTCATTCCGGAATCTGGAGTCAGTCTGCCAAAGATGTGGGGACTTGAGTCTGGTTTTTGCAAAGAATAAGAAAAACCTTTTTTGGTTATTTTCCTTAAAGATTTTAATACCTTTAACAATATAACATAAAACTGAAATCGAAAATAACTGCAACGAAACTTTAAATTCCGATTTACACAAGTAATAAAAAATGTCAACGCCTCATAAACTCATTCAGTACACCTACTTAGTATATAGATCTTAAGTTAAATAAAAAGTGAATTATGATATTTATGCATACATAAATAACATAAATATACATATATACATAAATAAATATTCTAATTGTACTTAATCTATGGTTCGAATTTATATGTAGAAAAAGTCGATGTAATGTTTATAGTATTAGTAACAGCATTTCCAAAAAAGAAAAAATAATAAATTCATTATATATATAAATTATATATTTTGTTGTAAATTTATGTACGTCTGCCTTCGATGAGACTACAGGAGAGGGTGAGGGTTCCATCCTACTTATGAAGTTTATACAAATGTGGCTCGAAACGACATTTACAAAAGTTATCGATAATATTTTTCCGTTATAGTATAGTATTTTTCCGTTAGTATCGAGTATTAAATAACTACTCGTTAACTTATATACCAAATATACTTTATTATTTTCAATAGGAAGGCGTGGAACAGGCCTATACGTATGCAAGTCAGTAAGCCCTAAAACTTTTCAATTGAAATTATATAATATCGATAAGAATCATCAGATGTTTGTATTTTCCAATGTACACGTCCCTAGTATTTGGGGAAAATGGGAATAGGTATCCAAAATCATAAACATACCAAATCTTTATATTTATAACAGAATCCTCCGCAGTAAATACAAAATTCTACAACATTTACGGTATTCAAGCTACGCTTAAAAAACGATGTCCAATTATCGTTTTTGACGGATAATGTACCTTTTTTGATTTACGAGATCGCTGTGTTGATACGCAGGCGGACAGACACTCAGGGGGACAAATGGACATGGCCAGATCGACTCATCGTCCTAATACATACATACATATATATAATATATAATAATAATAATTAATATATGTATATATACATATATATATATATATACTTCATGGCCAGATCATCGTTCTGCCTATCACACTTTCACAAAAGGAAGGAAGAAAGAACACCGTCGCTCCACTGCTCGAAAGATAAGTAACATGTATAAACTGAAGTAGCAGCTGGCAATTTGAAGTCAATTTAATCGCTATTGCGCTTCTTATATGTGTCCACATGTATGGGAAAAAAGTAAGAAAACTTTAGCCGGAGTGCCCGACTAGGAGATAAGCTGAACAATGTCCGATCTGTGTTTTAAATTATATTTCCATAGCTTGTATCTAGGATCTAGGGTCTAGGATCTAGAAACCAGGAATTGAATCAACATCTGTTATGCAGCATGCATCAGCTTTACCAACATATTTGTAACAAACAAAACTAGTAAGAAACCGCTAGTCGGGGAGCCAGACTAGGAGGTACCCTGCGTTTTTCAATATTTTCAATAGTTTGTATCGAGTATTAAAAAAAAAACAAATAAAAACGACATTACGACCACAAGACTTGAACCAACATTGCCTACGGAACGTGCATCAACTCTATCATCTTCATAATTTAAAATAAAAGAAACAAACTAGAAACCTAGAACTTCACGGCAACTAGCGCTAGCTCCATCAACTGCTGCACGTTTCAGCTTAAGTAGCAGCTGATAATTCAAGCACAATTCAATCGCAAGTTTAATTTCTGGAAGAGAAAAAAATGAACGTATTTTAATTATTAGCATATAATGTATGTGCACACATATAGGAAAAATGCGTTCGATTGGGGCTGCTTAGCATGGTTTTTAAAGAAATTTTCGGCATATGAACTACATATTTGTCAGCTTAGTAAAAATGGAAACTCCTTCACCTATTGGCCCTATTTCCAACTGAACTTAAATTTAAAGAATTTAGGGAAATTTGGAATCAGTATCCAAAATAAAAAAAAATAAAATAAATATAAGATGTACGAGGTTAAATGAAATCCATAACTGAGGGTGGAATAGTTGTCCATTATTTGAAACAAACTATATCTATATAAACATAAATGTCTATAGCTGTTATAAACTTCACAACTGAGGACAGACGGATGTCCTGATCAAGAATATATATTTATACATTTTGGTAGTTGAATAATAAGAATAACTTCAAATAGTATACTCTACAGCTTTCACGAGTAATAAATAATGAGTAATGAGTTATAAATAATGAGTAATAATGAATATTGACTAATGAGCAGTCAATAAAAAGCACTGATTAGTAAATAATGTGTGACTACTTATGATTAACGAGTAATAAATAATGAGTGTTAAGTAGTAAATAGTGAATAAGACTAAGGCAAATAATAAAGAAAATAATGAAAAAGAGAAAATATGTCATGACTAAGGAATAATGACTAAACAAATATGGGTAATGAGTAATAAGTAATGGGAAACTGATAACAAATGAGAAATGAACAATGAAATGAGTGCTAACTGATGACTAATTTCTATAGTTTTTTATCTACTTCTTCTTATTAGACACAAACTCTGATGAAATTACGGTGGAATCTATTGAAAGCATTTAGGTATATCCAGTTTTACTTACTTTATTCCGCCCCAAAATCGAATGAATTTTTATTGATCATCGAATGATTACGGCAGTTCGGAAAGTATGGGGTACCATGTGGCCGGGCAATACCCAAAACTCAAAGTAATTCACAAATTGTATTCGTATTTATTTGGAAATATTTTACACGCACATACATACACACATAGATGCAAATACAATAAAACATTATTCAGATATTTGATTCATATATATATATATATATATATATATATATATATATATATATATATATATATGTATATATATATATATATATATATATATATATGAGCTGGGGACTGAACAATCAGTCGACTTATGGCATGTAGAAAATATAATGGCAATATATGAACCACAGATAAATTTAGGTATAAAGCAATTAGAACATACGCAAAATAGTTGCGTTTTTAATTTTCTTCTTCTTTGCTTAAAAAAATCTGCTTAATTTTTTTTTGTAATTTCGTTAACTAACAGATATGTTAATAATAGCGGAAGCTTTATTATTTTTCATTTATGTATTTATTTATTTATTGTTTCTTAAGTTTTTCTGTTTTGAGATTAATTAGACACAAATGTACATCATTTTATGGACAATTATTATATTTGATATCATATATTTTTACGCACAACCACAATATATTTTTGGTTAAAGCCCTTTTGGTCATCAATACATTTCCAGTAATTGACAACCCTTAAAGAACATAAACCAAAGAGAACAAAATATATTTGAATAAAAAGTGTCGAACCTCAATAATTATGTACAAGCCGAATAGAACAGAATTCGCCATTTTGATAGCTTTTATATATCTTACAGACCTAAGTTCTGATAGTTTATTTCTTTACTCAGTCACTCAGATACTCAGTTACTCAGTTAAATTGGAATAATTTAGTCTTTATGAATGCCCTTTTAAAAGGTAGACTCTTTCAAATTATAAATAAATGCATTATCGAACTTCAGTTCTTGAACTCATCTTTTGAAAGTGTAACTTTATGAAAATGAACTGTATTGAAGTTGTTATTTGAAATGTGGCATCGCAGAGGAAAACACAGAACTTTCCGCGGAAGTTATCAACGCCAAACGCCAGTCAAATGCGCTGTACATGTGTTCCATTCTAGTTTTGTATTTGAGGCGTCTTGTACTGTAAAAGCGACATCTTTTATGATTGTTTTGAAAGCTTTTGCCTACTATTTGTTGGCTTATCAGTGGCCCTGATTGGCTTCAAGTCGAAACTGAATATAATATAATATGTTATGTGTTTTGTTATAGCACTGTCTCAAATGAATAGCCAAAAGTTAACCTCGACCATCGAATAGGAATGCGGTTTAGATAGAACTCAGGACTCTTCTGTAAAGTATAGTTTAATTTTTGTTTACTGAATCCGGTTGGTCTATGTTATTAATGGAATAATTAGCCAGAACTCTTACAAAAGTCACAAATGTTATCTTATATATAGTTAGCTAATAATTAAAATACTCGTTCACGACATGAATCTGTATGAAGACAAGGCCATCGAGCCGGAAATTTTGAAATTTTCAATATATTCATAAGGTACTGAACTATAGTTTTACCAGATGCGAAATCATCTTACACTTTAGAGTTAAATCCATCGATCTACAGAAACTGTGCGCGAACGGGTATCACACGGTCAATGACACCGTTTGAAACATTCTTAATTTGAGTTTGAGTTTGAGCTTGAGTTTTTTCAAAGTATTTTTCACATATTACACGAGATTTTGTTTGGCGTTAGTCAGTAGCTGATACAATTTTCGCAATGTCTGCAGGACTTGTATCAGTGGTATATAATAAACACACACACACACATACACATATGTTTGTTAGGTGAACTATACAGATATAGATTTCTTTAGCCTATGTGCGTATTTGCTTGAATTTATGTAGCACGTACTTGCCTATACATATATTTGAGAATGTGACAAACGACAAATGAAATAGGATTTGACTGCTCTTTGTGTAGGGTATTCAGTCTTCGGTCATTCAAAAGCTGCAGCAGAAACATAAACAAAAACATAGTAAAAGCAACAAAAGCTAGAAAGCAGGTATTACATATCGTACGTACAATTATATAGCTATTGTTTTGCAATTATTGGTGGGTTATGTATTATGCTATATATATATATATATCTAGTGATTTATTATTGTTTTTTTCGTGCTTTCGATATTTTTTATTGGTTTTCTTTGCTTTTTGACAACGTGGATCCCAATTTTTGTAATATATGCAGGTTCATTTGATTTTTTATTCGCCATTTGGAAATTGTAAAAATGAAAGAACAAAATAAAAAATGTAATAATAGATTTTTTGTCGGCTTTTTGTATCAAATTCCTGATCAAATATATAAATGATCTTAATTTTACAAACATACATATGCATATATATTATATTTAAGACATTTATTAACTACCGATTTTATATAACAAATAGGGTATTATTTGTTTTTTTTTTTCTATACTCATTCACAAATTTTAAGGGAATTCTATATTTGATTGGTTTGAAGCTGAACTTGTAAATCTTATAGTATTTCGTCGGATACAGCACGATGCTCCAAAGCTTTTGGGCTAGGAATCAATGAGTTATTGTTGGTCTATTCTAGATAGATATAGACCTATAAACTATATAGCGCATCCACATTGGGAAGCCATCTTTGAACAGTGAACGAGTATTTTGGAATCGATTGCGACCGACTGCAACGCTTCTTACTTTGTTTTTGTTTATATACGTATTTTGTTTTTATACACATATAATATATTTATACATATACATATATAGGTGTTACTGATATAAAATTGACCAGATGAACTTCATTTTAATCAAATTCTAAAAAAACAGCTTACACATTTTAAGCCAATTTTACCGCTCGTTGTATATAATGGAAGGAAAATTACGCATTCTCCAAATTTGAATCCGTTTGTAAATAGTGAAATATTAAAAAAAAAAAGTTTTTTAATTTAATAAAAATATAATTTATTCCATTGCACTATTTGTGAACAATGGGTCATCTAAAAAAAAATATATATATATAAAATAAAATTATGATTATAAATTATGAATAACTAAAAAATTAAATTCATGTGAATAATTCAAGACTTAAAATAATACATATATATATATATATATATATATATATATATATATATATATATATATATATATATATATATATACATACAATTATAAATGGAGTAATGTAACCAGGTATTCCTATTATATACATATTATGTATATAGATTCGTCAATCCGAGAAATATCCTTAATTGGATTCAAATTTTATTTAATTTCACATTGAGAAGTTGCTTCAATTGGTTAGTTCTTTAAATGTGGAGATGCTATTACAATTTGTTTTTAGTTTTGTGTTTTGTTTGTTTTTTTTTCTTTTTTTTTTTTGTTACGTTAAGTTTTCGCAGGGACAACCAGGTAACATAGTATTTTATTTTTGATAGAAGAACTAATTCAATACAAAAGTGTTCGTCTGTCTGTTTTACTACACTTGACATTCGTAGTTGCGATGCTAAATATTATATATATATATATATATATATATATATATATATATATATATATATATATATATATATATATATATATATATACAGACATACATATAGTATTTTTTTAAATTAAAATATCAATTAGTTAGTAATGTATATTAAAATCAGTCGATTTTGCATTTTGCATAAATTATCTTTATATATATATTATATTGAATATCGTTTCTTAGAGAATAATTTACCGACATGCAGTAGTACACACAATAAACATTATACATACACATGCACATATATACATATATATGTATGAATGAGCAAAAATATGTTGTATTCTCTTTCCATTTGACAATTTGTATGTTGCGAGTCAGTGTGGAATGATGTTATATTTATATATATATATATATGAATGTGCTAAGTTATATGGCAGATCTACCTATAACAGCTATAAAAACATTTATGGCTGCGTCTCATATACATAAAATGGATAATTTTTCACTTAAGTAAAAAAAATGTTCCTTACACTCACACGCTCATACATCCACATACACACAATACAACATACAATACACACATATACACTCACATTTATATTTTTTTGCATAGGTGGTATTTTTTATGATAGGAATATACATATACATATACATATACATTATATATATATATATATATATATATATATATATATATATATATATATATATATATATATATATATATTCTGTTCATACGCATAATTTGAATAATACACAGATAAGCACTTTTTATACTGTTTATGATGATTAAAATCTTGGTTTGGGAGAGTTGACGACGTCGACGATTCTTATTCAGCTGACATTATATTATGAACTTGCTCCAATTTGAATGCCAGTCTTTGTTTCTGCGAAAATTCATCCTCCTCCAGTGTCACTGTCAATTGCTCATTATACTTTACAGCGTATGTGTAAAGCTCATGCAAAGCACAATTCGTATTAAATTCAGTTGTGTGAAGCTAAAAAACCAAAAAAAATACAAAATTGTATATATTACACAGTCAATTGTTCAATATAAGCATAAAGTAAGAGCAGATATCGTAAACACTGCGCAGAGCTTCTGTTCCAATTACTCTGCCCTAAAAACCTGTGTATTCATAACATAAACACACAGTTTATTTGAAATCGATTTTTATCGATAACATGCAACATGGAAATGGGATCAGCTATTGAAAAAAAAATAAACTGTCCTGCGTATGGTATATAGGAAAATTCATGATTCAAATCGCTGCGTTCAAAGAAACATCATAGATATGTTTATATATTTGATGGGGTCTGGCGCGCCCATTTTTGCTTGTTACATTTAGAAACAAGTAAGAAAGCTCTAGTCGGGGTGCCCGACTAGGATATCCTTGATCCCAGTCCTATCTGCGTTTTTTAATATCAATAATAAGAATACACGCATTTGAATGCAAGTGTGCACACACACAGGAAATATGCGTGCGCTTGCCGCGCTAACATGTGCTTTTGCAAAACGTGTTGTTTAATAATTTCTGTTTTACTTAATAGATTTTAATGACATTTTCAGCATCTACATATTCTATTGGTTTGGTATAAATGCAAACTTCTTCAGTTATTAGCCTATTGCCAACTGAACCAAAATTGTAAGAATTTGGGGAATTTGGAACCGGTATGCAAAATCCAACAAAAATCAAAATTGTATAAAATATGCATAAAACTAAATACAAACTTTGGATAGTGTTTTTATTCGATAATAATAAAAGGGAAATAGTTATCGAATATTTCATACAAACTTGATTTGCGCGTGCTATACAAAGACCTACAAAAAATAAATAAAAAATTTTCAAGTCTAGCTCTTATGGATGCTGAGATCGACGTGTTCACACATACGGACAGACGGCGGACGGAGAGACAGACAGATCAAGAATATATATGCCACGCCTCCTTCTGCCTGTTACATACATTTTCACAAAACCATTATACCCTGATTTCCCATTTTCAATGGGTCAGGGTATAAAAAGACCAATATACCCCGAATTTAGATTTTTAACGGATTTCAGGTATAAAGTACAGTGAAGTGTGATTAAATTTAACTACTAACAGACAAATAGCATTCGAACATTTCAAAACAATTAGATAGACGGACAAGCTTTAGTCACGCTTTCAGGGAGCAAGAAATCTTGAAAAACTCTAGAGCTGTGTGTAATAAAAGCCCATCCCTAGTTGTCTTACCCTAGATTCTTCAGCGAGCATTGCATTCATGTCCTGATCAGATATTGAAGACATATCCCGAATATCTCTGTAATATCGATCAACCCATTTCCGATACTCCGGTATATCTTTAGCATATAACAGCTTTGAGCTTGGTGAGTCTTTGCCTGTAAATATTGAGTAATATCATTGACATTAAAGTTCAATATCATGTGCATAATATATCTCACCCAAACGATGATCCGATGTTGAGCAAGAATCCATAAATGTTTGAGCTACAACTGACAGACAGGAGTCCACAATATTTGATTTATGTATATCAAATACAAAATTTGGATTTTTTATTAAGTTCACCCAAAAACTGTGGAAAATACGAAATTAGTTAGAAATTATGATATGATTACGATCTAAATCAAATACTTACCGCAATGGCAAACTGTTGCTTTTCCATGTATGAACGACCTCAGGATCTGTAATTCCATGCAATAGGGCCTGATCATCCAAAAAGTCAAACATATATTTAATTGCCAGGGGCAAGGCAGAGCCACGATGAGCAGTACTAAATATTGTCTCGAATAGATCATCGACGAACTTCTGCAATGTGCCCTTTGTTGCCAGCAATCGAGTTAAATATATTTCGGAGACCAGTTTATTAACACGTTCGCCTTCCTTTTGTATATCACTATCATGATGCTTAACCAAATGCCAATACTTGATGCCATTATCATGCATATCATTGTTCAAGGGACTGCCGGCGCGGCTGAATGTCGGTGAGGAGGAGGTGTACTTTGATATATTCAGTGTTTCATATCTAAACGGCCAAAAAACAAAAACCACAAAATAAAATAAATAAAGAAGAAATCAATCAAGAATCAATTCAATTTCAGACAACTCTATCCCCATAAGAATCACTTTTTCTCTGGGATTCTTTGCAAGAATTTTTTTGTCTTCCTGCATTATAACAATTATAGCAATTCTTAAAATATCTTAACTACGTCATTTTTATCCATTCCATCCTCCATACTATTCATGGTTCTATTATCCATACCATGCTCTCATTTATATGAGTCGGTTCTCATCTAAATTATTATCAATTAGCATTATCTAATCTAAATAATCTATTATCTTTTCCTATATTATACATACCATTTAGCCATAATTATATTATCTAAAAACAATACCAAATTGTCATCTAAATCATTAGCAATTATCTTAAATTCCCTTATAGCATACGAATATGAGCTGGTTTTCATCCACCCCTTTATCTTGTATTATTATCTTGAAATACATATAAGTTAGTTCTTATCTAAATTATCAATTATTCATTATCTATTGTAATATTTTTTATAATAATAATTCCTATCAAAATCATTCTCCCTTAATTATAATCGCCAATATTCAACAGTTCGAAAGTAAAATGTTCTTATCTTAGTTAGTAAATTATTTGTTTTTTTTTTTTTTACTTACTTATGAGATTTCTCGTTTTTGTCAGACAATATACTAAAATTATAGATGGAACTTTGTTTTGGTACTAAGCTCAAGCCTGCACCGTCCGGTACATTATAATGTTGCAATGTATTAAGTTTTTTCCATTCACTTTCAGTTTTTGAAGTAGCGTCTTCATCGTATAGTATAACACGACCAGTAGCTCCAGTTCGCCATTCTAGAAGACAAAATGTTAATATTAGGAATAAAATTCGGGACTTTTAGAAAATGTGCAGCATACCTAAATCTAAGTCGTCTTTCCGTGGCCTTTGACTAGATGGTATATTTCTATATATTGTTTCCAAACACTTCTCTTTCACTTGACCGATTGTATCGCAATCAAGAACCTTAACCGATACGTTCTCAGTGTGTGAGGGCAACATATCTAAGTTATTGCAGAATATGGGCTGCTGTATAATGCTCGCATTGACAGTCATTGGCCGAAAGTCAATCGATTGACGTATAAGTTTCTCTTCACTCAGAGAGTAACGAGCCTCGTGGGTGCATGCATCGACTGGACCCTTGTCTACTTGACCCTTGACAGCACGAAATAGCATATACAATGGCTCCCCAGCACATTCCTTTAAGAATTTGTAGAGCAAGAATGTAAACCAAGCGCTTAGCATTTTTTCAGCAACACTTTCCGTCCTTCTAAGCAATAGTTTTGGATGACTTTTGCCCTCAATGCACTTCTCAATCAAATCACTTAATAGAGTCTTCAAAATATCGGTACAATATTCCAATTTCGATTGAAGTGTAACCATAATTAATGAAGCGACATTAACACGTTCACGCATTGAGAAATATCTATTCGATTCCAAGGTTCGTATAAATAGCAATAGAAATGTCTTGTTCATAATAAGTTGAGCGAACAGACGTAAGCCTTTCTCTTTGCGCAACAATTCTGGTTTCTCCCACTGTAAGACGCTATGATCTTCATGATTGGGAAATAAGATTTTCATAGCATATGAACGATAATCCAAAAATGGTATGCCACCCGATGTTAAATCACCAGTTAAATCTGTCATTTCCGTTTGGAGTTCAGCAAACGCCTCTTTACATTCAGCTGCAACACGCAACTCTAGTATATCCATTTGTTCTTGCATATTGCGTAGGACACGATTTGATTCCGATGTCTTCTTTCGATATGCCACAAGCAAGGCAACAAATATCAATAGAAATATAACACAGCCGGCGATGACAACAAAGACAACATTGTCACCCCAATCCATAATAAGATTTGATGATTCATAACTTAAAATGCCAATACGATATTCCAAAGATGAACCAATACGTACGATGACCTCAGGACCGCTAGGACTGTTACTGGCAGCAGACGCTTCAGTCGGTGGCCGGCATGTCAATTGCTGTCGAGATAAAGATGTGATGTTACAGTATCCATTACCGATTTTTACCTCAACATCCGTTTCTTTACATGCCCGATCTAGATTACGACCATTTATGGTTAGATATTCACTTTTGAAATATTTCACGCGCTCTTCGAATGCAAAATATTCCGGATTTGGATATAGCTCGAAGTGATTATTATGCTTTTTCGATAAATTCTGCACTTTGAGCACGTTGTCCATAAGAAAGCCGTATTCGAGTAACGTCGGATTATCCGGATCTAATATTTGGCTATCTGCCTCAATAACTGGTGATGGGCATTTCATTTCTGTATCAGTTTGTACACGACACTGGCTAGCATACATCTGCCCGTTATATAAAACATAAATGCTTGGCGCCTGTATGCTGGTAAATTGCGTGCCCGTAACAACGATTCGTATTCCCCCAGCTGGTATACCCTTTGGTATTTTAATCTGCGCACTCGGTCCGGAACTAACGTGCTCAACCGTTGGATCAAGCACATATTTGAAATTGTAATCATTGAACTCGCGCGGTCCATTGTCAAATGACATTTTTAGGCGACCCTCAATTATACCAGGCGAAGGCGATGTTCGACATATAGCTTGCGACGAGTCCGTGCTTATGATTTTACATGGTAAATGATCATTGATATAAGCCTGTATACGTGAGCCGGCATTTAGATATTTGCCTATGATCCGTATCTGCGTACCACCGGATGTGGGTCCGAAACGTGGATAAAAATTCGATATTTTTGGATCAACAAATTCATAATCCTCTTTCGACTCGCCACGATAGTCACCGATTTGTACCACAATTCGTCCATTTCGATACATCTGCTCGCCGGGACTATCCACAGTGCAGACGATTTGTTTTGTATCAATGTAGAACTGTTGAAATGGCATACAATTAATGCCCGCAATTCGCACCCCCGAGTAGATATCGTTATAGTTCTTGCCAAGGTTTATACCCTTTATCGTTATATTGGTGCCGCCCTCCCAGGGTCCAGTTTTTGGGCCAAACGAATGTATCTCTGGATTTGGACAAATTTCACTACGATTCAGCCAATCCGTTTTGCCCTCATTATTCTTGTTGCACTGCTCAACCACTTCGCATGTATTTGTCGATGAACACCAACCACAATTATATTTCTCAGCCAGTGCCAAGCAGATGCCACAACTGTCAGCCATGTCGCGACATCGATATATCACAACTGTAAACACAAAGCAATCAAATATATATTGTTAGTATTATCTTAAATATGTCGTCAAATAATGCTCGTTCACTATTAAACAAGGAAGAGTGCTCAAGAATGTATAATATTCCCTGAATTCTCATTTTTAATAGGTTCAATATATAAATATTTACATTTTCCGATAGATAGGCTTAACAATGAATGAGACACGAAAACTAATGTTTTAATTTAGATTTTTTAATCTTTGAGCAATGCTTTTTTCATAAATACGTTTAAAGGTCAAGGGTCAACAGACCAGACTCATGTTACTAAGAAAGTGTTTTGAATTCGAATGATTAAAAGAGTCTAACCTATAGAACCAAATGTTCTAGAATCCACAATTTATATATTTAGGCTTACCATGAATATTATGAGGATTGTCAAGGGGTTTCGATCCACCCCAGATAACAGCAAAAGTTGCTGTCAAATTCGGTGAACGTGATGTGTATTGAAATTCCATGCTATCGCAGTAGATTGTATCACCTAACAATTGAGCATTTAGACTAGTAACACGACCCTCTATATTAAATTGGCAGACGAAACGTGTTTGCACAATAAACTGTCCAATAATGTGAACTTTAACCTTAATCGATTTACTAGTGCCGGCAGCAACAAGAACCTCACTACCGTCGCCAGTTGCATTGATGGTTGGACAGAAGCCAGGACCTGAACGATAGCTCGGACCTATTCGACTTACGCCCGTAACCAAAATATCATTGCGACAATTCTCAGCTGTATCGTGCGTGCAGCGATGCGCTTCGACACACCAATCGCAAGGGAATTCCGATGATACACATCGTGTACAGGACGAATGGGTGCTACAGTCAAAGAACGTAAAGTCTGTGGAGACTAGATCTGGTCCAGTCCTTGTGCGTACAGATAATTTGGCTGTAAAATGATGTTTGCCCTGCTCAATTTGCGGCAACATATCCGTACGCGGTGTTGTACAATTAACACCATTGCGTTTCTTTGTGGCGTTTGTAAACAGAGCTTTGTCCTCGGTAGTGAAGGCGCAGATTAAATTCTCTTTCAATTGCGGCAAATGATCGATTATGAGCTCCAAGGTGCGGGCGGTTGTCCGTTGCAATTGATGCGGCACAACGCTAGTGATTGTTGTGCATTTTCCCGTTTTATAGCTAACCCAATATAATGGATCATTGGCATCATCCTGGCAATTAGAGCGTGGACTACACTTATTCTCCAATGAACACCACCCACAATATGGATCACGAGCGCCCAAGCATTCGCCGCATGTCTTAAAATCGGCACAATCATAGACTTTCACTTTCGACACCTTGCGATCAGACATCGCATACACATATAGATTTTGATTATCAAACTGCATGTCCTGTTTAATGGCTGATCCAACATCAACGGCCAAGCTAGCATATTCGTTAGCAATAGTCGATGATTCAACAACAACTTTCTTGATATACCCATCGACAGTGCCAATAAATACAACTGTATAGCCGCTGGTGCTAGTCGCCGCCACAGATGTTAGACGTGTATTAAACATTGCTACCGGAACAGCTGTGATTGGCTGTTCTCCACCTAACGGTGAGTTCACATCCAATCCACAAAAGTCTTCACCAATCGTTTGTAGTTTCTGAAATTCAATACATCAATAATTTTTTAATCATATCATATCATATGTATGTTCGAAATAGCATCTTTACATATGAATAAATAGATATATACATACCGTTAGAACACAAGGCATGCTGGGTGATATGAAATCAAGTCCACGCATACCATTTCCATTGAAACAGAACTTGATATTCTGCATAAATTTACGACGAATCGACTTCAATGAATATATACAAAGGGCTGAACTATTGGTCGGTGTATTGCTTTCACCCTTTGAGAAGACGGCGAAGAGGACATCGTCTTGTATTGATATGCCTAGACTTTGGGCTAGATCCAAGCTCGGCTTTCCCAAGAATCCAGCCTGAACGAGATTAAATTTAATACCGCCCTGAGCTTCACTAATGCATTCAACGGGAATCTCAGTATATGAATAATAGTTTGAGTCCTCCTGGCATATTCGTACCAGTTTCGTAATATACTCCTTTGGCGATGAATGATGACTATGCTTCAATTGAGTGGTAAGGAAATATGAAAAACGTTCCGAACTAAAGCCATACACATAGTTAACCAAATATGTTTCTCGGGCATATGAATTAATAAAAGTGCGCGTTCCAGTTGTTACCGCCGATGAGGCAATTTGAAACATTTTTGATTTTTCCAATGAGCGCGATGCTACGGCAGGTATCTCGCTGCGATATGGTGAATTATTTGTATAGGTAACGCCAACGTACATAACATTTGTCACCGGGTGCTGCGGCGGTCCTGGTGCAATAAATGCCACCGTCGATGAGTTGGCATCGTTGGCGACAACCGCATCGGGCACCTCATGCTCAACGATGCTAACATTTTGTAAATTACGCACTGTACACGTGCCCTGAAACAGCGATCCACAAGCAATCAAACGAGATGTGGCACGATCTATCAGTAAGACCTTATTATAATTATCAGTTGGCTTTCGTATCGCATTCAACGGGCAGTCAAGTATTGTACATTCCACTGAATCATTTTGTGGACCCGTCTTCACAGATTCATGTAGCTCCAGATCTGGTGACAGCTGGTACAAGCGATTTACACCCCCAACAAAAACACGTCCCGTTATTGTATCCACTAATAAATGATTGAGAGTCGTATCAAAATTGGCGACATTTGTGATTACATTGCTGCTACTGCTGGTGCTGCTACTGCTGTTCAAGTATCCCAAATTCAAATCAGTGTCCGTTACATTCATTTTAAGGGCGGACACACCACGTTTTATCCTATCAACTCGTTGAGTCCATGGTGTCAATCCATTGCTTAATGCTGATACCGCTGATGATGCTAACGATGCTGATAATGATGATGGTGACGTTGATGAAAATCCATAAATTGTTATTGTTAGTAAACAACAAATTAGAATATTCATTTCCACAAATCGCAGGCTAATCGCCACAATGGCGATTAGATCCAATGTATATATATATAAATATATATATATTTAGGAGTATAATCGTCTGCAAAGGCTGTATAATTCCCTTCTGTTTGTTCTTGTTTTTGATTTCTCCTATGGAATTCTTATTGCTACTATTATAGCTCTGTTTTATCCATATTCACATGGCATACACATACAACTCATCTACAACTTGCTTTTCTTCTGTTTGCATCCAACTTCTGCTGCTACATTATCACTCTTTACCAGCAACTAAGGAAAAATATATAAAATGTATAAATATATATTAGTGATAATAAATATTTATACAGAATGTGAATGTTATATATAAAAAAAATTTTAGTTTTGGTTTATAAATAAAATAAATTCGTATATCTTATTCATATAATAACAAATTTAAAAAATAAAAATTTCGTCATTTATAATACAGAACTTAAACGCAAAAATAAAAAAAAAAAGTATAAAAAAAATAGGAAATAAATAATAAAACAAAAATAATATTAAAGAAATATAATATAATAAAATAAAATATATAAATAATCGGTAAGTGAACTTTATAAATATCATATTTTACATCAAAAATAAGTTTTGTTTAATTCCATGACTTTTACTTTATATTGTGATATATAATACATATGAAATGTTACTATATATATATATATTTACATAAATATGTAGATATGTATGTATGTAAGTATACATAAGTATTTAAAACATATATTTACGTAGGATGGGTGTAAAAGAGATTGTAGTTGATTGGACATTTAATATGCATGTATTTATATAAATAAATGCATATGCTTGGTCTATACAGAAAATGTAAAGGCACTAATCAAGACAACTCAATTTAATTGATAAAAGTGAAAATTTATATTTTTTCCATCTCTTTATTGTGTGTACAGTATGTCATAAAGTACCATTGTACCAAGTAGCAAAAGTACCTAGTACCATAAAGGCGGCGATTTGGTCTAACAAGCCACCGCCCACCGCTGATTTTAATATATATATTTATATATGTATGTACATATGTATCCACTAACATTTATTGGAGTTTATTCAGTGCTAGAAATATTCATAATATTTGATATTTTGATATTCAGTCTGCTTAGAAAGTAAGAAATTTTAATTTTTATACATTCAAATAAACATAATGTACACCTAATGATGTACAAATAGTGTATGTATATATATAAATATCTATGTGTGTGTGTGTGTGTGTGTGCAAGAGTGTATGTATGTGTTCATACATGCGCACTTAGCATCTGATGTTAATTGTTTCTTATTTTATATTTTCCCATATATTGAAATATCCACTTACACTTGTAATAAGGTTTAATGTTCATGTTGAAATGGATATATGCAAAACTTTTGTATATGTACAAACAACACGTATAAATCTGGAATTTTTCGAATTCCTATTTATGAAAATTAACAGTTCGGTTTTCACAACTCTTTTTTTTCTCTGATGTACATATAGGTTGCATAAAATGTTTATTTATTAAGAAATGAAGTGTGACTAATTCATTTAATAAATTAAAAGTATGAGTTTTGTAATTAAGAGAAACAATCAATAGTTTTTTTGTGCAAAATAAATGTACGCTTTTTGTGGCACCCGTACGACACTTACACACACGTACATATTAAACAAACACACACCGACACCCTGCAAAGCGACCATACTATTTTCAAGATGTCGGATACATTAAATTATCGATATATTAGTTCACATTACCACTTGCCGATATATTAAAAAATGCACCCTAACAATTTTCAATATGTCGTACAATGATAGTTAGTGTTGAACAATGGTAGAAAATCGCAATTCAACCCAATGCAACGCCCCAATACATCGATATTTTGAAAGAAAAAACAGCATTGCGCAGATTTTTTCATCTCTATAGTGTGACCACTGCTCAGTTCCCTTTTCTTTACAGCGTGCCGCGTGTAAAGTTTTCAACAATAAAATTTTTTAAAAATGTCAGAAGAAGGAGATGGAAATAGGTCGGGAGCATCCCTTACTTTCCCTATGCAATGTTCGGCACTGCGTAAAAATGGATATGTGATGCTTAAAGGACGCCCTTGCAAGATAGTGGATATGTCTACCTCCAAGACAGGCAAGCATGGCCACGCCAAAGTCCATCTTGTTGGTATCGATATATTTACACAGAAAAAGTACGAGGATATTTGTCCCTCCACCCACAACATGGATGTGCCGAATGTAAAACGCGAGGACTTCCAGCTCAATTACATTAGCGATGATGGCTACTTAACTCTAATGAACGAATCTGGCAACTTGCGTGAGGATCTGAAAGTTCCCGACGGTCCATTGGGTGTTTCTTTGCGCAACGATCTCGACAGCGGCAAAGATCTTTTATGCACTGTGCTAAGTGCCTGCAGCGAAGAATGCGTTATCGCCATCAAAAATAATACTGCTTTGGATAAATAAAGGGTCATCCATCGATCTGATACTGGAAAAGTGTAATGATATAATGAAGAAATATCAATTAAATGATTCCAAAATACAAGCTATTCGTTTATATATGTATATGTGTGTTCATGTATTATTTCGATTTGATGACATTCAAAAGTCGACTGGCTTAGTAGTCAGTATGATTCTTTCATTTTTAATTAGATACAATTTTCATAGCCTTTGTTTTGCTTTGTCAGTTGCAAAAATAGGCTTAAAGGTACCGCAAAACACGTGGATCTTTGCTGATTTTATTGGGGATGTGCTTCTTCAGTCGGAGATATAAAATCATAGAGGTTAGAGCGAGACGCCACGATTTTTAATAATGAGGATCTAAGAATATTTCGCTTGCAGTGTTTTAGTGTTAGTCACCTACATACATATATACATGACTGCATAGATGCATGTGTGCATATACGTATGCTTTTATGTACATATGTATGTATTTATATGTATGCAAGTATGTATGTATGTATGCACGTATGTATGTATGTATGTATGCACATATGTATGTATGTATGTATGCACGTATGTATGTATGTATGTATGCACGTATGTATGTATGTATGCACGTATGTATGTATGTATGTATGCAAGTATGTATGTATGTATATATGCACGTATGTATGAATGTATGTATATATGTATGTACGTATGTATGTATGCATGTATGTATGCACGTATGTATGTATGCACGTATCTATGTATGCACGTATGTATGTATGCACGTATGTATGTAAGTATGTACATATACACAAATTAATAAAAGTTGGCTTTGACAGAGATTAATTGCAATGCCAGCTGTAGGACCTGATTTTTGTTTATTAAACTGAGAGCACTCTTGCTGTAAATATGAAAAGTCCCCCTTTTAACATTTTGGGAATATAGATTAAAAAGTTAGTGAAAGATGTATGTACATCTGTAAAAACATCGCCGAAGCCATACTAAATTAATTTTGATCTCAAGTAGACTTTATTTTTCCTATATCTCATCTCAATTACAAAAAAATATCGATCCTAACCGATAGTTAAATTCGGCTTATAAAGGTTTTAGGGTTTTCTTATGTTGATGTAATGCATTTATGCATACGTAAATATGCATTTATACTATTAATATATATGCTTAACTATTAATATATATAGCATTTTATTTTCTTTTAAATACCCTCATTTCTGTCAGCTAAAACAAAGGAGCACAAATGCCGGAAAAAAATCGTAGTTACCCTAATGGCCAAAATGTTTGAAATCGATGGCAATACAGCTGTATCGATATATTGCTTATCACCACTGCACATATCGAAACACGAAAAATGCAACAATGCATTATGTATTCACTTTGCAACGACAAGGTAGTACTTCTATATATCTCCGTCAGTTGGTCGAGAAATGTTCGCGTTACGTGTTGCCGCTAAAGCTGATAAGAATTTGCTGCCAATATTGGGGCAATTGTGTAAGTATCTATATAATTGCTAAAATAATATTGAGAAAATCTGGTCAAACGTAATTTTAATGGATGCAAAGACTTTACAATTTGAGTTCACGAGGGGGCGAAAAGTGGCTCGAGCAAAAGCCTACATAACCTTATTGTTGCGGTAAAAAGAACTGATTGCATAATAATTAAAATACATATTTTAATATGAGTGTTTATATAAGATGAATATAAAATATAAAAAATAAGTGTCTAATCTCTTTCGTAAGCTATATTCATCCCTTTTTGTTTTTGAGAATCTAAAAACTAATATGACTACATATCAATTTGCATTAAACATCAATGTTAAAATTTATTTCATTATTCAAAAATATAAGATTAAAACAAATTAAGACTTAAGTGTCATTATCTAAATAACAGACCACTTCCTGCTATTTTTCATTTGTAATTTCCATATTAATTGAAAAGAAAATGTAATCATTCTGACGTAATCGAAACCATATTTCTTAAAAAGCAAAATTATGCATTTTAAATTTGAAGGAACCGAAATTAAGGTAAAATGCCGAATAAATATGTAAATAAATTAGTTTGTTAACGTTCCCATGTACACGTCAATTTAAATAAAAATAACTTATTTTCCAGCTCGGGGTCATGCTGCCAAAGCTGCTGTTAAGGCGGCCGCTGGAGCCAATGGAAAAATTGTGGCCGTTATTGGTGCCGTCGTCGATGTGCAGTTTGACGACAATTTACCACCAATTCTAAATGCTTTGGAAGTTGATAACCGTTCGCCACGTTTGGTACTGGAAGTTGCCCAGCATTTGGGCGAGAATACCGTGCGCACTATCGCTATGGATGGCACTGAGGGGTTGATTCGTGGACAGAAGGTTCTGGATACCGGCTATCCAATTCGTATTCCAGTGGGAGCAGAAACCCTGGGACGCATCATTAATGTTATTGGTGAGTAATCAATCAATGAAAACAAAAAGGATAAATGAAAAAACAGTATAAAGAAAATATTCGTATTAATAGGTGAACCCATTGATGAGCGTGGTCCAATCCCAACTGATAAGACCGCTGCCATTCATGCCGAAGCTCCTGAATTTGTGGAGATGTCGGTTGAGCAAGAGATTCTAGTAACTGGAATTAAAGTTGTCGACCTCTTAGCCCCCTATGCTAAGGGTGGTAAAATTGGTCTATTCGGTGGCGCTGGAGTCGGAAAAACTGTACTTATCATGGAGCTGATTAATAACGTGGCCAAGGCCCATGGTGGTTACTCTGTGTTTGCTGGTGTTGGCGAACGCACACGTGAGGGCAACGATCTGTACAATGAGATGATTGAATCTGGCGTTATTTCGCTCAAGGATAAGACATCAAAGGTGGCTCTTGTCTATGGCCAAATGAATGAACCCCCTGGCGCTCGTGCCCGTGTTGCCTTGACTGGTCTAACTGTTGCCGAATATTTCCGTGATCAAGAGGGACAGGATGTGTTACTCTTTATTGACAACATTTTCCGTTTCACTCAGGCCGGTTCCGAGGTGTCTGCTCTTTTGGGTCGTATCCCATCGGCTGTCGGTTATCAGCCCACTTTGGCGACTGATATGGGTTCTATGCAGGAGCGTATTACCACAACCAAAAAGGGTTCCATCACTTCGGTGCAGGCCATTTATGTGCCAGCTGATGATTTGACCGATCCAGCTCCAGCCACAACTTTCGCTCATTTGGACGCCACCACCGTGTTGTCGCGTGCCATTGCTGAATTGGGTATTTATCCAGCTGTCGATCCTTTGGATTCCACTTCTCGTATCATGGATCCAAACATCATTGGCCAGGAGCATTACAATGTAGCTCGTGGCGTTCAGAAAATCTTGCAGGATTACAAATCTCTTCAAGATATTATTGCCATTTTGGGTATGGATGAGTTGTCTGAGGAGGACAAATTGACCGTTGCGCGCGCACGCAAGATTCAGCGTTTCTTGTCACAGCCATTCCAAGTCGCTGAGGTCTTTACAGGACATGCCGGCAAACTAGTCCCATTGGAGCAAACTATCAAGGGCTTCTCCCAAATTTTGGCTGGCGAATATGATCATTTGCCAGAGGTTGCGTTTTACATGGTTGGTCCCATTGAGGAAGTTGTCGAGAAGGCCGATCGTCTCGCCAAGGAAGCCGCCTAAACGCTAGGGACGCCAACTACATTAAACGGCTCTTGCTAATGAAATAATAATATTCAATTGAATTAAGCATTAAAGATGTCAGAGACAGTTTAAACCAATAAAACGTAACTTAACAACACAAGTGCATCATGTTTTAACGTACGATATGACATGGGCTTACAAGGAAGATAAAATGTTATTTTGACTCAATAATCTGGCTTAGAATCTTTAATCAGGGATCCTGTACAGTACAAAAGCTAGATAACCGCTGGATTAGTGTGAGATTATTCTTATGCTTTCGAGAGGTCATGGAATTTCCTTTATCAAATTATTCTATTGAAACGTTTTGATAAAGGTTATTCAGTCACGCCCATTGTCTCAGTAGATTAATGCATAATACTCTTGGGGACATTCGCATAACACAAGTTAGAAGTAAAAGCTGAAGTTCAATTTTTGTTTATACGATCTTTTTCATATGCTGAATCTATTCCGGATTGAGTTTGCTGTTGTCTGTCTGCATCGACACACTATCCATTGCTCCAGTGACTCATGGTCTGAAAAAGAGAAAAGCAGGCAATTTTATAATGCCGTTGCCGGTACATATCCGCTACCAATGCTGAAGTTGCCCTGATGACTCCTGCAAAACTAATCCCTACTTATACGGCTTTAACATTAATACATATAGATGTTATTTTTAATAATTTTTATTAGGTATGTATTTGTAATTAATAAAATCATAAATATATAATAATTCATATTGATTTTAGAGTTATTACCGATATTTCTTTTAAATATGTATTTTTTATATATTATTTTAAGGACATCAACTATAGCATTTTATTTTTGTAATTCAAATAGGCATTTGGTTTTTGTGATCGCTTTATGATTCGGAATTCGTTTTTCCTTCTTCAGCTTTTTTTTCTTTTTCTTATCTCTTTTGTGGGACATTTGGTAAGCAATTTGATACAATTCTATCTCATAATGTGCTTTATTGTTTCAAACAACGTTTCGATTTTGTTATATATAAATTTAATAATTTTTTTCTTTTTTTTGTTTGTTTATTTTTTTATTTATTCTTACAATATGATCATATTTTAAAGTTCTGTTTAATTTTGTTGTTTTTAGATCATTTAAGAAAACGTTTAGATACTAGAAAATTATCAGTAATAAATGTATTCCCGTTGCTTTGGATTCATTGAACATGCATACACGACATTTAACAGCATTAACATTATTTATGGGATTTCAAAATGTCCTTTCCGATTATAGTTGCAATTTGTGTGCGTGGACGTGCGAGTCTAAAATGGAAGCTACCTGTCTGCCATGTGTGTGTGTGAGTGTGTGTATATGTGTGCGCGTGTGTGTGTGTATTTTTTGAAGCTAAGATACTGGAAACTAAGAAATCCGTTAATGTGGATGTGTGGGTGTGTGCGAGCCTCTCATTGCAACTAAGCAGTTATAAATTGTATGCAGAACAAATATATGTACATGATTGTGTGTGTCTGTGACTGTAAGGATGTGTATGTGTAGGTGTACATACGTATATAGTGCATGTTTAACATAGTAAACTATACATTTTATAACAAACTGACTTCTTGTAAAACCTTGGATTGCCGAAACAGATTAGTACAGACTTTCATACATATATAAATATATATATATACTATATATACTATATACCTTCTAAATGTAGGTGATGTGATCTTTAGTGTCCATGTGTTTGTTTTAGCTCTATATTTCCACCTGTCTGATCGGACGACATTATTATAGGAACTGTTTATTAAAATCAGGGAAGAGAAATACAAATCTTGCTAGATTAATTTGCCTTCAGACAGACATCGGACACAATTTGTATCATACAAATATCGGACAAATGCAAACGATAAGCATATGTATACGATCCTCCTAAGATAAGCTGCAGTTTTTTCCATTCACTTGCCTTCGTCTAACAATATTAATGCACAATTAGTTAATTTATTGAATTCATTGACAAAATAAAATTAAAATAATGAAATCGTATAAGTAAAAAAAACATCCCTCCCTTTTTTTAAAAATTTTATAAAATAAATCGTTTAATGAATCATTGAATGAGAAATTCAAATTATTTGAAAACTTTAATTAATTAAAATGTAAATAATCCAAACTTTTGTTTTTTTATATATTACAACTATATTTATATAGGATGTACTCAACAAGGAGATACCCTGAACTTTAAGCCTTCAAAGGTTATAGCTAACTCACACACATTAACACATTAATCCATTTACACACAATGCAGGAAATATATATAAGAAATTTGTTTTTTCTAGTTGTCATAATGTTAAAGTTGCACTCTAAAAACCAACTGAAAATAAAAATATTTATGGATAATCAGCAAATGGTCAAAGATTTCTCAAAAACAAGACTTATACGAGAATATAGCTGAAAAATTTCAATGTCTTAAGCGTATTGGCTAGATCGACGAGATGTTTTCGGACAGACGTGCTTAACTCTTCGTCTTCCTCCATATATTGAGTTGCGTATAACTTATCTGTCAAGTCTCTTTCTTAAAAAAAATAACAAATTCAATTATGCAAAAGTCTTTTGTTTACAATATTTATATGAATAGCTTTCAAAATCATATTTGTTTTAGTAAGTTTTGAAATCACTTTTTCAAAATTAATTTCATTTCAAAAACATTTGAAAAAGTACTGAAATTGGCATATATATGTACAACGTTTTGTTTTTTGTTTGGTAGAAACAAGATTTTCTGGTTTAATGAATAATATCTCATTTCTCTTTATATATAACATTATTCATTAAATCAGAAAACCTTTATATGTATAGCGATATATATTATTTAAGAGTTATAATTGTTTTTGTTATAATTTTTTTTATTTTAATATTTTAGTCTTGAAATATTTTGAATTTAATGTGCACTTTCCTAAACATACAGTTTTTAGGCTTTATACAAAAAATGAATAAATATTTGAAATACACATATACACATATATAAATTCATAATTATTTTTCAGTTTTTCTTTGTTTTGGTTTTGTTTTTGTTTTAGTTTTTGTTTTTGTATTAATTGAACTAAAGAACGATAAAACTTTATTTATTTCCCCTATTGAATATACGCCTCTTACATATGTATATACCCTGAACCTAGGCCAAATTGGTAATCTTGTGAAAACAATATATATGAGGAAGGCATGAGTAAGCCTTATAAAATACATATATTTTTTCTTCACCATCAATAGTCTGGCAATGCTTCTTCAGATCAGGATAAATGGAAAGTCATTGATAACCTTAATCAAGTAGCTCACTACCTATCAATAACCACGTCGTTCTAGTCCACTGTTGGTCTGCTTTTAAACCTATAAGACCTAAGTGTCAGGGGCTTTCAGAAACAGATCAAACGCAGATCAAGATAAGTTTGTCTTTATCTTGAGGCTCTGTAGTTTAAGCATATATCGCATATTCTTAGAATCGTAATCTGGTATATTGACTCTCTACATAGACAACGGCGAAATCTTGCGTCTATCTATATAGAAATATGTATTACTTTTATTTGTATACATTAACTGAAAAGTTGAATACGATCGAACTAAGAGCAACAAAGTTAGTTGGGATTTGGCTAGAAGAAGAACAAGAAATATAACTCATCATATGTGTATTTGTTTGATCAAACGTATAAACTGGAAGTCAAGCAACCCCTCGACTAGACTGCTGCCTGCTCAGATTTGAATTGTAATTAGATAACTCAGATACCAATTATTTGTAGCTGGTTTCTTTAATAGTTTTATAATAATTAGCTAATTTTTTTTGTTTCTTTTTGTTTTTGGTATAATAAAATTTGTAAATGCTTAGTATTTTATTAAATAGATTAACTAATGCTTTGCAATATCGTGTGACAGCATTATGCCTTTTTAAGATGTTTTTTAATAAATAATGCGCGTGTATGCAGTTTTTTCTCCTAGCTCCGATTTTTCGATTCTACTTCACTCTTTAATATTCAAAATTTGAGTATGTTTCTTAGACGTGTTCAAGTTTTTCATCTTTTATTTGTATGTATTGGATAAGGTATACGTAGGTATAAATTATACGTCACTATATACCATAAACATGCAAATATATGTAAAACTATATATATATATAAATACATATAAATATATATATATATATATATATATATATATATATATATATATATATATATATATATATATATATATATATATATATATATATATATATATATATATATATATATAAGATGCAGAGACGGACGATGATGCGTGTGTGTGTGTTACATAGAATCTATAGAGATCTTGCTAAATCAAAAGTTTGCTTCCTTTCATAAATACATTCAATATATATAAAAAAGAGTTATTATATTTTATATATATGTATACTTTTTCCTTTTTAAGCATGTGGAATACTATCCGAAATTCAAAAATCAAATTTATCTGAAATTTTGCCTCTTGATTTAAAATATATGTATATATATATATATATATATATATATATATATATATATAAGATATATATATATATATATATATATATATTGCCTTCTTTTTCCCCCTTTCTTCTTGATATTTGGGCACAAATTGTAATTCGTTTTTACTCTTTTCCATATATCTTTTTTTTGGATAGTGAAATTCTTTGTTTATACCTGAACATATTATTAATAACATTCTATTTGTTTTGTTGTTGTTTTTTGTTTTATGCAGTACGTACTCGCAAATATTTCGGCTTACACATACGCTCAATATATTTTGAAAATAGATATTACATAAATTTATATTCTTCTTTTTTCGAATTGAATTGAAATGGAGTGTACAAAAATAATATGGGGAAAAAGCGTAAGTGTTCCATAATCTCTTCATATTTTTGGTTCAGATCTATGCTGCTTACTTGAAAATTTAATACACACACATAAGTTCATTGACCCACTTTATCATTGAAATCTTTCCGCTCACTCTATATCGCTATCTACTTTTGTGGTATAAAATCGAAAGTCGTTGCCCCGCTAATCTTTCCAGATGCGCTTCGATGAAAGTGAACATTCTGCCATTTGTTGTCGCGCCTATGCCAAACGCGAGTCTCCTCCGATTGATGGGTGTGTGCATGTCCTTGCCTAAAATATACAGAGATCAAGATTAGTTAGCGATTGACATCAATTAAAGAGTACCCGGCGAGTCCCCGGCTCGTCAAGTATATACCCGGTTCAACTTAGGGTATACACACATACACACAGACATACACAAATACAGAGAATAGGATTAGCTGTCTGGAGCAGGAGCCGAGTTAGTCAAATGAAAATAAAAACGGACTACATCAGGATTAACAATCACGACAGTCCGTGCGTAGACCTGTTTGCTCTAGAGATATGCAGAGATAATATCGTCAAGAGCGATGGCAGCTCCTAGGTACAGCTGTGGTATTTTTTTTGTGCGCCACCTACCGGTTGGTTGCGTCAGTCTCGAATGTCGAGCATGCTTGAGTCGGATTTTAGAGATTTTATAGAAGGCCGTTAAAAGGACCAACGTATAACTTTTAAAAATATAAGCACATAAACACGCAAAGGCATTCACATTCGCATACACAAGGTAGTCCCGCCACTGCCTCTTGCTCTTCCGCAATGGTCAAGTTAAGTTATCAGAATCAAGTCAAAGTATTGATATTTATCAATATTAAGATATCGGGAAAAATAATCAACTACTACTGACTGAGATACATATCAGTACATGATCGATATGGTTATACGGCCGATTATATAGACAGCCATCTATCGAACTGGTCCGCTCTACATAGCCCAAACTAAGGTTGTCTGTATGATAGGTAATAAGACTCGACGGATTAAATGAGCTAGAAGTGAGCTAGAGAGAGATGAGGGATGAGCAGTGAGTTATCTGCACGGTCTTCCTTAACGGTTACTTTACTAACTGAAGGTACAGGGTTATAAGAGTCATACTTACTTATCGATATACTGTGTAAGTCTTACATAGGCGATACAAGCGGCTTCTTCCCCCAATAGATGTACGTGGGGATTTAATATTGTTGTATTAATGGCTTTGCAATTTTTACCTAGCACTATGGGAAAATAGAATAATATTTAGTAATAGAAGTGGTATGCGTGACATAGGGTAAAAGTTATTTGATTGAGTTTGCTTTTACCATTTTCAAAATAGAATTTATGAAAGTCGATTCCTTCAACCAAATTGCCCAATGCTTCTGGCTCGAAAGCAGTTAAATGCGGATCACATATCTTACTGGTAGAGTCAGCGAATCGAAAACGAGACGAATAGAAGTAATATATTAATTTATATTCTTAAAGTATAAAGGTTAACCCTTACGTATATCCGTCGAAGTCCCCGCTGTTGATCGCTTCAATCAGTTGCTCTGTGATCTTAATTATTTCCTGTCGTCTGGCTGCTTTGTTTCCATTGTGAATAGTTGAGTTGGATATTAAATAAAATAGAGCAGTAAGACAAAGTCTATTTATACAGATTTACAGTTTGTTTGTTATGTATTTGTTGTACAGAGAAATTACATCCACGAATGAGTTTCGATTACTTATGGCGAAGGATGAGAATTACAGTTCTTGAACGATTCAAACCAACGAACTAACTAACCAACCAGCTAGCCAACGCACGAACGATCATAACAAAAAATATATATATATACTTATTTCTCGATCAAAATTATAATATTTAGGTATACAACTACGATGGCATGAAGAAGTCCAGTTGAAGAGAAGCACTGAGTTCACTACGACAAATCAAAATTAAATGCTGTGAGTGATCTTTCTTTTCCATCCCCACGGAAAACTAACACTTCGACAGCAAACACTGTCCTCGAGATGACAAAAGTTGGATTGCTTCTTGGTCCTCCTTACAAGAAGGAACTTTACTAATAAAAATATACTTTAAATTTTTCTTTCTTACAGATTTTTAGGTCGACTGGAAAAATCGGAGATATATATTCTTTAAATCTCAAGAATTGAATAAAAATGTATATGTTTATATACATACTTAAATACATATGCTATAAGAGCTTTTCGTATTTCCCAAAAAATTCGTTCACTATATGAGAAATGATGTCCGTTCAATGTCAAATTCTACTTCGATGTGCTATATACAAATCTGCTGCTAGAATATATTGTATATCAAGAGTTTCCAGCTTGAAAGGGCATAAAACAAAACATAACATAGTCAGGCTGCGAAGTCTGAGCATTTTTCATAAATTATAGATAAACAAAAAACACGTAAGACTGGCTAGTTGGAAGTGCCCGACTAGGAGATACCCTCCTCAGCCCTGCGCAGAATTGCTATTTCATTCTTCGTCTCTCTACACATACATGACATATGTACACCCACAAGTTTTTAGAACCTCATAATGACATTCATCTCTACTATTTTAATGGGGAAGATTGGAGGACGAATGCTTGTAATCGACGTATCTATATGACAGGATAAAATTAGGTGTGGCTTATCGAAATGGAAAATGACTCGTCCTGCGCATGGAATATACGAATATACTTTTTAACAAGTAAGAAAGCTCTAGTCGGGGTGCCCGACTAGGAGATACCCTGATCCCAGTCCTATTTGCGTTTATAAATATTTTCGGTAGTTTGTATCGAGTATTCAAAAAAAAAAGAAAACAAATAAAAAACGACATTACGAGACCAGGATTCGTAACGTGCACCAACTCTATCAACACAGCCACTTCATAATTTAAAAAAATAAACAATAAAAAATACTTCATCGCGCCGCCTCTACCAACGCAGCCACTGCACCTCTCGCAAGAAGAGTTGCAAATTTGAAGTTGAGTGGCAACTGATAATTCAAGCAGTATTCAATCGCAATTTCGATTCTTGGAATAGAAGGGAATAACGCGTTTGAATGTATGTGTGCACACGCATAGCAAAAGTGCGTGGGCGTGGCGCTGCTAACATGTGCTTTTGCAAATTGGCCAAACGTTTTGCTTAATAACTTCTGTTGTACTTAATGGATTTTAATGAAATTTTCAGCACATGATCTACATATCCTATTGGCTTGGTTGAGATGCAAACGCCATCACATAATGGACCTAGTTCCAACTAAACTTATATTGAAAGAACTTGGGGAAATTTGGAGCCGGTATCCAAAATCCAACGAAAACCAAAATTGCATAAAATATACATAAAACTAAACACAAAATTTAGAGGCTCTAGCTCTTAAGACGTTTGAGATATAATTTATTTACTGCATTTCAATAATGTTTTTATTCGATAACAATTAAATGCAAATAGTTATCGAATATTTGAAACAAACTCCATATGCGCGTGCTATACACGGACCTACAAAAATTTCAAGTCTCCAGCTCTTATAGATGCTGAGATCCACGCGTTCACACATACGGACAGACGGACAGGGCTCAATCGACACGGCTTGTCGTTCTGATCAAGAATATATATACTTTATGGGGTCTGCCATGCATCGTTCTGCCTGTTACATACATTTGCACAAACCATTATACCCTGATTTCCCATTTTCAATGGGATCAGGGTATCAAAAGGATATTTATAATTTATGAGGCTGGCCTCTCCCCCTTCTGATTGTTACATACAGTTACAAAAAGCCATTACAGCCGGAATTGCCATTTGCAATGGGCTTAATGGGTATACAAACAAAAATATAAATATACGCTCTTACACTATATATATATATATATATATTATATATATATTATATATATGTATATATACATATATATATAAAGATATAAAAATATAAATATTTAGTTTAGGTTTACGAAAATATGTATTAAACATGCAGGCGATTGATTAAAAGAAATCTGTGCTGGTTAGTTGACAAACAAACAATTGGAGTTGATGCATTTATGATTTTTCACATTCAAGCAAATATAAATAGCAACAGAAATATATATTATATATGTTTGTGACTGATAGGAAGGAAGTTTTCGTTAACAAAGCCATTTTTACATACCTGAAGAGCATTGCGAAGAGTTTCCTGACATTTGTTGGCAAGTTTTTGCAGGACACACAATCCTTATTTCTAAAACGCACACATTTTAACAAATTTATCAACAAAAAACATACATATACATGTACCTATATATAGGTATATAAAGTTCAACAAAATAATAAAGTTAGTATGGCTAATTGAGAGTCGACAAAATGGATGTATGACAAATGTCTGAAGTGAAATTAATATTCGTAGAGTATTTTTCCTATCTGTATCTGTCGATCGTTTAAAAAGAGACATTTTTGAAAAGATATGTTAACGCTAATCGTGCAATACAAATTAAAATGTTCTTTAAAGACCTGAATGTAAAAGTATTTATGCTCAATAAGGGATCCACAGTTAAAAGACAAATTTTGGGGCATTGACAAAAATATATCTTGCACAGATTTTGAGGTGAGGTCGTCTAGTTTTCCAAGTGGATAATGAACGCTGGCATGGTATGAATAACGATTTTCTAATCAAATTGCTTTGCCTGATTATGAAAAATGGGGTTTTTATTATTAATTATGTTCAAAATAGTTATATTAAAAATATTTTACTGGTTTACTTTTTTTTCATTTCATGTATTGTGTTCAGACAAGAACTCAGACACTCAGGCACTTGCAAGGAGTGCAATAGGAATAGATCCAATTACATGCTTAGAATCTAAAATTAGACATACCAACGCTGAACCTTACACGCTCTGCATAGATAAGTTAGATTTAAGAGAACGGGTATATGAGTACGGGTATATGAACTCTATCTCAGACGAATAAAGATCATTGCACAACTGAACGCCACCACAGTCAAATGTACTCACATATTGTTGAAAAATGTTAAATTTTGTCATATGTTGGATGCTGGCTACAAATTTACACTAAATTATTTAATTGTTCAAAGGGCACAAGCATCATGAAATCGGATAAGTAGAAGAGAAGCTAGAGAAGCGCTCGCATTTTGACATGCGGCGAATTCTATTTATAGAATCAAATAGAAATTAAATTCGTTCGGATTTGCCATGCCACAAGCACTGAACGAAGTGGGTGGGGCGGGTGGTAGAAGCCGAAGACAAATTCCTTTTTTCAAAACGAACCTTCTGTATATATGTTGTGTGTGTAGATAAGAGCCAAACTAGAATGTTTGTTAATACAGACCGATCAAGGTTCAGGGCATCTCTTGGTCAGTCTCCTCCTTGTACTTGTTTTATGTTTATCTTTCGATTGCATCACAGCTCAGAGAGAAGTTTTTAATTCAAGACTTTGTTATACAAATTTATTTCAGTTTAGAAAAACGTTGCTGCAGAATAATATGAAAGTGTTTAATAGCTCAATAAGCTCAAATGTGGAGCAACGCGACCTACTTCAAATGATCGTTTTTTACATTTTTGAAATAATCCAGCTGCAGCTTGAGTCCGAGAAGCAAAGTATGATGAATTTAAGAAGTCGAGCGCAATTACAATACTGGGATACTTAATTCTCGTGTATTTAAAGCTGATCAACTGATCTCAGATGCATGGGTGAAGCAACATTTTAAGCACAGCAGACACTTGTAGCTAGCTTCTGAATATATTTACTATATAGAGGCGAATACAATGCCAGAGAGAGAGCGAGAGCGAGAGAAAGAGAGAGAGCGAGGAGTTGTTTGATATAACAGAAATACATACGTATGAATTTTAGTAGTTCCCATTTTTTTTTGATAAACAGCAAAAATGTAACATGCGATCTGCAATAGATCAGAAAAAATAATATATAACACGTGTATGTATATATATACGTTCATCAAGTATACGTCATTTGATAATGTGTATACTTTGTAGCTATAGTAAATTGCCTAGCTTTAATGAAGTTGCGTACTCACCTCTAAGGCATAGCTTTGATTGTCTTTGGCTTTGTTCTTTGCAATTTACATTAGTAATAATATTGGCATTCGTATTATCATTAATATTGGCGTCTACTCTGGTGTCGCAACTGCCGAATGGCAGTTGAAATTGCAACGAGGAAGGATTACAATTTGATTCTCGGTCCTTCAGCTTTACTTGGTTCTGTGTCTGGTGGCCTAATGTTTTGGATAATATTTGTGTAGAGTCAGCTAGATGTATATATATCACAGAGCAATCACTTATGACTTATTACTGATTGGTAATTAGTACAGATAAGAAGCTCACTTTGCTCATCATGCAGCGGTTGCCTAATATTTATTCTTATTCTCAGTATATTTTGATTTTATGTTAATTTATTTAAGTAACAAATTCTTTCTTGTAGAATTTATTTTGGTTTTCGTTGTGTTTTCAGGGTATAATGTTTTGTTAAAATGTATGTAACACGCAGAAGGAGGTGTGGCAGGCCCCATAAATTAAATATATTCTTGATCAGGACGACAAGACGAGTCGATTAAATCCTGGCCGTCTGTCTGTCCTTCCGCATGTGAAATTTTGTTGCAGGTCCGTGTATAGCACGCACACATCAAGTTTGTTTTAATAATCGATAACTATTTTCCGACTATTGTTTTCAATTTAAAACATGATCGAAATAAAGTTATTAAATTTTATCTCATACGGCTTAAGAACTATAGCCTCCAAATTTTATATTTAGTTTTATGTATATTTTATAAAATTTGGGGTTTTGTTATATTTCGGATACCGGCTCCAAATTTTCCAAATTCTTTAAATTTAAGTTCAGTTGGAAATAGGGCCAACATAAGAAGGGGTTTGAATTTTTACTAAGCTGATAATTACTTTAATCGAATATGTAGAGCATTTCATTCAAATCCATTAAGTAAAACATAAGTCGTTAAACAAAACGTTCGGTCAATTCGCTAAAGCACGTGGCATGCCGCACTAAGCGTACGCATTTCTCCTACACATGTGCATTGCTATTGAATTGTGCTTGAAATGTCAGCTGCTGCTTATGTTTAAGTGCCGTGGCGGTATTAGTAGAGGCGGAGCTCGTTGTCATCAAGTTATGGGTTTAGCACCACGCGGCGAAGGGAATTTTTTATTGTTTATGAAAGGGCGGTTTATTTTTAGGACTTATTTTTATTCATTTTAATCAAATTATTTTTTATAAAATTATTTTTTTATATATTTTTATAAATATATAATTAAATGTCGTATATTTTTTTATTATTTTTTATATATTTTTTTATTTTTTTTTATTTGAGTAAAATTTGTTATATTATTTTTATTTTCTACTCATTTTAGTTTATATATATATAAGTTTTATGTTACAAATTCTTTTTATGTTGTTTATATACTCCAAATGTTTAAAAAAAAATATGATCCATAATCCCATTGAAAATGGGAAATCGGGGTATAATGGTTTTGTTTTTGAATATTGATTGTATTATTTTATTTAATATTTTTTAAATATCATTATAATTATTTAAATTGTTTGTTATATAAATATAATTTTTATTTACTTTGGTAATTTTATATTTTTTCATTTGATAACTTAATTTTGAATAACTTCTTCAACAAATTAAACTATCCCACTGGTTTTAAGCAATTTAGATCTTTGAAAAACGTTCATTGAAAAACTGAGAGAGGAGTAAGGAAATTCTAATTGTATAGCGAATGGTTTTTTTCTGTGCGGTTCACAAATTCAATCCAACGCTAGTAGCTCCAGCACTGAAATTAAAATTAAATCAATGAAGAACACCAAGTTGACAAAAGTATTTGCACTAGCCTCAGATAACACTCAACTTTCATCCTACATAATATATTTAGTCAACTCAGAATCTGTGCTTTATAAATGTCCTCCAGTCTTATAATATATGTATTGTAATTTATGTGTACATCCTTTAGTACGTAAAATGTTTGTGTGTTTTGTTAACGAGTAGAGTCAGATGGAAAATGAGGAAACAAATGCAAAAAATAAAGAAAATAAAATGCAATAAAAATGAAATAAAAATGTTACCTTCTGGGTCTTTGGATATGACTGTGGTACTGCGATCAACGATGCCTTTTTTATCTTCTAAAAAAAACGAAACGAAACATATTTCATAATTGATAATTGCAACTGTGTTGTTTCCAATACTTTTTTTTTTTGCTCAGATTTTCGAATACTTTTCATACAAGTAAGTCTCCTCCCCACCAATATTTTACCCACTTTTTTTTTGTTTTTCTTCCAAAGTTGGAATTTAAAATAAAATAAATAAGCTTCTCACTTTACATCATATAAGAAATCGACTAAATGTAATTAGAGCAATAGCAAGTAGTTGGAATTTAAAATAAAAGAAATAAGCTTATCACTTTACATCATATAAGAATTCGACTAAATGTAATTAGAGCAATAGGAAGTAGTACAAAAGGTGTCGAAGAAACTGATCTATGAACGCTCAGTCGGGCGCAGCCGACTTTAAAGGGGATTTATATATATTATGGATTATCTGCCCACTAATAGACCAGCAATATGTAGGTATATTTTTCACAGATTCAGCATGCACTTCTTTTTATTTAATTATCTATAGTAATACTTCTGTCTCTTGATCTCCCTCTCCCACTTATTCCTGCTTCACTTATACTACTTCTATTCCCATTCTCTTCTTCTCATTTTCTTCATCTTCCTCTAAATATTTATATCAACTCGTTTTTCCCTCGCACAATATCCTCGTCCCGTCTTCCTTTTGCAGATATTCCTCGCCATGTCATTTCTACTGCTCCTCACTTTCAAGTTTATTTTGTTCAAATAGCCTAATTGCCATGTACTCCCAGTGAAGATGTTAGTCTATCAGACAGAGGTTCAACACACGAGAATAGTCGGACAATAGAATTCCCCTATCACTATAGGAACGGCTGGCGGATGCAGTCTATATACATACATTTATACTTGCGCCTGCAGACAGTCGAGATGTACTGTAATGTTAAGATGCTTGCGAGCATCCAAAAGTTATGTAAATAAAACAGGGCGATATTCTCTAAAAATACCTTTAAATTTCATTACGTATACGACTAGTTACAAAATATTTTGTTTATTTTTAATAAATGTGCAAAGTATATGAAAATATATTTCACTTGAAAAAGGTTATACTTAGACATTCCATCAAAATAAGAAATAATCATAAAAAGAAGTAGACACAGGCAAATGAAGAAGAGGCATATTACGACAGCTATAATACGATATAAAAAATATGCGTGCGAAATAAAGAAAGGAAACGAAGGCAAATTTTGGTAAATCGACTATCCAGAAGTTAAATATATATGGACTGTGTTATAAATAGTTATACATATACTTCAATTCTTCCAATAAATAATATCTTTCTTGTCTAGATCACTATTTCGTATGGCCTAGAAACACCTAAACACATATATAATAACCTCACTTCATTCAAATAACAACTGAAATTCAAGCTCGAATTTCGTGGATTAGAAAATTTAAAATCAATTTATATATAAATATTTACCTTTGACATCATCGTCCTCTAGAGTTGTGCTCGATGAATCAGTTGATTCCTTCACTTGAGAACCGTCGCCCTTCTTAGTGATCATGCTTCTGCCTATATAGATCAATACCATAAAATTAATTATTAATAACTTTAGGTGGTCGTTATATGTCGTTACCGGGCAGAAAAAGCCATGGAAGATTCTATACGCTATATATATCCCCCAATCACCCAAAAAATACATTTGAAATCTCTAGCTCTTGTGGTTCTGACACTACGCAAGATAAAAAAAAAAACAAATTATCGATTATTACCAATAAAATTTAAGTCGATGAGATATCGATTCAACTCATATTTGGTAAGAAAATATTTTTTTAAGGGTTTGCCCCACCTGATTTTGACGGTTGTCCATATTTCAACTTAACCAATAATTATACTATATACACAGTATATTCCCAGTTTCAATGGATCATATATATAAATCATCATATATATAAATAAAGTGTATAAATTCTGTACATATTGTATAACTCTTTCATAAAACTCTCTTTAAAATAGGCAGCCTCAAACAGACATAATCGTTCCCAATAAAATACATAAGTTTTATATATATCTACTTACTAGAAAAGTTCCTAGTTGCCAGCATTGTTGTTAGTATAGCACCCTTTAGCTTGCGACGAGCATTGAATTTTTTGAGACAATCCACAGTTTCTTGGCGATGCACCACAGAAGCCACACGTTCCCTTTGCTACATATAGATAAATATCACAAATTGAGATAAAAAGATATTAAAAAATACAAAGCTTCCGAGATAGTAATACATACGCAAATCCATGGATGCTTAAGTGCTTCAGCTGCAGTTATTCGCTTATTTGGATTAACAGTTAGCATTTGGTTAATCAAATTTTTTGCCTCGGGCGTCACAGTGTCCCATTCGGGTGATGGATACTATAAATAGACAGTACGGACACGGAAGTTTAACTTCGAAGTCGAATTTGTATTTTATAATTTGAAACAAGCGTGCTCTCTTTGTCGAATGTGTCGACTAGAAAACGGTTACGGCTGTGCACCAGGCGCAGATAAATGCTTACTAGGGTCTTGGGTCAAAATGGGGTAGACTATAGATTATTATAAGTAAACATTCTGTTACATTTTTAAATTTATCATGCCAAATAAAAAATTTCAGTTAATGATCTCCTCTATTGATTTACCAAAAATGGGTGGTAAATCGAAAAAAAAACAAGTAAGAAAACTCAAGTCGGGGTACTCGACTAGGAGATACCCTGATCCCGGTCCTATCTGCGTTTTTTAATATTTTTTGTAGTTTGTATCGAGTATTAAAAAAAAAAAGAAAACAAATAAAAAATGACATTACGAGACCAGGATTCGAACCCGTATTGTTTGCGAAACGTGCACCAAATTTACCAACACCGCCACTTCATAATTCAAAAAAAAAACAATAAAAAATACTTCAGCTCCGCCGGTCTCAAACCCTGAAACTAGCTGCATACAAGCGCCGCCTCTACCAACGCAGCCACTGCACCTCTCGCAAGAAGAGTTGCAAATTTGAAGTTGAGTGGCAACTGATAATTCAAGCAGTATTCAATCGCAATTTCGATTCTTGGAATAGAAGGGAATAACGCGTTTGAATGTATGTGTGCACACGCATAGCAAAAGTGCGTGGGCGTGGCGCTGCTAACATGTGCTTTTGCAAATTGGCCAAACGTTTTGCTTAATAACTTCTGTTGTACTTAATGGATTTTAATGAAATTTTCAGCACATGATCTACATATCCTATTGCCTTGGTTGAGATGCAAACGCCATCACATAATGGACCTAGTTCCAACTAAACTTATATTGAAAGAACTTGGGGAAATTTGGAGCCGGTATCCAAAATCCAACGAAAACCAAAATTGCATAAAATATACATAAAACTAAACACAAAATTTAGAGGCTCTAGCTCTTAAGACGTTTGAGATATAATTTATTTACTGCATTTCAATAATGTTTTTATTCGATAACAATTAAATGCAAATAGTTATCGAATATTTGAAACAAACTCGATATGCGCGTGCTATACACGGACCTACAAAAATTTCAAGTCTCCAGCTCTTATAGATGCTGAGATCCACGCGTTCACACATACGGACAGACGGACCCATTTCCCATTTTCAATGGGATCAGGGTATAAAAACATTATATTCCAGGTACTGACACAGGACATAGATAGATTAGCTTCTCCACAGACAGACCTAAGACCAAATATATGTTTTTTTCTATAATGGGCGTCATCTAGTATGAAATGGTAACCGGAGTATAAATTCTAAATTGAAGTCATTTGATTTTTTTGGCTATAAGCCACATATTCAATAGAATATGTAGGCCATGTTCCGTGTGGTCGATTGACAGAAGCAACTGGAAATCAGAGCCAAGCCTAGTTACTTTCCCTATCTATATTCACATATTCATTCATTCATCCTTGCATTGCTTTTCGAATTCTATGTCAAGTCTGAGCTATTCTTATTTCATTTACAGATGCAGACTCAGATTTAGATTCAGATTCAGATTCAGTATGTCCAAAAGTCAACCGGTAAAGTATAGATTACGGCTGTACGATATGAAATATGAATAGCCATTCTTACATCGTAGGCACCAGCCTTTATTTGCGAATACAATCGGTGCTGATCCTCGTCCCAGAACGGGGGGTATCCAACCAATAATATGTAGAGTATAACGCCTATGTACCCGAAACATATGAACAAATTATTAATAATTAATATTAAAAGTAAACGAATTGAATGAGTTTCAAGGAAGCTTACCACATGCCCATATATCTACCGATTTGCCATATGGCTCTTTCTTCAATACCTCCGGGGACAAATACCCTGGAGTGCCCGCAAATCCAAACCAGGCTTGATGATCACCTTGCACTTCAATGGCTAGACCAAAGTCCGCGAGTTTCACAGCTGCACCCTTTGCCTTACTTGCTAATAGTAAATTCTCTGGTTTGAGATCGCGATGGACAACACCGTTCTGATGGCAGTGATTGACCGATTCCAATATTTGCTGTATACAATGTGATGCATCAGCCTCTGAATAAAATTCACGTGCCACAATATCTTCGAATAGTTCACCGCCAGTTACACTGTAAATATATATGTATTTAGTATAATCAAATTTTCTGTTTTCTTTTTTTTTCTCGAAATTATCGTTCAATTCTTCTTTGATTCTTTTCTATTCTGAAAAGTGAGTATATTAGCTGCCAGCTACACTACATCTTTTTATTTTTGTTTTGTTGTGTATCCAATTCGAATATTCTAATATTTACAATTTTGTATTTTATACTATATACATATAAATTAAATAGTGTTGAGGTTTTTGTCGGAGGGGAAAAGGATGAACTATGAATCTCAATAAACAATAGTCAAAATCCATTTAGCTTCAATCACAGTTTTTTCTTCGAGAAGTGTTGTGAAATTCCATTTTTATATAAATATATATATATTTATGTTTGTGTTGGTATATACATATTATATATATATATGTATATATATGTACAAATACTTACAGATCAAAAACAAGGTAATGATAATTTTCCTCCTGTATGCTGTCATGCAATCGAACTGCAAATTGAATAAACCAGTTATAATTGTAATAAGGATGAGTTATCGGTAAATTATATTCTTAAACTGCGCTCATCATATGTTCAGTTGAGTTTTTGGAGAGACCAAGAATTTGAAATTCATAATACTATACCATACACCATCGCCACATAGAAATATCAAGATTATACAGCTATATGTGCCATACTTACATAACTGAAATAACTATTCTACAACCGAAATATGTTTATACTATAAATATTTATGTCTATATCATACCAATATTGGGATGATGTAACTTTCGACAAATTCTAGCTTCACGTTCCAGCTTTTGAAAATCTATTAAGAAAAATAGAATTAAAATTTATAATTAGGTAGATTTTGGATCCTACTTGGATACTAACCTCTTGCTGTTAGCTTCTTGGTATTTATAATCTTGGCCGCAAATTCGAATCCTGTTGACTTTTGGACACATCTTTTTACTATGGAAAAAGCACCCCTGCAATGGAATTGAATGAATAATGACCATTTCCGAAGACTTGTGGAGTTCACTTACTTTCCGAGCTCCTCCTTGATGTCGTAATTGTCCGAAAAACGCGTACAGGCTGCTGGAGCAGCCATCGCGATGGCACACTTGAGAAAATCTATTGTGTGTGTGTATCAATTAAAGATTCTGTATTGACTTTTTATATGTTGTATGTTGTATATGTATATATTATTTTTTCAGAAGTTTGCCGGCGAGAGGTTAGCCGTAGAACTTTTGCGTTCCTTGAATTGGGTGCTCGACTATATACTTTCTTTTTGTTGTTTGTTTAAGTAGTAGGTGTTTTCCGGTTCGATTATATTCTGGTAAAAGAAAGTCAAAATTAATCATACATTCTCTTTATTTTCTTTTTTAATACGAAAACTTAAATGAACAACAAGTCGGTTAGCACACGATCATACTGAATGATCAAGCTTTTAAGCACTAAATATTAAATAGCAAATACCAAATTACAAACTGTTAGAAAAAACTTTTTTTATATTACATCGCTGTAACTAAGTCTTCAAAAGAATGTTGTCACGTTTCGTGAATATGAAGTAGTTCTTCTTTACATTTAATCATCAATCAATACAATGGAATATAGAACTATATTACACCCATAAGAGCCTGTCTTTAGTTTGAGATTGATTTTTCTAGTGATTTTTAAGGGAAAAACATAAATTTAGTTACGGTCACACTGCGCTGCAATGCTGCCTTAAATCGAAATACTTAGTGGCAAGAAAAAAAACACAAACAAATAAATGCGACTTCAATAAAAATTAAAAATTCTTGAATCGCATATAGTAACAGATATTGCATTAAAAATAAAATAAAAAAAATTATGTATATGGTTGCCAATAAATATTGCTTAATTAAATATTTACGCAATTGATAAAAATAACGATGTATTAGTTTTGGTACGTATTTGTACCAAAGGTGGTCACAGTCGGCATGGCAACTTGGATATGGACAAACATATACCGAAATGTATGATTGTACAAACAATTTATCAACTTGAGTGTATAGTATAAATTTTCATTGATTCAATAAAATGTATGTGATACGAACTTTGATTTAAGTTTTAGTTAAGGTAGCTATTGGGATATATACATATATAATATACATCAATGTGTATATATATCGACTGGAAGAGCGGACGAGCCAATCCACACCAAAGAGTTACAGAGAGTACATAACTGCAGAGTATTGGAGCAAAACATGCAAAAGTATACACATATGTAAATATGTGTGCATGTAGTACGCTTTAGATATCCATGTGTAAAATATTACTAATCTAATTAAACTTGTTGCACACATATGTGTGTATATAATGTGTATACATATGAATATTAACTATTCAAATCGCAACAAGTTTGTCAAATATGTATACTCATACATATGTACTTATGTCGCTCTATATACTAATTTGCGCATGCACGTACATACGTATGAAAGTAATAATACATGAGTATATAAACATGTGTGTGTTCAAATGCGAATGTATTTTTGTGCCTGTTATATATAAATGTATATATGTATATACTCATGTGCATATATGAACATGTTGCTTTTGTTTCCATATTCCATAAAAGCTGCGCATGCATCTTACACCAGTTTTTCAAGTGCTAGTAAGGCAGGGAGGGTATTAGAATACATACTAATTTATTTTATTCACATTTACAATAAGTGGAATAAGACACTCTTTAAAGTATTTATATATACATTTTTATGTATTTTATATACACGCTACTATTTACTAAAATGTTTGCGAAAATACATCCTTATGTATTTATATATGTGTATGGATGTATGTAGCATGTAAATTTATTTGTGTAGTGTGTGTGTGTGTATACTATGTCACATCTCGTATATACTTGCAAACATATTCAATATACCCTACATATATACATTCATATGTTTTTACGCATACACACACACATATATATTTATATATAATTATAATTATTGCGCTATTTGTAAATCGTTTACTGCTGTAACGTAAATTGATGTAACTTATCCACGGATACACACTAGAATGTCCTTTAAATTGGGCGAGGCAAAAACCCCACCTGTTATATATTTACATGTATGTGTTAATACATACATACATAATTAAGCACTCGTACACCTATATACACATATGTATATAAATATAAAAAATACAATTTATTTGCAATGGTTCAATAAATATTTATGTCACTTCACTCCCTACGTGCGCGCTATACAAAGAATATATGTATCTGCATTTGTATACATATACTTATGTATGTAAGCTATATATACAATACATATTAAAATATATACGCCTGTGTATATATGTAAATAAATTTTGTAGGTCTTAGAATTATTCTCTACACACAAATATATGTACAATTGTAAGTAGGCAAATTTTAAATTAAATTTACACAAGAATATATACATAAATATGCGAACATTTTAAATTAGTTCCTACAGCCAGTGATAAAACATTATTTTCGTTGATACGTATATGTATATATAGGTATAAATTATATACATATATATATATATGTATATATATACATATATATATATACATATATATATGTATATATGTGTGTATATGCTTAAATATGGTATACTTGAAAATAGTGTATTTGTCAAAATGAATATGAACATATAATACATACATACATATATACATATATACATACATAAAATGAGTGTATTCCTTTAAAGAATGTATGCACATATATCTTCGTATTGCTCGACGGGACCAGGCGATAGGCGATAGGAGACAGGCGAGATGCGACAAGCGACACGCGACTATGTAGGTATGGATGTGTATGTATGTATATATATATGATATATATTTATATATACATATATATGTATATACTACATATATACATATATATATATATATATATACGTGTTGTTGTATTTAACGTCCGTTGGTTAGCAAAGCGAATTCAATACTGATGGCCTCTGATAGAAAGCATCAGCATCAGGAGTAGCTGCTATAGAGGAATGCATATCTATGTGTGCTTAACATTTCTCTATCCCAGGTCGCCCCTTATTCTCAGTATATTATTCTTCTTTTTGTTGTTGTATTATCTCTCTCTCTCTCTCTGATTCAGCTTATTTGAACTTGAGCAATAAAGCTTAGAGAGAAAGTCTCCACGACCTTTCGACGCATGACCGGCGAACGAGCTTTTTCTTCCTTTGGGCAAAAGTTTGAGCTTTTTCAAAATATCCACACGTGTAGGTACATACATGCATGCCACCATATATGTATATATATATTGCATATATGTATATATTTTGACTATCGATAGCAGCTCATTTTCGAAATGAACTGTTTATTATTTAATAATATTTTGATGTACATGCATAGGTACATTTACACTTATTTGTGAACATCGTACATACATACATAAATGTGTGTATATGCATACATACAAAAGGCAATGCAGTTATATGAAAATTAATTGACACGCATAATCAAAGTCTTGATTGATGTTCTTCTTCAGGACGACAAGCTAGAGCTAGAGCAAGGGACTTGAAATTTGAATAGTAAATTCCTGCATACTAAAGGCACTACGATCAGTTGCAAGAGAATTGGCTTGAAAAGCATTCTAAGAGAATTCTGTTGTCATTAATGTGCTCTGGATATTTCATTAAGGGAGTCTATATAGAACAGCTATTAAGTAAGTCATTTCCTATATGCATATGTGAAAACTTAGAATAGAAGCATCCGCTCTAAACAGGGTTCGCGGTATCTCTTAGTTGGGCACTCCCACTTTATATAAGTTTTGCTGATTTTTTAAGCAACAATTGATAACCAGAGCTCAGTTTCAAAATAAAACCCGTATTTTTATACAGCTGCAAATTTTTATTTGTTTTTATGCCCTAACAAAAGGAATTTAACTTTTTAGTTGTACAAGTACATACGAATTAGAATATGTCTTCTATATTGAGTCCATAACGTATATATATTCATATCTATTTATGTTCATCAGAGAGATGTTAAGACTATACTAGCCACATCTGTCCCGTTCGAGTTGATATACATATGAATATTCAATTGTTTTACTCTCTACACCCTTAATTGTGTGTGTCGTTACAGTTATTACAAAAGTATTTAATATATAGATTACAATTGTATATTTTCGGCTGCAGAAACATCTATTTAACCATTTAACCAGAAAATGGCAGGCGTGTGCTGTTATATCTTATATATTTATATCAAAATTGTGCCGTTTCGTACAGCAGGAGGTAAATCATCATTTACCATAGTTTTGTTCTTTTTCCCATTTACTCTGCGTCCGTCATTCCGTATAAACGCGTACCATTTTGGGCACATACATCTTAAGATTATAAATACTTCGCCGACTTGGTGCATGGTAAATCGGGAAACACTGTGTATAAGCTTACAATTTGGCAAGTGACTTAACATTGACGTCGTTTACATATCGACCAAATAATATACATCCTCACTAGGAGCGTGATAGCAATCGGGAATCGATATATAGTGAAAATATATCCTGCTAGATTTTTTCTAAAAACAAAAATCGTATACAAACGCTAATCGCGGCAATCTCTTATAGTTTTAGAGTCCTTCTGAGGCTCAGCCGGATTCTGCAGATGAATTGCGGTTGAGTATCTTCAGAAATCCGAAAACATCGATTTTTCATTCATCGAAACTCTTCCATTTTCTCATTTCTCTTTGCTGTTTCTTTTAAGTTCTTCCTGTATAATATTATACACAAGTAAATAATTTTCTTAAAAAATGTGATTAGGTATAATTTATATACTCTTTCACGTATCTATAAAAGATATACTTTTATACCATATTGTTAAGATTTTCCCGATACAATCGCTTGGGCGTGGAGAATCGGTAAATGCTATATTTGCCCAAAGGTAATGTTGTTATTTTTTAGGTTAGCGCTAGAGACTTGCATGTTGACAACCCAAGACTAGAAATATATAGTAGATATATCTACGCCCATAGGAATTGTGAGTCAATAGAACAAAACTACATGTTCCCAAGATTTAAAGCTAGAGCTCTAGAATTTGACGACTAACACTGTTGACCTCCTTTTGGGATTATAAATAATGGAATGAAACTATAGACTATGGATTATCGATTAACTAGATTAGATGAGTGCTTGATATTAGCTTAAAATTGAAGCTTATGCATGTCATAATATAGTAATATTTCCGAGTATTATTCTTTATTTATTTAGAGCTCTGAGGTCATCCGACTTGTTAAAACTTGAACCCGTCGAGCATTACAGCTTTTGCACAGCACATGATCATCTAAGGGATAGCAGCCGCGACCATCAGCTTCTGACGACAATAAGAGGGCACAGTCCTGCAGAATAAACATTTTAAATACCAAATTTGAGAATTATTGTTTTTGATGCTATGAATAGGGTGGATATAAAAGCACAGTTCCGCCTCTATCTATATTGAGATTTACATCTATATCTAGGTCTCCATCAGATCTGTACATCTCCTTATGTCTCTGTCATCTTCATCTGCATAATCTCTTTCTCCCTTTACTTATGATTTACAATCATCTCTTTAAATTGAACATTTTATTTCCCTGAATAAAGGGAACTCCTGAACCCTGTGCAAAACAGATATTCTACTTATTATTATTCTACTTTTATTTCATACATTCAAATGATAAAACAACACATGCATATAAATTCCTTTTCTAAGCAGTATTAAATATTATATATTTTTTTATTATATTTTCTTCGTTCATCTATTATCTTCGCTTCTTATAGTTGAGCATCATGTTAGCTCCCCCTTTTATTCATTTCCATTAATTTTGCGTTAAATTTAATTATGAATATCTCGCTTAATTAAATCATTACCAAACTTTTTGGATGGGCTAAGAAATTATTCTTTTGGAAAAAAATAACCATTGAAAAATATATAGGTTTGTCTCTGGGGGTAAAATCAATTATTGAAGTTTACTTTTATTCTTAACAATCTGGGCTAAAACTCGCAAAAACAAGCAAGAAAGCTCTAGTCAGGTTCAATCTGCTTTTTTTTTTAAATATATTCCATAGTTTGTATCGATCGCATCAACTCTATCAACACTGCCACTTCAAAACTAAAAAATAAATAAAAAGCTTCCGACGCCGCCCGACATTAAACCCAGAACTTCTCGCCAACGAGTGCCGCCTCTACCAACATAAAAAGCTGCAAGTCTCAACTAAATTTACAGCTGATAATTCAAACATTATTCAATTGCAATTTCGATTTTTCGAATAGAAAAAAATGCATTTCAATGTGTTAGTGCACAAGTATTGGAAAGTTTCGGACGCTTGGCGTTTTGTTTAATAACTTCTATATTATTTAATGGAATTTGATGAATTGCATATTATTTTATGATGATTTTTAGCATATCTACGAATTGTATTGGAGTAACTGTCGGCCTAATAACAATGCAAACTTTTACACATTGGCCCTATTTCCAACCGAACTTAAATTGAAAGAATTTGCCAAAATTTGGATTCGGTATCCAAAATAAACAAAATCAAAATTGTATCAAATATACATAAAACTTAATACAAAGTTTGGAGGCTTCAGCTCTTAAGCTGTACGAGATATAATTAAATAAGTAATTGCACTTCGATCATGCTTGTAATCGATAACATAAAAACGGGAGCAGTTATCGATTATTTGAAACAAACTTGATATGCTTGATATGAGGCAGAGAAACAAGTAGAGAGTTGATAATTCTTTCGGTGTGAATTTTTTATTTTAGCTATATTTGGTTTAGATAGTCGAGAATCAACAAAGTAAGCTTCAATGACTGATTTTTTATAGCATGCAAATATGACGGTTAGGAACATATAAATTATTAAAAGTGGGGCGGAGCGCTAACCGGATGACGAACGATACATATTAATATTTCATAACATAATAAACTAAATATATTTTACTGAATTTCTCACCTCACATTTATAGCATTCTAGATGAAAACTTCGATCGAGGGCAACAACTCGCACGGTTTCTTCTTGTCCAGGCTCCGGCATAATGGGCTCCTGGCAGACACAGCAACGCGGTGCAAATTTCCTGAAATGTTTATTAATTTTCATTAATAAACCTCTACAATTATACTATATATATATATATATATATATATATATATATACATATATATATATATGATCCAACACACTTATGGAAATCAGCAATGCAATAATTTTGATTCGTCGCATCCACTGTGAACGGAATAGCTGCAAATCAAAAACAAAAAATTTTAATTGTTATTTGTTGAAAGACATGAATATTTGTTAATATTCGATCACTTGTTAAAAGTGTTCGATTCAATACACTCCTTTTGCTAGAAATTTTAAATTTAAACGATTCTATATCTTATACAGTTTTACAGCCAGTATAATCACATATATACATATTCAAAAATTTTCATTTGCATCCACTACTAATCCTATAAGTAAATTGCTTCGTTCAGTTATCAAACCAAAAAACATTGAATCTAAAACTAAACCTAAAAAACGGAAGAACACCTAGCGAACTTTTAAAAATATATATACATGATCCGAATAACCAATTGATTCAATAGGTAGAGCTATGCCAGTTGATACGATACTCTTTTCGTGAATGAGTAATGATGGTCAGAGAGTTGAGTTATATATTTTTTACCATCCAAACTATTTCCACAGACAACGCAGGTAAAACATTGTGGATGATAGGGCTTGCCAGTGGCTCTTAAGATTCTTTCTAAAATTGGCTTCAAGCAAACTGAACATTTCTCAAGTGTTTGCAAATAGTCAAATTCGCAGAATGGTTGTCCTTCAAGTGCATAAAATGGTTTGCCCTGCAAATTCAGTTGACATTCGGTGCATGTGAAACATGAAATGTGATAAATTTGATCCATCGCAGTGCATCCACTACTTTCGCCCAGAACCCGTTCTTTACACTTGAAACATCGACCTATATGGGTAATACACAAAGAGAATTATAATATTATTATTATTATATACATATAAATTATTTAATATATTCTAAACATATACCGACCGTAGCTCTCCACCTCGTTTGCCGAATCAATCGATGATAAATGATATTGACTCATGTGTTCATCATTAACATTTCTTTTCGAAAATCCAATATTAGTCGGGGGAGAACCCTCTACTTTAGCTTCGCCATTGCAGTAAATGGGTGTATTAAATCTACTTCCACTTTGTTCCACTGCCGTTTTGTTCCACATGCTAACCGGCATATTGTGTTGATTTACATACGTAGCATATATATTGCAATTGGTAGTACGTGAAGACATATCACTGGGTGGACGTGGATTTATCGGCTCGTATATCGAATCATATGTCGAAGAGCTCTATCCAAACATAAGAAAATCAATGAAAAAAAAAAGTTAGACGGACGGAATATATAAAAAATATACACTTTATGTGATCACATTTCAATGAGTTTATGGTCATATGTACATCATACATTTGATGCTCATGTTACTGGTGCTTAAATTTCATATATCCACAACATCTATATATTCTTAAATGTACATGAGATCGTTGACGTCGCATCTATTAACCATATACCATATATTTATATAATATTATAATATAATATGTTCCTACCTGTGATAATGAACCATAACCTAAATATTCGCCACACGTCTTATTTTGAAAGCTCTGAAATAAATATTACAACTTTGTTGAATTATTATTATTTGATGATATATTATGATATGCGAATTTACGTTTTGTGTAGCATATTGATTGGTATGATTTGCCCGGGACATTGATGTTGCCATCGGTTTATTTGGAATTTTTTCTTGTAAATCGACAGCTTTGCTAAAGACATCGCTAGCTCTTCGCAGCTCACTATACGAAGAGCTGACTGGACTTGGAGGCTGTGGTAAATCTTCTTCCAGTTCCTTATCTAAAAATGGGTTTGTCCAAATAGAAAGCTTTCGAATCGGGGACATTACATTAGCAATGATTGGATCTGTAATATATTGTAAATATTTGTTTTTAATCATTTGTTTATTATCGATTATCAAAGTCTCTTTAAAACGATTCAAATTTCCGCTAAAGCATTTAGGGGCGGATCATCTTCCTTGATCGCACCGAAGTTTCAGGATCCCAGATTATAATAAAACTTACCATTTTGTGTAGAAGTTTGTTGGACGTTGGAAGAATCATTTGGTTGCACAAATACAGATTTCGAATCATTCGTTGGACACTCTGAAGAGTGTGGCAGATTGCTATAAATAGATGCAGTCTGCCTAGAAAAGTTATGGCCACTTAGCGATGTGGAAGATAGTTTCGGAATGCTATCAATATACTCCGCAATTTGTTTACTCTGCGCGCCCAATAGTCCTTTTTTCTCCATTTGCTGTTTGTGATACGCTAAAGCTTCTAATTGCTGTTCCAATATAGCTGGGTTATCCAAAGTAGTTCGGCTGTTGCTGGTCTTGTCGCCGCTTTTACTCGCATATATGGGCTGCTTCAGTAAAAGATTGGACCCGCTAGGCAGTGGCTGTGAAAAAAGTGGCTCTCGGGTGTCGGTAACTAATTTGCTGAGGGGTACCTACAAACTTATTCAGTCATATTTAATTTGTCCACTCAGACGTTTTCAATTATTTTTCACCTGAGGCATATCAGTTTTTTTGAATGGCTTCGGTGGAATGGTTGGTGCCGTCTTCGATTTGGCGAGAGCGGCGACATTTTGAGCAGCACCAGATTTCTGCTGTAAGTTGTCAACTAAAGCTGCGACTTTTCCGGATTTCGCATGTCCATCGTCGCACCTGCTATTTAATATAGTTAATTGCTTCAACTGCTCCTCTAATGAATTCATTGTGCCGTTTTCTTGCTCAACCAAATGAACAACAATAGCACCTATTCACTATCATACACAATCAATTCATAATTTTTTATTTATAAATACACAACAACGTTAGAGATGAACGTTATACCGATTTCTAGATTTAGTAGTTCAAGTTCATCATTGTGACCTATCGAGAAGGTTGTTGTCAATTACGCCATTTTTTGGATTTAATAGAAGTTATTTAATTGAATTTGATCTCCGTTACCGAATGTGAAAGGCATTGCGCAAAGTCTTAAATATTTAGTTAATACTGTCAATCGTGTAGTAAGTATCATCGATAACACTTCGCGATTAATTCGTGATTCGTGAATTTACAAAGTACATAAAATTTAAAAATTTAAATTTATATATATATATATATATATATATATATATATATTTTTTTTTTTTTTTTTCTATACATATATATATTTTATTATTTATTATGAATTTAAATTATGGTTGGTGGCAGTTTCCTTAATGTGAATTGTTATGCTTGTCATCCCCAGTTTCGATCAATGTTCTAGACCAGAGCCCTTTTCGTGTTCTAGGTCTAAAAATGCAGCAACATGGATACCGTTGTCTGTCTTAAAGCCAGTGAGAACGTGAAGGTTTCTTGAGGTGTTTCTGGCAGACTATCGCAGTCCTCAGAATTCAAGTAAACAATCATGCACAGTCTTCGATTTCATAATCAATGCAACCATTATATTTTTCGGATGTTTTTGGTACTATTATATGCATAAGCTATATTTATTTTCTCCTAAGTGTTGACGCAAATTTGATGTTAAATATGTTAAATATATTATCTGCTGCCCGCCCAACTTCATATGGGAAAACAGAGAACAGAACGAAAATGTGGCGCCACAACTGAACTGTTAGTTAAAGTAAAAAATTACAGTGACTTGGAACCATATGCTGATGATCGCCCCGTTCAAATATTTTAACATAGCTGCGGAACTTTTCGTTGCCTAACCAACTGGGTCTTTAAACAGTGACTTGGAACTGTGTGCTGAAGTATTTCAGCACTTTCAAATAGCTTAACATGGTTGTGGAAGTGCGGGGCGTTTTCAACACAATAGTTCTTGGCCCGTTAACTCAAATATATGAGATTTGTGGTGATACAGGAATTCATACATACTTATGTCAAATATATGTAAATATATATAATAAGCTTATTGTCTTTAAAATATTAACGAAGTGCATTTTATTTAAAATAAGCATGTTTAATAACTTATTTAAGAAATTGGTATTGTTCCATTTTTGTTTACAATTAGAGGAAATTGCAGCTAAGAAATAATATTGTTATGTCATGGTTTGTTCTTTATGCGGCCTTCGGTTTCTTGTTGGGCACAAACGTCGACGATTTAATCTGGCACTTGTGCTGACCATGCAAGCCGTGTACAGGCAGGCAGCGACATTCGCTGATCGTTTCCGTTTTGAAGAGTGTGTCCGCAATAGAAGATGTTACCTGGTTAAGCAATTTCTTTTGATCACCTGCCTTCAGTTTATCAAAATTTTGGGTGTTGAATGCCCATCCTCCATTATTGAGTACGAAATCAATGCCCATATCATTTTCGAATTGCAATTTCGAGCGTTTCTTATTGTCCTTGCCATCCAGCGTAGCGACCAGGCGAGCATTAAAACCTTGGAAAAAATGTATTTAATTTCTGGCTGCTTAATATATTTTAATAAGACCTACCAACTAGCTTTTCAGCTGGCACACCTTCCAGAGCAAGGCCTTTGATTGGCGCAATTAAGTGAAGAAGAGCTCCATCGAATTTGGTCGTAGTTCCAGTTATTTGTGCTCGTACGAATTTCCACTTTTGAAGAAATATTTAAATAATTACATTTAAATACATTTAAAAAAACAATGCAATCAAATATATTACCCAATTATTGTACTCAAGCGAATTGCTTCGAACGCCAATTATGCTCTTGGCAGCCCCAGCGCGGAATGGATAATCCAAGGCTAAGTGGAATGCTTTCTCATCAGATTGCGGCACAATGGTCTTGATGAAGCGCTCCAGCATATTATAGATCTCCAATATACGCTTTTCGGTTATGATTTGCTCCACACAATTTTCACAGAAATTATTTGGTCCATTCAGTTGCACATTGGCTACGTTGCCTCTGTAGTTAATTTTGCCATTGTCGCTGGTTAGCAGTGCAGGATAACGTTTCGTCTCATCGAAAGCTATGACTCCAATTTGAACGTCAGTGAATCCACGTGTCTTTAGCGATTCGCGTATATCGGTAATTGCCGGAGCTACCAAATTAGCCAACACAGTTGGCGTCACATTGATGTCAACCACAAAGACAACGTCGGCTTTGTTCGATGGTATTTTGACGCTGAACTCTTCGCCCAGTTCACGTTGACCTGCGGCACCGGTACATTTCAAGCAACGTGGCGGCAATAATACCCATTTGTTTTGCAGCTTCAATGCTGAGCCATAGGCCAGGGCAAAGGTGCATGCCACCGATTCCCTATCTTTCTCGGGTACACTTCGCACAGCAACATCGCAGGCGCTGCGATAGGGACGAGCGTCCAACGTCAAATAGTATAGCGCCAATGGCGAATCGATGCTAAAGATGTCGGAGCATATTTCGTTTTGAGTCTGGCTTTCCAACTGGCTCTTGTCGAATGTTATGGGACTGCATTTACCAACAGCATAATCGTTGCCCAGTGCAGCAGAGTCGCTGGCGAGGGTACCATCGATTAGCAGCAAATCATCGTATGGCTCGGCATTGGCGTTGCCCAGAAGGCCGCGGGTTTTGCTTGTGTAGAATCCGTTGACATTGACGTGGCATACCTTCAAGTCAGTTGTACATACGACGGTAACACCGTATTCTGAGTGTATATGCACCGTGTAGAAGCGGCGCCACGTATGAATGCCGGGCAAGTGTTGCGGATATTCAACAGCTTTTCCGTTCACTTTAAGCGCGATACTATCGCTGACTTCCACGGAATTGCCATCGCGATCAATGAGCGTAATGGCCTTCAACTTACCGTTATTCAGCTGGCCAATCACCGTGAAGTTCTTGTCAACACTGTCCTGAGCAAAGATATATTTGCAATTGCCGGGATAGGCATAGCTCTGGCCATCAAAACTAAATACATGCTGACCATCAACAATGTGGCCATGTAGTTCAAAGTCATGGAAGAATAGCCAATGTGAGAATAGGTCCTTCTTGAATATACTCTCCCATTTTTCGTTCAGCAAAAAGTTGATGACGCTCGATCGGAACGACAGCAACAATGGCAATTTGGCAAAGCCGTCTAATGATGAGGGCCACCAGCTGAGAGTGGAGTCGTCGAAGAATGCAACGCTCTCCACAGATTTACTGCCTTTAAGTGCAGCCAACACGGAACGCACAGCCCTCAATAGCAGTTTGGATATATCATTCAACCATTTGTCGTCATCGACGGGCTGCTGTTTAAGTTTCGCTTCCAGGAATTTGTGCACCTTTTGCAGAAGTTCAGTGATTTCCGGCGTTTGGGGCAGGATATTCAGTTGCTCAAAGATATTGTTGAGTACCTCCAGTGTTCGCTCCACAAGTTTCAGTTCCTTAATTTTGTTGCCCAGCTCGTTGCGCAGCGTCTCGAATGTCGGAAATTTGGCAACGTATTCCTTGACCTCATCAAGCAGCTCCTCAACGGAATGTAGAACCACCTTGATCAACTCTTGCGCTGCTTCATGCAGTGGCTTCAGCGCGTCACTAATTGCCTTGCCATAATTTTTCAGTGCAGGTCCATATTTCTCTAGCCAAGCGACAAACTCCTTGACCACATTAGTATAGATGTTAACTAGCTCGATACGCAGTTGTCCAGCCACCTTTGTCAGCGATACAATCAATTGTTCCCAGATCTTAAGCAATGAGTTCTCCCACAGATCATTCAATTTATCTAAAACTTCTTTGAATGTCTTGCTTAATTTTGCATAGTTCTCCGATATCGTCTTTGTTAATTCATCTATTGCGTTGCTTATCTTCTCGAAGAGGGTTCGTCTAAAATGGAAAATATCGAAACAGTCATTATAAGATTTTAAGATCGAATGGCTGGGTACATTAGATACCCTGTAACCAGTTTCAAGAATACAAAGGTGTGCCAAGACTAATTTGAGAATAATATCAAATTTAGTTTCTAATGTACCCTGTAACATCGGCAAAACATACGAATTTGGGGATATTAAACAATTTGTTGAATCTATATATAAGAGAGATTGAGTTTTTTTTGATAATGATAAAAGCAATACTTACACAGCTTCCACGATTGGTTTCAATGAGGGATCGCTTTCGAGCTCCTTAATTATATTCTTCAACTGACTCTCGTATCCGGTTTTCAGTTTTGCAAAATCTGGTGCACTGTCCGCAGCTAATTTCCCATTTCTCTCAACATCCTGACGAACCTTTTCAAAGCGTTTTTTCAAATTGTCAGTTATTGCGTCTGTTTCTTTCTTGATTTCTGTTTCCACAGAGTTCTATTGGGAGATGAGTAAAGCCAATATTAAAATAAATCTACATATAGGGCCATTAAACAAGTAAGAGTTCTCGACAACCAGATAGACATATATGGTTGGATCGGTATACATAATTCGCTTACCAAAAATGCTTTAACATCGTCGTCATTTGTTTTGTAGCTGGTTTGCAGGAAGTTGGGTGGATCCAGAGCGATGCGTCCATTCAAAATGGGCTTGCCAGCGCCAATGACATCGAATTTAAGTTCTTTGCCAAGCTTCAGCTCAGCACTGGCATCAATTAGATCTTGTCGCTTCAGCGTGGCCTTGGACCAGGTCGGTTGCAATTCTCCGCTGAATTCAACAGATTTCTGTCCGAAAATCTGGAGTTTCGAATTGATTTTAGCAGTACGCTTTTGCCAGTCGAAGTTACCAACTAGCCGAACGATTTGCTCGTTCAATGCACTCAGTTGGAATTCAAAGCGCTCTTTGTTGCCAAAGATTTGCGCATCTGCCTTCAGATCACCTGTGCTGCTTTGCAGCTCGCTGCTGGCACTAAATTCCTTCGTTTCCAAATTGAGGGCTGACTTCGTGTTCAACTCATACTGGAAGCGCAGTCCGGTTGACTTGATTTCGTGCTTCGAACTCAAATCGAAACCTTTTTCCGTCTGACTATTGCGAATGAGTTGAGTTGCAACTATCTTTTGCTCAGGTGAGCGGAATATATCGAATGTGAGCTCACTGCTTAGTACGCGTTGATTGCGATTTGCATCGAATGTGCCGCTAATGCTCAAAGGACGAATTGTGGGATGCTCCACCTTAAGCTGGCCTTTTCCAATGAAGGACACCTGCTCAACGCCTGTCACATCTAGCACCGCCGAGACTCGTGCCACATCATTTGGTCTCTGCAACTTGTCTATATAGAATGCAGCCGACTGTTCATAGCGCCCGAAGAGTTGATGGCGATCAGGTATCTGTTGCTTAGTCTCAAACACAATTTGCCGTTTGGGCAAGGTCAATTGAATGGTCGTTGCTGTCGGGTCAGCGGCGACTGTTAGCTGATATTTCAGATTGTTGCTGGATATGATGCGAGCATCGAGATTATACAAAGTGTTAAGGTTTTCGCGAATATTCTTCGATTTCAGCTCCAGTTCATAGGGATAGCCCAGTTCGCGAAGATCTAATAGCACCAGCACATCATGCTGCAGTTTGTCCTCAACGATCTTAACGCTCGATTGCAACTGTATATTGGTGCATTGTTTCTTCTCTTCACATATGGATAGCTTAGTGTTGAATTCCTTGTTCGTCAACTTGATGGTAGAGACGCCATTTTTTGGTCCGAAGTTACCGTTGAAAGTGTAAGCAAAGCCAACTTCCTGATCCTCGTCGAGATTGTATTGTTGGCGTTGAAGCTTGAAATTGCCATTGTGTGTTTTACCTTTGTATTGCACCTGGCCCTGACCCTCAATAATTGATTTCTTGTGCTCCTTTTTCAAATTGTAGCTAGCACTGCTAGAGAACTCAACGCCTTGTGCATGCTTAAGCAGCACCTTGATATTTTTACCTTGTGCCCTCACATCCAAGTCGTAGTTGTTCAGGTGCAATTTCTTTGAATTCCAATTGCCAACAATATAGAAATCATCGACACTCACATACGATGCCTCGCTATTCAATTGCAAGTCCAACTCGATCAGATTCTGTATATCCAATGATAGCTTTGCTTTACGCTCGCCCAAAATCTCTATGAATGCAACTAGAACAATCGGCTGACTATCGGGTAGGGTAGCGCGTAGGTCGAGTCCTTTCTTGTGGCTGGAACTATAGATTTTCGAGTCGAATGAATAGCTCTTGCTGGCCTGCTTCACCTGTATACTGAGTGTATGGCTGCTTTCGGCTGGCTTCTGATGCTGTATTACGACCTCAATATTCTTCAAATGCTCATTGCTAGTGTCCAGCTTGTAGCTCAGCGAAGCTGCATTGGCATCGTCGAAGTTAACGTCCGCATCACTCTTAATGTACTTGTCGCCATATTCGGCATTGATCGTGAACTTCTGTTTTCCTTTGGCGTCGCCGTCTCGGATGCTTCCGGTCTTCTCATTTTGGTAGCTGCCAGAAACTTTAACAGGTGCTTGCAGGAGGTTATTTTGGGCATTGAATGTGTAGGTGCCTTGCTTGGCATTGCCTTGCCAGACCGTATTCACCTTTGTGTATTCGCCGTTGTCTGATTTCGTACTCAAAACAAATTCAACTATTTCGGCACCCACTTTGCCGTTGCTGCTGAGTTGAAGATTTTTGAACTTAGTTTCGGTCGCTTGCAGATTGAGATGCACTTCATATGTGGCCGGTGTATTTGACTCACCTGCACCACTATATTTGCCATTCAGATTAACTGTTACACTCTGGCCATATTTACCCGAAACGCGTCCCACTAAATTCGTATCGCTCAGCTCATCAATGACCACTGCAACATCAATGGGTTTCTCAATCAAATGGCCTTCTACTTTGACTCCAACATCGAAAGCCTTAGTCTTAGCGGCTTTCAACACATATTCGCCGTGTGCAACGAGTTCAGTTTTTTGTCCGTTGAAGTCCGTGTAGATCAGTTGATTGTTAACCGAAATCTCCTGCGTCTTAATATTCATTCGGTCCAGTTTGCCTTTGAATGAGATCGATCGTTTTTTGCCGCCAGCTGGTTCCTGTTCATTGATTTGAGCATCAAGGTTGCCTTGTCGCACTTGGGTCCTGGGATTCGTTGTCAGGTGACGATTCAGAGTGCCATCGACAATACGATTTTCGGGTGTGATCAGCTTGAATGTACCCTGTACATCGCCATTCGTACGCCATTCACCCTTCACGACGCCATTAGCATCGAACGAATATGTCTTCTCGTTAAATTCGAGAATGTTTTTCGTTGCAAACTTCAGCTTTTCAATATTATTTTCAGTTTTCAGATGGATCTTTCTGCTGCCATCTAATGTGATGCTGCTATCGATGTCGTATTTCGGCTGCTGGATATGGAACCTTGTGTCGATCTCCAGCTTGTGCTTCGGCTCAGTCTTCAGTGTTTCAACTGTGGCCACAAATTCTCCTTTGTTATTCTTGGCAATTTTGAAATCGGCTTTTGCTGTCAGCACGTTCTTGATTATCAAATTGACTTTGGCTGCTGAGATCTTGTCTTGTGGATGCTGTGATTCGCTGAGCAACTTCAGTAGCTCAGAGCTGTCGCGACTGATGCGCAATTCACTATTTGTTTTCTCAGGCGTGCCCAAGACCTTGAGTAGCCATTGTACAGGCTTCTCCTTAACCGTAAATTGTGCAGTGCCCTGCAGATCGATGTGGATGTCCTGTGCCGAATACCTTTGACCCAGGTCACCCTTGGCCGTTAGCGAGGTGCCCCAACTGGTCGTCAGACTATTGTCAATATTGAACAGGTTGTTATTCATCTGGCACCTAGATACGATTTCAATTGTGTGCTTATTATACTTAGCCTTAGCTGACAATTCATAGTCGTGCACAGAACGTTGGTTTGCCTCATACTTGATATCGACTGTTGCCAACTTCTGCTCGCTCGTGGCTACCACATTGAATTCAAATTGATTTTCATCAAATCTCGTTTTGACATCTAACGAGCCCAGGCGCTTGTTCTTCTGCTGGACAATGACACTCTGGCTAAATTTAGCCGAACGCAATTTATTCGAATTGGCTGCATTCACAAAGCCCCACTCAGTCTCGCTATTTACCGACCACTGTAAAGCCTTGCCTACCAATTGCAGTGTGTAAATGTCTTTGCCGATTTTCAATTGGGCTGAAGTTCCGTAGATGTTCTCCGGTTTTCGCTCATCGTTCACAAATACACCCAATGCATATTGATTGTTCTCTAACTTGAAGTTCGCCTCGAGCAAGTATGTTTCCTGATTCGGCGATATGCGAAGCTGCGATTCCAGAGAGGTGGGTGTAAGGTCAATCCAGCCATTTAGCTGAATACGGTCATTGTTGCGATTCAATATTTGGAAGTTTTGGAAATTGTATCTCGACAGCACATCGCCTGTCTTCTGGACGACAATCTTGCCATCAGCATGATAGCCGTTGATGTTGTTGGTGAGACCATTCTTGTCTTCGATCTCGATCACTGGCTTGTACTCATTGCCATTTTTGATGAAGCCAATTTTGGATCTCTTAATATCTTTGTTCTGTTCGTGTTGGCCATAGATCACAAGCTCTTGATTGCTGTTCTTGAAGCCCGCCTCAATCGCCAAATGATATTGCGAATTGTCGAGCGAGAGACGTCCGTAGATATTTGGCTTAGTACCTAGCTCGAACGCCAAGCTCGTATCATGCGAAACCTTTGACTCAGGTGTGCTGTATTGCAATTTCCATTGCTGACTACCCGTGGGCAGTGTCAAGTGTGTGCCCTTCACATTGAACTTACGCTCGGCCGTCAGGTAAACGGACAGACTATAGTCACGTGACAACTTTAGCTCATCAATCAATGAGCTGTCAGTTAGGAAAGGTGTGCTCGACTTGATACACAGGCTCAGACCCAAATCATTGAATTGATTCAGGCAGTTTTCAGTTGGTGGCGACGCCTGCTTGCTCTTGACCACTTTCAATGCCACCGGCTTGATTGGCTTATCCTGTTCGGCTACATAGAACTCAGACTTTACCTGTATGTCGATTAACTCAAGTTTCTCACGTGGCAACTCGACATTCACATTGAAGCCGTCGCCATCTTTGATCAAAGCAATTGCCACATCGCTGCCAGTTGCTGTGTGGGCACTCGTTGCCACGCGCACACCTGTCGCCAACACCTGTGTGTTGAAGCCGAGCTGTATGTTAACATTGACGTCAATGCTGGGCACAAACTTTAAACGATATTTGGCACGCTGCCAATTCTGTTCCAGAATCGCATTCACATCGATGTTGACAGCGAAATCGACTTTGTTTGCCGCAAAGCCTTGAGCGCCTAGCTCCAAAGGTATACCCACACCAGTCGGATAGCTGAGTTGGCTGTCCAAAAACAATTGATGGCTTGCATATTGTTTCTCAAACGAGGTCAGTTCTTTTTTGGCCTTGTCGAATGCCTCTGAGAAGTGTTTGATGATATCGTCCAAGGTTGTTGGTATATTGTCGCCCAAGCTCAAAAATGCCAATTCTGAGCCAAATAGTTTGATCGATAAATCTAGATTCAAGTCTTGGATGGACTTCTGACTGCCATAGGTCTTATATTTCTTGCCAATCTTGGCAACGTCGTCAACGAGCGAACGACGACCTCGACCAGTGGGATGACCAGGGTTCCCAGAGTTGCCAACTTCGATCAATTTAACAATCTCATCGAAATCTTTGTTCAACAAGCCCTTGGGGCCCACATAATATTCGAGTAGGCTTTCGAGATTCTCTTGTCGGAGATTCGCTTCGAATATATTGAAATTGTTGCCCAATATCTCGGCTGTCAAATTGAGACGCGCAGAACGTGGCAAGAAACCATTTTGTGAGTATATCAGCTTATAATCGGAGCTGCCACTCAAGCCCAACGCATCCAGGCGATAGGAGAACTCGTTGTTGAAGCTAAAACGACGATAGTCTTTGGGGAATTGCTTTGTCACTTGAATATTTTCGAAATAGTATTTTTGATGTTCCCGCGTCGGATCTGTCGAATCACGAATTACTCTCAAATTGGATTCTATAAAGCTTCCAACTTGATGCACTGGCTCGGCGTTAACAATGTCCGAGATCTCCTTGGCCAACTCAACACTTGGACATTTGATGGCAGCCAAGTAGGCCTCAATGCGCAGTTCAGAATCTTCGTTCGTATCCTTAAGCAACTTCAGTGCCTTTGAACTCAAGTCCTGCTTGCAGTTAACAGCTGAAAAGGCTTGCAGAGCTGCGACTCGTATGCGATTGCTACGACCAGGTGTAATGCATTCACTTAATGCCGCTGCCACGTTGTTGACCAAAGTCTGGGCATTGCCAATGCCTTTCAGTACGTAGACAATGCGTTCCTCTTCCTTTTTGGTATTCGGCTTGCAGTGTTTCAGTCCATCGATAAACCTCTTAGACACCTGCTCAATCTCATTCGATTCACACTGATTTTCTTTGCAGAATTTACCAACCAAATGGCCGACAGCCAAATAAATTTCTTTTGGCGCAGTTGGCAGAAGCTGCTGAGATGCTTGATGCAAGGTTTCCTTGTCGACCGTTTCGATTAGATTCAGTGAGAAAATGGCCAAGAGCTTTTCCTTCTCTTCAAACTTAGGCAATTGCTTCAATATGGCTTTAGCGGACTCAGCTGTATTTGTGCGGAACAGCGCGTCCAGGTAAACTTTCCGTGCCAAGGCCTTCTTCGGGTGCGGTGACGTCGACAATTCAAGCAACGTGTCCACGTGGGAGTGGCGCATCAGCCGTATGAGCTCAACAAACTTCTTGGCTGTATCTTTCTTCACATAGTCCGCCGTCAAGTCGACAAGTTCATTCACAACGGCCTTAAGAGCAGGCAGATTTTTCGTAGCGTACACATCGCTTTTTTCGAAAATAATGCTAACGGGTTTCGCTGCGACCGCCACAGGTGGGGCTGCACCTGCTTGTCCGGCTGGGTTCTTCAGCTTGAGCGTCGTCACTACCTTTGCCGTAACATCGGAGCTGCCCTTTGTGCTGGCAGCAAACTTATAGACTTCATTCTGTTGAACATTTTCCACAATTCCACGCTCGAGTTTCAACTCTTTGCTGTAGTCGGACTGAAAGATTGCACTGCTCGTGACACCTGCCTTCTCATTCAGGATGCCCGTTAGCAGACCGCTATTTATTTGCTCACGATGCGCACAGTTGTTAAGGTCTCGCACCTTTGTCAGGATCTCACCATTGCCAGATTTCGCGGTTGAGCTATGGGTTGGGCACGAGCCAAACACGTCGATTTCAGTCACAGCACCTGTTTGGGTCTGCAGCAATGAGATAATCGCACGCTTGATGTTTAGCGAATAACTTGTTTCATCGGCATCGGCACAGATTTGTGGTTCCAGTTGGCCATTGGCTAAGGTGAACTGCACTGGCTTTTGAATATTATTTAAGATCTTGCGTTCCACAGACTCCTTTGTGTTTACCACCTTAACGGTGCCCACCTGCAAGGTGTAGCCACAATTTCCACTAGCATAGATCTTTGCTGTACCAGTTACTTTCAAGCTCGTATCATCCGCCTCAGCGGCACCGCTCGGACTCAATCCGACCGTTAAAATGCTCTCAAAGTTGTACTCATAAAAATTACCCGGCTTATACTTTAACAATCCATTGTCGGCTACATAAATACATGTACACAGAATGAAAATAAATTATATTAAATATTTAATAAGTACACATTGTAACTCACCTCGAGGACATCCGGTTTTGCAGCTACCATCTGAAATTTACGCATTTAGAAATATATTAAAAATATATACGAAATGTATAAATATATTTAAATTATATATACATATAATTTTATATATACATAAATATAGATGGATACTAAGAGTGTTCAAATAATTCGGGCTTTCACCCAAGGTTTATGGTTTCAAGATAATCTTGTCTTAAATATTTAATCAACAGTGCCAATTGAGTAATTTGAAATGAACAAAAAATCGTTACCTCGACTTAAAGATACTTTTAATGTAAATTAACAGATTTGCTACTGTTATTTACATTATCTGTAATAAGCAAATATAAATACTTTAAATGGAAAATTCTAAAAATAATTTAAAAATGGTCACATTTTCTTTAAATTAAGAAGCAATTAAGGCTATGTTCTTGATATCCTATCTAAGCAACATACCCTTATTAGCAATGCATGCGCGGAAATCAAACAAAACACTTTAAGCTATGGACTGATTGCAAATCACAATTAAAGTCAAAGTATATACAATACATTTAGAAGTTTTTATTTACCATTAAGGGTCTGTATATTTATATATCTGTATATTTATATATGTATCTGTATTCACAGATACACATAGATATATATTTATACAAAAAAGACGGTAAGTATATGGCTATAAAAATACATCATGGTATTATATAGCTACATATATGTATAGACAGCTATGTATGTCTGTAGACCATTTCACATAGGTGATTTCGGTTTATTGTCCCAAAAATGAAACCTTCCTGTATTGTAATGAATTGAACTGTTCCGGGTATTTCAATTAATGTCAATTAAAGTTAATTTAAATACAAAAAAAAGTAATACAAAAAAACAAATAAACATTTTTGTCCGAAAATAGGGTATCAAGAACTTGTAGGTAAAGTAGTAATGCATTAAAGACGCGACGGTAATTTAATCCGTATTTAGAGTATATATTTTAAAGATACTTGTTTATTAATGTTTCTTTTTGATCTAGAGGATTTCTTGACATGTGAGTAGACGACTGTATTGTTTTTATCAGTTAGTATAAGTGTACTTACCGGAGCTAGCTGTAGCCACAAGTAGCAAAAATAACAGGAATCCACGAATTTGTATAGGAACCGCCATCCTTTTCACTGTTTTGGCCCCCTTTGGGTTAGCCTAACAGAAATTAATAATACATTAGTTACATCATTATTTTTATTTTGTTTAAATTTTGTATTCTTTTGTTTCTATATATTTAATAAAGTTAATATAATATATATTTTTATTGTACTTTATTTAAAATTGATGCTTTAATTCGTATTTTTATTTATTTTTTTCATATATATTTTACAATTTATTGTTTATGTAGAAGTTGATTTTTTCTCTTGTGATTTATATATATATATATATAAAATATATATAAATATAAAATTTATAGAAATTTAATTTTAAATTTATTTTTTTTTTTTACTTTTTTAAGTTATAATTTTTTTTTTAAACTACTAGTTTATATTTATTTTTATTTATCATTATTTTCCATATAAATTTTTAAATTTATTTTTAAAATTTGACTTTTACTTAATTTATAATTACCTAAAATTCTTGATTTTTTTATTTAATTCATTTTTATTTTTTGCTTTTTATTAATTAGAAATAAATATTCTAGTATTAACGTTTTTAATTCTTTTTTAAATAATATTTTTAAGAATAATTTGAAAATTGTTTATTGTTTAGCTATTTATATTTTTTAAATTGGATTTTTTATTTGGGTTTCTTTACTTTGTTGAATTTATTGGAAAACAGGATATGTGATAAGTTGATCGTCTGCAACTCGACTTATTTATTTAAATATAACACAAAATCCATATATCCAAAGCCTGGGATTCCATCCTAGAATCGATTTGAGAATATATATATATATTTTTTTTTAATTTTCATTTTTATATATTTTCATTATTATATATATATATATATATATATATATATATATATATATATATATATATATATATTTATATTTCTTGTTATTATTTTTGTTGTTGTTTTTTGCTCGATATCATTGGTGAACATATTTTATTTTTTTGTTACTGTTATTGTATTTTTTTCCTACAGCCATGGAAAGGACTACATTTTGTATACCTTGATCACAGTTGAAATTTGATTTAAATTCCTTTCACTGAATTGCGTTCATAGAAAAACACAATCCCAGCACAGAACACTCAACTCGCGACACTGATTTAATATATGAATCGGATCGGACGACAAGTGACTTCAAATTAAGCCGTATTTTCCACTAGAACACAATTTAAATACAACGTCTAATGTGTCTGTGTATAACATATATCTATATAATTTCGCGTGTGTTGTGTGTGTGTGTGCATGAATGGGTGCATGCATGTGTGTGAGTGTGTCTTTCTTTATTCTGAAAGAGAGAGATATAGAGAGAGAGTGTGAGGACGCCTACTTAGCTTCACAGCTCTCCCACGCGCTTGTATGTGTGTCTGTGTCGTTTTGTCTTTTTAGTGAGAAAGTGAGAGAGAGAGACAGTTCTTACTTAGCTCCACATATCTCTCTCAGGGTAAGCGCTTGCTCTCACCCATAGCAATATCAATTTTCAAGCATACAACGTAAGGGTGGGTGCTGTTGCTGAAGCTACCGCTGCGCTGCTACTGCTGCGCCGCTATTGCTCAGCATTTCTATTATCTGACGAGGACTTAACGCATCCAACCCATACTCATACACCCAGTGTATGTATGATTGTGTGTCTGTGTGTATGCATACATACCTTAATACAAACATGTATACATGTGTATGAATATGTTAACCAAGTGAGAGTGATCTAGTATCAATCCCAATGATGAGATAACATGTGTACCCACATACACCGGAACAAAAAGTCAGCTAAATATAATAATATATCGATAAATGAGGCTTTGAAATTATATTATGGCATTAATTACAAATTGTGCTAAGCTCAAGAATATTGAATGCAAGAATGCGAGGAGGAATGAATGCTTTTCTCTCAGTGTACACACACAGGGGTATCACACAACACTCTCTACCCCCTGCACACATGTTCAAAAATGTATTTCCACATAACTTTTTATTATTTTTTTTTGTACTCCTGATACCAAAGTCGAAATCTATATCACTTTGGGAACCATTTGAACGATTCAATTGCTAGCTCGGGGGTAAAAGAAAAGTGAAAAGTAAAATCTTTCCACCCCACTAAATCTGTACACATCTATATGTCTATATGTACATATATTCATGTGTACATGTATGTATGTATGAATATATGAACTGCAGCTAATGGCTGATAAGAAACTTTAATCTTTAATTAAAAGTTGCTCGAAAGCAAAACGCGGCTCGATAAGCAACACATATTCCTCTTGCTCAATACCTGACAGAAAAAATTACAGTTCGTAAGAGAGAATATCGCTTCAAAATTCTTCCTATAAGTTCTGAAATTCTCTGATTAATAATTGTAGATGTATAGATACATATCTGCACATGCAATTGATCGATTTATCCATTAACTAGAAGCTTCAAAAGCATTTGGGCTTTGATACATACATATATTTATATGTCATATTATATTATTCACTGACAATGCCACTAAGATCGTGCTTCTGGAAGTTTCCAAAGTTCAGTCAACCTATGTAGCTTCCAAAAAAAGGAGAGGAAGGGGCGTTAGAAAGAACAAGCACGGGTTCAGCAAGCTTCGCAAATACTTAAGTGTACATGTGTGGGTAAGCGGCTTATAATGTTTAGCGTATCCGTTAATCTGGCATCCCGCACTAGAGTACTCTTATATGCCTCTTATACTTGTTTACGAAATGATAAGAATATATTGGGCTTGTGCAGTGTCCATCCGCCTCTGGAATATGTGAAGAGTTAGGGCGTGACGAATTATGGTTAGCAGAAACGCTATTGCTTAAGGTGACTGACCTTTCAAATTTATGAATATTTTGTGCTGACATTGCAAGTATATATGTCTACGCCTAGGAATACTTAACCACAAAGTTACTGTTGACTGAATTTACTAAAGACTACATATATTTTCGTTTTATAGCCAAAACAAACCGGCGAATTCTATAACTCTTAAGGCTTTGAGCTAGAGCCCCAAAATTTGACGTAAGTCCAACTCTTAAGATTTACAAAAACGATGTATCTAAGCCAACTTCATTTGATGTTTTTTACCTTGAACGAGAATTATTCAGTCGGTCGCGCTCTGCAACATTTTTATTTGACAGATAGCTAAAAAGGAAATATTTTAAGAGTTGCTTAAACCTTTAAAAATATTATTTATTATTATTATAGTTTAAATACAAATAAACAAATTCTTATTTTTGTTTTCTTTTTTTTTAAATATTTTTAACGGCTTTTTGGTTCTGAGCAACAGAAATGTAATTTATAAATATATATATATATATGTATATATATATTGGTTATTCAGTGAGTAAATTTTCAGTATGATGATTAGAACTTAAACATTTTCTAGCTAGTGTTTGCAAATTGTGTTTGCAAACAAATATTGAACATATATATATATATATATATATATATATATATATATATATATATATATATATATATATATATATATATATATATTTTTTTTTTTTTATATATTATATATATATATATATATATATATATATAACCATTCCGAGTCAATTTATAATATATCTCTAATTATATATATTATGGAGTATAAAAATTTGTATTCCTAACTATACGATTTTACTATTCGGCCAACCGAACTTTTCACTGCGCTTATTCCAAAATCTTTCGAAAATTTCAATAAAAATTTATATTTTTATGACATTTTTTATATAAAGTATCATAGCTAAATTATCTAATGGTCTATCTTCGGAGGCGGACAACATTTATCAACTTATTAATTAAATATAGTGCAATTTTAGAACTGTTGGATTGATATATATGATAGAATAAATAAAGTTACATATATATGCCTGGTATTTGCTGTATATATATTCAGAAAAATAAAGTATCCAGAATTTAATATAATTCAGTTTTCACAGAAAATTATAAAATGTTATAAGTTTTATAGATAATAAAATAAAGACAATTTTATACGATATAAAAAATATAATAAAATTTAGATTTATTTAATTTGAAAGAAATCTTATTTAAATTACTTTTATATATAAATTGAATTCAAATCAAAAGAAAAATTAATTGTAATGAATTTTGAGAATTTATAATTTTTTCCATTTCCTTTAATTACATATATAAAAATATATATTTATTTAATTATTTTATAAAATTTATTTTTCATATTATATGTACATATATATTACGTTATCTATATTTATATAACATATAATTGTGAATTGAAAAATTGACTTGCTTTATGTAATTTTAAAAATGTACAAAATTGAAAAATATTAAAAAAAAATCTATACAAATATATAAAGAAAATTTGAGAATTTCAAAATATTTATATTCAATTTATATAATTAATAGAGAAAACGGAAAATACTATTTGAACTTAATACTAATACTAAATATTTCAAAAATTTGAAATTATTGAGATCATTTTTCTTAATTTGTTAAATAAATAATTAAATATATATAAAATAGAAAATTAAACAAATTTCATTTATTCCTATCATAATAATAATTCATTATATGTGTATAAAATTTGATATAATACAAGTGTAATTAAAGAAAATGGAACTAGCTCATGTTAATTTTAGATTTGATCTGAGAAATAAGTGAAGCTAAGAAATCCAAAATAAAAATTTTCCTATCGAAGTTCAAATTTTTGAATTTAATTTATAAACTTTTTATATATTCTTGATCAGCGTATAAGTATAGTAAAGATCATTGAAATCGTTAGTTAGACTAAGCGCATCTGGAATATTGGAAACCCTATCTGACATCCCTCAGCGTTGCTCTTCTTCCTTTTCCTCTGGCTACGCTACAGCACAGCTCTCTATACTAATGCAATATTCTTCATAAAGACACTTTTTTATTGTATATTGGAATTATTGAATTATTATTATAGTTATAATTATTGTTATTGTTATTAAATTACTTAATATTAAATACTATTTTTATTTAGATAGGCAATTTTTAAATATTTTAGGCACTTTTTGTAAACTTTAATTATATATATTAAATTTATATATATATAGCAATTTGTTGTTTTGTTTTGTTTTGTTTCCTTTTCTGAATACATAAATTCATTCTCATTCTTATTCTTATTCTTATGCCTCAGCCCCAGGGAACGACAAAATTACTTGGTAGCCTATTGGTAGTTCCGTGTTTGGAATGCAATAAGGTATGTCAAAGGACGGAAATAAATAGTTTGGCTTAGTAATTCCAGTCCAGCTTTTTTCTCTTTCGTTTCAGTTAACATCCGTTTCGGCTGAAAATCAGAGTGAAGTCTAGTGTAAACATATTATTTATTATCCTTCAGACATTGGAAATTGGAAATGTGTATGGTAACAGGCAAAAGGAGGCGTGGTGGACCCAATAAAGTATACATATTCCTGGCCATGACGAAGAGCTGTTTTTGAATACATATTCCTGTAAAGCGTAACGATAACTCAATCCATTTGCTTACTATCGATAATTATCGATTATTTGATTTGGTTTTTCCTGTGTGAGCTCATGGGATGCATTTGCAGAATACAAATGTAAACAGCTCACATCCTTATATGAATGTGTACGTGTGTGTGAGCATGTTATCAACTATGTATAATCTACACAGGGTTCAGGATATCACTGAGTAGAGCATTATCGATTACAGTCCTTTTAGTTGTGTTCTCGCGAAATGAGCAAAAGTTCTGTTCGATCTTGGAACCTATTAGTGATATATATATAGCTCCTATAGCAAACATAATAAGTTTCTTTCAGGTAATCTACTACGAATATAAACATCATAGAGCTTCAGTAATTTAATCAGGTTTCTCATTTGTGCTTAGAGCTAGGGTGAATATGAATATTATGACAAAATTAATATTTTTTAACGGCTTCTTTAGCTTTGCCTATTTTTATCTAGGAAGAAATTGTATTTTATGCTGGCTAAGACATGATTTGGTTGTTCAGGGAGGGAACATCAGTTCGAAAGTTATATGAAGCAGTTCATAGTTTTTATTTCATGTTTTTTGCCTTTAGCTATTGTAGTTGGCGAGATTCGCAATGGTTAGACGGATGCAGGCATCCAGACTGACGGACGGATAGGAATATATTTGGTCACGCTGTCTTCTGGCTACGACAGAAACAATATACACAATTTCATAACCATTATATGTAATGGGTGTTCAGGTTTCAATGTAAGTGGTCTGATCTCACTCACAATTAAGGACATCCACATTCGTCGACAACCATTTTGGGTAGATCACGTTTGATAATACCATCATCGCCATAGTATATCAAGGACATGCTCGAGAATTTGATCGGAGCACAACAGGGACGCATTCCATTTAGTAAGCCCATTTTGCGGTATTCCTCAATGAAATGTGCGTGAAATGTCTGAAACGTATCTGGGGTACGAAAGGGTCCAGTACATTCGCCCCTACAATAGTTAGCGAAATATCCGCGAGGCGCAATTATCCAATCATCCCAACCGAGCGCTTTGAAGGATACGTAAAATGATTCCTTGCAACATTGTCCGCTTAACGCGCCACCACAATCGATCGCACGCCGGCGCACGCGTCGAGGTCTCATCGATTCCGTGTGAAGGACGAGAAATGGACGATTTGGATTTACGTAACGATCTGATGCCGATTTCAGTCTTGGCCCAGACAGTTGAAACAATTGTAGAGAGTACTGACTGCCACATCCAGTGCAGTCGATCAATAGACGAAGATTTTCCCCGCTCGTATCACTGTACCATTCCCGGATCGTTTCGGTTAGATCGAACTTTTGCCAACCCAAACGCTCCGTATCCACTTCAAATAGAGCACGAAACAGAAATGCCTGATCCATTGCCTGTGCATGATAAAAATTCAATTACTTTACATGTATAGTGTATGGTATAAAATATATTAAATCTCACCTTTTCAGTCATATTTATACCTTCGCTCATTCGAAACACCCAGATCTTAATCCTCTGTCTGGGCACATTGGCGTGACTCTTCCGCTTAGTCTTTATTGTCTGTTGCACATAGCGATTCACAGTTCCGACTTTCAAATCCTGTCTTTCGATTCGTATATGCATTTGCGCACTTCTAATGGATATCTTCTGATTGGGTAAACCCGCTTTTTGCGCCGCAAACTCCACTATGCGATATTGCCGATATTGTGCACCTTTATAAAAGCAGTTCAAATGCAATTGAAGTAAAATTTGAAACAGCTAGTGAGTACTCTAGTCGGGAATGCACGACTAGCGAATATCCTGACTGATCATGGTTCACCGCAGATTGGCGGTATCAAGAATTAAAAATACTCAAAATCCAACAGCTAATTGATGCTCATATAAAATTTGAATTTCTTATTAAATTCGAACTCCTTTAATTGAAGTTTGTCAATTTGAGATTCTGATATACAAAATATGAAATGAATCAAATGTATGTATATAAGGCAAGTGTAATGATCCTGGTGATTAGATAACTGAGGTTATTTGACGTTTATGTTGATTTCCAAAATCGGAAATGTCCATCAAAGCACCCCTAAAATGTTTGTGCTTGGGCTTAGGTCTTAGGTCTTAAATATAGACCGACGGACAGAACTAAGCGGACGAATAGGTATATACATTAATACTTATAGTTTTAATATTAATATTATTTAAATGAGAAACACCCATTAAATCGGTGTCCAACTAACCCAGTTATAACAGAGATACCTATATTTCTAATTGAAGAACATTAACCAATATACCCCACACGGCACGTGTGAAGCGTGTATTTGAAAAAAAAAAACATTGTCTGACGAAGATTAAATGCCGACTAGAGAGTACTCTCGTTATATGTACGCTTTTTTATCGTTTTGCATTTTTAATTGTTTACCCTGTCTGTTGCTCTTGTTTCACACCTAAGAACAATAGTGAAAGTACTTCACCGTAGCAGTCTGCAATAACCACTCAGACGATAGCACATTACTGCTACGCATATATCTACATACATACGAATGCTTGTGTATGTGTGAGCAGTCTGGGGTCGGAAAGTCCCGTCGACCAGACAAAAACCAACGCACACAATGAGGGCCACACACGTGCACACTGTGGGTCTGTGTCTCTGTGTGTGAGCTGACAGTGGTTTGTATGTAACTTGCCTCCAACAAGAACAAGAAGACTGTAGCGGCGATACTTGAGCCCGCTTATACGCTGCTCTAGTATTGTACTTACAACAAGGTGTCTGCATACGCATGTATACATACGTATTTGTAGCTACGTATGTGTATGTGTATGCGGCTGCTGACTCTGCTTCTTACGCCTCATTCTTTCATTGACTTGCTAGGCTTACCGTATTATTTGCCGTTAACATGTTCATGCATTGCTTCAATGAATATACACAAACATACATATGTATACTTGCGTTACTAGTAATGCAAACTCTCTGTAAAGAGCGCATACGTCTGGTATAGTTTATTCTATTTGTTTTTTTTTTTTTATTTCTTTTTGTATTCGCAAAATTGTGTATGTAGAATAAAAGGAATCGTAAAAGCCTTAGTCTGGCTGAATACTTATATCGATAATGGGTTACTACGAGCTACTGCGAAAGTATAAGTCTCGATATTTCTAAGGTATATGTATGTTTTATACATAGATTAAACTGCTAGCTGCACTTATTGAATTTTTTGTAATGTTTTCGTTGTGAATGGATTGTTTTGCCTATCTAGCTATAGAAAGTGGGCAATAAATATTGAGATAGCGAAATAAAATCAATTCGAATACCGCTTAGGTTGAGGTTAAATTAAAATATATAGGTTAAATATTATGTAAGGCAAATCCAAAAATTCTTTTCAATTTAAATTTGAGTTTGGCGGTTGCTCGATTAACTATTGAGTTATACACCCATCTCTAATAACAATCACCGTTCTACTCATTTTGGCACTGTAAGCTACAAATATCTTGGGAATTGTACAAAAGCGAGTCAAACATGGATGGAATTAAAGGGTTGGCACCGCTGTGGCTGTGGCAAGCCACACTGAGCAGCGGCACTGAGTCTAGCAGCTAGCCGAGCATATTTATGTAATATATCTATAAATAGATCTATTGATACTTACCCTCCTCAGCGAAGGTAATTATCTCTTGCGTGCTGCCAAAGTAGTCTTCGCGATCAAATCCATTGTCTTGATTCTGCACAGTGATGGTATCGTATTCTCTGGTCTCTTCTTTTTTTACACGCGCATTATGATTGGCTGTGGGCTTGTGCTTATGCTTATGGTCTTTGTTATGTATTTGAACACTGTAATCGTTAAAATATATATGATCGCCGCCGCCGCCATCATTTATATCGTTATTGGTGTTATCACTATCACTACTACGATTTATATCTATGAGATATGTTGATTTACTATAAGCATTTGGCTTCGTTTTCTTATTCCAACCACGAGAACTGTTGTTCTCTGTTCTTGCTTGTGTATCCGATCTTTGGATAAACTTGGCCCTTTCTGTTTCTCTTTTCGGTTCCGGTTCCGGTTCCAGTTCCGTTTCCGTTTCCGATTGCCATTTAGGGGAGTATGATCTCAAATGATGGTACTTAGTTTTATTTCTACTCTTACTGCTGCTCCTATTTGTAGTGCCAATTATATATGCCATATTTGAGCTGTCCAAACGATTCTCATTGATCTCGTTAGCTCCTGTTCGCATTCTCTTTCGCTGACTGCGATCACGAACATGATTTGCTAAGATGGCGTTGCTGTCAAATACATCGTTTGTCACCATTTGTCCGCCGTCTGCTCGATAGATTGTCTCCCAGATGAACTGTTTGGGTAGCGGATGGGATACATTTGGTTTATGGGTGAGTCCAAGTTTTGCTAAAATTTGTCGTTTTATCGATTCTAAGCGAACACGATCAGTGACCACAATATTGTTATTTGTTTTCTGAATACTTTTTTTATAGGCATAATTGTTATTGTTGTTGTGGTTGTTGTTGTTGTTGTTGTAGTCTGTGTGTGGGTTATCTGTGTAAATGTGATAATTGTAAGGTGTTTTTTTCAGAAGCTGTATGAGAAGTGTACAAATATAGTGTTAAAATAAAGTGTACCTACACACAATATGAATTAAGCTCTAATCGAATACATAGAATATAACAATTTTATTCCTGCTTGTTCGTTCTATTTTGAAATTTTTTCAGAAGTAAATCTATTCATTATATGATTTTAAGTTATTAGATATGTTAAATATCGAATCTTTTGATAAATAAGTTCACACACAGTAAAGGTGTGGATTACTGAAAGCCAATACTACAAAGATTAAAGGGCAGTTCCGTTAACCGTGTGACGGCACAGTCTCACTAGCCAGTCATACATAGGTAGGAAATCTAGAAGAAACGGTTCCCGCAAATAACATTTGTGCGGCAAATCCCAATTGGTGGCTGAAATGTTACATCATTAAAGCTAAGGAGCCTCCACCATTAGTAACTCCACTATGCTCAATTTGGTTTACATACATATATACATACAAGTGTGATTATGTTCAGATGTATACACAACTAGCTGAGCACAGTACTGAGATGTCCCGTTTCTGTTTTAAATGTAAATACTAATATAACAATTGGAAAACGCTAATTATTCATATATATATATATATATATATATATATATATATATATATATATATATATATATATATATATATATATATATATATATATATATATATATACATGTATGTTTTGAGAGAGAGACAGGGATCCCCGAGCTCATATGAACTGAAGATTCTTCTAGATGTCTTATCTTGTCCTATGATTGAGCAATACTAAGTCTTTTAACGCCGCTATCTACATATGATTGTATTGTATGGTTGGTGGCATCGTTAACATATTTGAATGCTGGCGCGACTTGATCATAGCTCGCACGAGTGATGATGCTTGAGCGCAGCCACTCATAAGGGCAGAGTTGAAACATCAATTTATCGAACTCACTCTTGTCGCTGTAAAAGTTCCCCTCCTCGAGCTGGCAGAGAGTGCAACCCTTTTGAGTGACAAGGGTGGAGACGTAGCCGCCGCTACTAGCAATGGCATTGCAGTTGATGAGCTTAACCTCTAGCCAAAATATACCAATTAGTAGCCAAAGTAGGTTTGCACGATTGCGCTTGGTCTTGCTGCTGCTATAGTTCATTGATGGCCAGGTCGAAACGAAAGCTGTCTTTAAGGTCGATACGCCCACATCCATTGGAGGATATGCACTGCGTGCAGTGTGTACTTTAGTTGATTTGTTGTTGCTGTTGTTGTTGCAGTCCTGTCCAATTGTTGTCCACCCCTCAATCGATAAACAGGTATCATCACTATCGTGATATTGTTTCTGCTTGCTATTTCCTATCTGTCTGCTGCCATTGTTGTTATTGTGACGACGTCGTCGACGGCGTCGGCGCCGACGTCGTCTCCTCTGCCTCTTGCGGTTATTAAAAAACATTTTGCACAAGTTATTCGTTTTCAATTGCTGATCATTGGTAATATCATAGGAAGCGTGACCGTGCCCATATTGTTCCTTTAATTTGCTGTCAACATTATTGTTGCTGGTGCTAGTGGTGCTGCTGCTGCTGGTGGTGGTGCTGCTGCTGCTATTGTCTGTTGAGTTGCCTCCAGATTCATGCCTGGTGGATGCTTTCGACATAAAGCTTCGATAGCTAAAATTGACCAATGCTAAGTAGCTGGTTATCAGTGTGAGAATGGCAACTATCGATTGGCAAGCTATTCTGACAACAACTATCGGTCTAATGCTGATGTCTCTACTGATTTTATTGCTGTTGCTGTTTCTGCTGTTGTTGAAGCTCGTGCAGGTGCAACAATAGCATACAACCATGCAGCATCCTTGTCGACAGCAAAAGCAGGAGCAATTATAGATGCATTTGATGTCCTTTGGTGTGCCTGTTGGCTCCGATACAGCCATTTCCTGCTCAACGATTTCGAACATCATTATCAGACTCTGCTTAAGCAGCAGCTACTTCATAATTTTATCGTTGTGGTCTTGTTGCCGTTGCCTTTAATATGTTGCGCATACTACTTATTCAGTAATCTACATTCTCCAATGTTTGTCAACATTTCCTGTCTATAATGAAGAAACAAAATACTATTATTACTATAAAGTACAACTAATCAATTCTAAACATGTACGTAGATGAGCATGTCCCAACTAAGTGCACCAAGCAATTCGCACATGAATATGATTTACAAAAAAGTCTAAGAAATATCAGTAACCCGACGGGAGACACCCTTCTCAAAAATAATCATGGCAAAATACTTAATTAATTTTGTATATCCTTGCATTGCACTTAATGCATACACACATACTTACATACAGACATACTTACACGTATTCATACATATGCATTCAAGACAACAGTTGAAAGTATACAACACACAATTAAAATAGTGGGATCATAGATAGAGAGAGACAGAGGATATTTCCCTTCATCGTAGCTAATGTGTGGCAGCAATATATATATATATATATATATATAACATAATTGCCAATACGAGTGTAGTACATAATTTTAAGAGAGAACTTGGAATTAACCAAGAATAGTTGAACAGTGGGACCATATCAAGGGAAATGAGCAAAATATATATCTGTGTGTATATTGCCTTCCTCGAAGGTTGTTTTTAAGCCCATTTGATACACTTGACAAAAGTAATTAAAATTTTGTTTGAGAATTACATGTATTCATTCATACATATGTATATATACATATGCATTAAAGAGAACAGTTAAATAAATTCAAATGTAAATAGTGGGCTCATGTATAGAGAGTGAGAGGATATTTCTCTTCATTACACTAAGCTTATGTTTTGAAAGTAAATAAAAAATGTTAAATAGTGGGACCACAGCAGAGAGAGGCTATTTCCCTTGATCAAAGTATGCGTATGCACACAAGTATAATTGCAAATGTATATGCAGAAAATGGGAGAGAGAGGATATTTCCTTTTATCACACTAAGCTAATATGTCGCAGTAATATACATACACAAGCACAATTGCCTATACATGTGTTAAAGAAAACAAAACGCTCAATAGTGGGACCATATAGCGGAGAGAAAATATCCCTTGATCACAAAGGGAGAGAGAGGATATTTTCTTTTATCGCACTAAACTAACGTGCGGCAGTAATATATATTGCCTATCAATCGCGATCAGTCGTTCGACCTGTAAAGACGTGAATTCGAACAGCCTTCGCTTAAGCTCTACTGCTGCAGAGTTCTAAAAATAGAACTTTGCGGTGCATTCTTCAACGCAACAGCAACAAAAACCGCACACGCAGCGTTTTCTTATCGCTTGCTTCCGCGTAACTCAATTGCTTTAATTGCAATTTACGAAATTTCGTCGCTTGGCGCGAGTGCGCCTGCACTCAAAAGCACAATCCGCGATGACATCTAATGTCAATAACCTCGCTACAGCTGTAAAGGTAAATGCAGAAATGCAAGCCCAGCTTAACGTTGTGATGGCAAATAGGCAAGCCTCCATCATGCCAATAAACTCAAAAATAGATATCGCCTCCGTGCAAGGCATCACTAACAACAAAAACACGAAACGTAAACAGCCAAATTCACCAAAAACCATCAAGAAAAGGCTCATCTTCGACGAACCAAGCACCAGCAATGCAGCATTAATATCAGAAAATCGATTTTCACTGCTCGTAGAAGAAGATGAAGACTACAGCGAATCACCTGTAGCTCCAGAAGCCCCAGTATTGACCGACCAGCAAACTACTCCGAAACCTCGTCCGCCCCCCATATGGTGTCCAAACATCAAGTCTGTGGCCCTACTTCAACAGATAATAGATAAAGTAATTGATGCTAAATCATACGTAATTAAGCCAAAGAAGAATAACATAGGTGTATTAACCCAATGCAGTGAGGACTATCGCAGAGTTATAGACCACTTTACTAAGCTGGAATTGGAGTTCCACTGCTACCAGCTTAAGGAGGACAAACCATATAGAGTCGTGTTCAAAGGGCTTCACTCCAGCACTGATACAACACTAATTAAAAAGGAATTGGAAACCAAAGGCCACACAATTACAAATGTGCACAACCCACTGAGCCGTATGGACAAAACACCGCTAAATATATTTTTTGTTGACGTGGCTCAGGCCCCCAACAACAAAGAAATTTTGGACATTCGAGTTGTCTGCAGGCAACGCTGCACAGTGGAACTGCCAAGAAGATACAACGACCTGACACAATGCCATCGCTGTCAAGAATTTGGACACACACAACGCTACTGCCACAAAGCTCCCAGATGTGTGCGTTGCGCCGGGAAACACGCATCCAAAGACTGCACCCGCGAAAAGGACCAGGCACCAACTTGTGTGCACTGTGAGTTACAGCACCCAGCCAACTATAAGGGCTGCCAAGTATACAAGCGGTTGCGCAAATTGCAATCCCCAGCACAAAAAAGGAGTCCCACACAAACACCGTCTACGGGTCCGAGTACTGCTTCCGAAATTACAAGGCCCCGGAGCATTACCCAAGCCACGAGCTTTGCAACGCCTATTAGTGGTGTTTCTTACGCACAGGCCGCTAGAGGTGGACCGTCAAATAAGAATACCACAAGTGACACTTTGTTCACTGAAATGCTTCAGCAACAACAACGTCAGTTTGACGCAATTAATGCCGAGCTCAAAGCGATGCGAGAAGTACAATCCCAACAAGCAACCATGCTAAACAGTTTAATGGCCATCATAACCAAGCTTGCCTACAAATAATGGCTTTACGTGTGGGTATCTGGAACGCCAATGGCCTGAGAAACAAGACTCAGGAACTGGCTGCGTTTCTCTCACAAGAAAACATAGATATAATGTTAATAACAGAAACTCATGAGTGCCCCACTACACAAATTTTCGGATACGAACACTATCAGGCTCATGGTGAAGGAGCAAACTGCTTTGGTGGATCCTCAATCCTCATACGAGCAACAATACCGCATACACCTTTACTGCCAATTTGCAACGCAACAATGCAGGTCTCAGCCATCACCCTGCCTACGTCTATTGGAGCGATCGAAGTTGCGTCAATTTATCTTCCGCCAAACACTGGTCTGTGTGATCATCACATGGAACAGGTTCTAGGCCAAAGGTTGAATAAGACCCTCATCGGCGGCGACTGGAATGGATGGCACCCATTTTGGGGAAGCAATAGTGCGAATCGTCGCGGAGAAGTCATATTTGAGGCGATTCAAAACTTACAATTCAGCATATTGGCGACTGGAGCCCCCACCCGTTACCCAATTAATGGACACAGGCCCTCGGCAATCGACTTCGCTGTCTACAAAGGCATCTGTGACCGGCAATTGACCATTGAAGAATCCTTGGACCTATCCTCTGACCACCTGCCACTAATAGTCACAATCCACGCGCAGCCACAGCCCTTGCCCATTAGGAAACAACTACTGCCAGCAGGATCAGATTTAGGAGTCTTTAGGCGCGAGCTCCATTACTCTTTGCACATAGAAATGGAACTTAACACTCCTGAAGACGTGGACTACGCAGCAAACAAACTGCAGGAAGAAATAGTCAAAGCTGCGCACCAAGCCGCCCCACCATCTTGCCAAACAAGACAACAGTCTCCGTACAACATCCCCCTCACCTTGGAGGCCCAACACCTACTAATACACAAAAGATGGGCCAGGAGACGCTGGTTAAGATTACGCACGCCTGATGCCAAATCCATGTACAACGAAGCCACGAGGCATCTTAAAGCTGCTCTCGCCCTGCTTCAAAAGAGGTGTATCAGCGATGCGCTGGTACGAGCTGAATCGCCCACTGACGCAGAGTTTCAATTATGGAAATTTACAAGAAAGCTCAAACGGCAGCCAATACGACGTCATCCCATTCGGAGCATTTCTGGTTCCTGGCACATTGGAGACGAAGCTCAAGCTGAGGCTTTTGCAAACCACCTTCAAGACCAATTCACGCCGGTGATTACCGCAGAGGCCTCAGAAATCGAAGCAACAGAAGACATCGTTCTCTCGCCCCTCCCAGCTGAAGACCAGATAACTGGATGTACAAAAGAAGAGGTTCTTGAACACATCAGAAGAGTGAAGGCAAAAAAATCCCCTGGATATGATCTAATAAACGGCAGAGTCCTTAGAGCACTGCCTGACTCCACCATAGACTACATAACTATGGTGTACAACGCCATGCTCCGCATCCGGCACTTTCCAGCCTGCTGGAAGCGCGCCGTGATTGTGATGATTCCTAAGCCTGGCAAACCCGTGGGAGAAATTGAGTCGTACAGACCAATTAGCCTGTTGCCAGTACTCTCCAAAATATTCGAAAGAATATTTCTGGAACGAGTACTGACACATCTGGGACGCCAGGAGGCCATTCCAAACCATCAGTTTGGCTTCAGGAGACAGCATGGAACACCGGAACAGGTTCACAGAGTTGTGCACCATATCCTTGGAGCCTTTGAAGAAAAGATGTACTGCTCTGCCGTCTTTTTAGACATCAAACAGGCGTTTGATCGAGTTTGGCACCTGGGACTGCTGCAGAAAGTGAGGACCACCCTTCCAGCCCCATTTTTCGCGTTGCTATCCTCATACCTTATTGGAAGAACCTTCCAAGTGTCAAGGGGGCAAACAGTATCCTTGACTAGACCAATTATGGCTGGAGTACCACAGGGTAGTGTTCTAGGCCCAACACTTTATACTTTATTCACAGGAGATATGCCAACTCCCGAGCCAAATATAGGAAGTACAGATGCAGTACTCATAGCGACCTATGCAGATGACACCGCCATCTTATCACGTCACGTATCTGCGCAAGAAGCTTCAGACTCACTACAAAAATATCTGGACTCTTTCGGACGCTGGGCAAAACGGTGGTGTATCACCATTAATGCACAAAAGTCTGTACATACTACCTTCGCCACTAGAAGAGGAGATTGCCCAAGCGTTGCATTGGGGCCCACTATTCCCAAAGCCTCAAAAGTAAAGTACCTTGGTATCACTCTTGACAGAAGGCTGACTTTTAAAGCGCACATAAGTCAAGTAACCTCAAAATGCAAAAGCAAGCTAAAAACCCTCGACTGGATGCTGAGAGCTTCAAGCAAGTTGTCTTACAGCAGCAAGGCCGCCATCTACAAGGCAATAGTTGTCCCAACCTTCGTATATGGTATCTCTCTATGGGGCTCCTCGGCGAAGACTACAAGGAACAAAATTCAGACCCTGCAGAATAAAGCACTACGCAGATGGACTGGAGCCAGCTGGTTTGTAAGAAACTCAGTCTTACATAGGGATTTAGCAATTCCCACAGTTGCTGAACTCATTGGGCGACACAGTTCAAGATACGCGGACAGACTTGCAGCGCATCCTAACCATCTCGCAAGCAACCTGGCTATAAACAACAATAGGCGAAGACTGAAGAGATTGCATCCTCTAGACAATATTAGAACTAATTAAGATAGTAGCTACAAGTGCAGAATAATTGGCATATCTGCCCTCCCATTAGTTAAGGTTTAGAGCTAAATGCGCTATAGAGTCTAAGACAATAAGCTGCAACAAAATAAAGAAATAAATATATTGCCTATACATACGTAGTATACATATTTGAGAGAGAACTTAAACCATATCGCGGATAGGCAATATCTCTTGATCACAATATACGTATGCGAACAAATATAATTGCAAGTGTGTGTGCATTGCTTACCTTGAAAAAGGTTGAGAGGAGGCAGAGAAAGAGAAGAGGCCATGCTGTCCGATGAGATACCAATGCTCGTAGACACCGCAAAAGGCACAAGGAATCGAACGAATATGACCTGCCTCACACAAATTTTAGTATTGAGCTGATTTATTTTAGATGGCCCCATCAGTAGTAATAATAGACTTTAAACTTTTAGCAAATGTATATAAAACAAAGCTGAGGCAAAACTGATGCATGCGAAAGTGTACGTATATTTTAGTATTTCTATTCAATGTTTTCCCCGGAACACTAACATATAATATGTGTTCACAAGTCCAAATATACTACAAACCATTTGTAACGACTGACTGACAAAAGGATGCGACGAGACGACGCCAACAGCACTAATATAAATGGCAGCTGAGGGCTATGTGCTGTGGCTGTGTGCTGTGTGCTATGCGCTGTGTGGAAGGGGTGCAAGCAGGACACAACTACTGCCACAGTCAACTAAATTGGAGAGTTTCTTAGCTTTAAGCTACGATGACACAATCTATTTTCTTCTTTTTTTTAAGATACTCAATTGCCTTACCATAGATTGCCGTTGGTATTTATCACACTTGGCGCAGATTATTTTTTGTTTTGTTTAAATCTCTATTATTATATGTGTAGTTTAAGTATATTTAGTTTGTGCTCAATATATGTAAACATTTGTTACGCTTGTATTAATAAGGCTTTTATTGGTTCACAAGTCCAAGTGCTAAGCCTAACTTGTTGCTAGGATTAAGTAGTTGGAATTTGCTTTAAATATCAACTATTTATTAATAAGCTCCTTTAACACTAACACTATCCATCATAGTCGAAAACGTGCACGTAGTTTGTTTACAAGTAAATCTACATATGCACATATGTAGACACACACACACACACGCACACGAACGTATATGTATGAATTTATTTCGCTACACACTCTCACTCACTCACACATACACATGAATACACATATGCAGTACTAAAGTATTGGAGACACTCCGTCTGGAGCACATTTTTTGGAGATGGAGTGAAATTCGATTGCCAGCCAAAAATTGCAAAAATTCACCAAACTTACATTCAGACACACACATATATATATATATATATATATATAAATTGATTTTATATGTATATATATATATATATATATATATATATATATATATATATATTATACATATGTATGTGTGTACTTTAGTGTTAGCAAATGTGCACACATCTAAACATACATTCATCTATCCATTCTTGTGTATTTTCTCCATTTGATATGGTTTTATTTCCTTATCTTTTAATTTTTTATATATATTAAATTTAAAATAAATGGAAGTTAAATTGATTTTAAATTTCCTAATTTAATCAAATAATACATATTTTTGTAACGTTAATCAAATATTGGATATTAAACATATATATTTGTTATATGAACTTTGGCACGACCTTGATTGAACTCATCAAATAAATATATATAGTTATATATACATAAATATATATATATATATATATATATATATATATAGATATATAGATATATTTGCTAAACTTTTCTTGCTTGATTCACTTCATTTAATGTAACTTTAACTTTAACTTTAACTTTTATTATTTTTGTTTCATCGTCAACCGTCCTTGCATTGACAAAAATAACGTTTATTCCGCTCGGTGTTAACGGACGAAATGAAAATTGAAAACCGAAAACTAGTAACACGCAAGTGAAACAGAATGGAAATCGGGTTTTCATCAGCTGATACAGTAGACACTTCTTTGTGACATGATGCATGCATGAATTACACATTGCTAACTCATTTATTTAATTTTAATATATAGTTCGGGTACGGAATGAATTTCAATTTTAAAGTTGTTCAAGAATATATGTATAAAATTAAATCTGTTAAAATTTCATAAATTCATAATATAATATTATTCATATAAAATACACATCAGGAGGGCAACAAGTCATTAGAATTGTAGTTTCTTTAACTAGAGCTCACTGTGCATAGCGCTAAACAAAATTTATGACAATCAGCTGATAGTTATCGCATATGGACTTAAGCTCAACGCTACAAAGCTATATATTCACAAAAACCTGGTCCCTCATTTTTATACATGAGCTTAACGGAAAACCAAATAATTTGCTTACGTATCAGCTGCTTGTTGGTAGAATATGAACCACGGCTCGTTGCTATATAATTAGCCAGCCTATGGTACGACATACGTACGCAATTTAATGCTATGAGTATTTTATATGCATATTTTTATTTGAAACTGCATAACGGTAACGTTTCAAGTTTTTTTGTTTGCTTTCTTTGAACTTACTGCCTACAATCAAAACGTTCGCAATATGATAAAAATTAATTCGAATGTCTCAAACGTTTTTGAATTATGAACAGCTGATTTGCTTCTTTCTAGCGATGACAGTCGTGCCTATTCTGTCAGCTGTTATGTTGGGAGGCTTATCGATATTTTAGTTTTAAGTTGACTCAATAAAGCGCAAGTCGATAGTTGCGCAGTATTAAAAAGTATTCGATTGACTATCCGTAACTTTCCATTGTGAGCGCTTAAATATATATTTTAAGCTATAAATAGACTTAGGCAATTTGAATTACTCAGGAGAACTCTTATGCCCGTACGTTAGACGAATACCCAACGATATAATATTTGGCCCAGGCAGAAAGAGGACTTCTTAATATTTTCCGGATCAAGTTAATAAGCTAGCCAACATATTGTATGACCGCAGTGATCTAAGCCACAAAGTTTACGCCCTGTCGCTGCCTAAAACGCTATGCATGCATGTGTGTTTGGCTGTGTGCGTTTGTATGTTTGTGCGCATGTATTGCTTGTTATATGTGCACTTAGAGTGGAATGACTGAATCGGCCGCTCTGTGCAGGGTTCAGGGTATCTTCCAGTCAGGCACTACCGACAGAGCACTTTTACTCTGTTTTTATTGTATTTGTGGCTGTAGGAATTACGCTTCGCTGCCTTATTTCCTATAAGCATAAGTACTTTATACATATATGTATGTATGTATGTATGTATACATATATGATCATAAAATGCATACGAGCAAACAATTTAAATATATAAATATATGTTTGTGTTTCAAAATTGTAAATTGTAAAATAAATGTTTTATAAAAATAAAGTAAGTTCAAAATTATTTAGATTTTCGTAGACTATGTATATGAAAACATGATTATAAACACACACACATGTGTATGTATATGTATATACAAATATATATACATAAGCAAACAGGACTTGTTGGTTTCGTTAACTTGCAGAAGGATGTGTGGCCGATCATATAGTATATTTACATGATGCATGCTGCCGAAGTGTTCATATCCTATTAAAAGTTTTAAATAGAGTAATAAATAAAAAAATTTATTATAATAATTATTAAATGTAATTTCCATATTAATATCAGTATTTTCATAAATTTGTGTTTATTTATTTATTTTAGAAAACTTCTTATTTATTTTTAGCTTTGAACTTTATATTTAATATACGATGGATGGTAAATTTAAATATATAATAAAAACATTTTCCAATATATATTTTATGTCTTTTTAAGCTAATTTGGTTTGGGTTACATATTGCATCCGTGAACTGAAATACCTTACTCCAGAGCAGCGCACACATATGTATGTACGTACATAATTATATATGTACATGCATAAACAAATATACATACATGCATGTAACAATGACGAAGATAACAGCAGCAGCAGCAACAACAATAGAGCACAACTATAGCACCGTCAGGCAAAAGCAAAAATCAACATTAACAGAAAAGGCAACAGTCAAAGACCAAAAGAAACGTCAAAAAAACACAAAAATAAAAATAAAAATAAAAAAGCAGCAGAAAAGCAGTCTCGGTTGACTTGCAGACCGTGAAAAGCCACGAGCCACGATTGAAATACCGAATTTCATACCGAAAACATATGAATACTGATTGTTTAAATAAAGAGCAAGCGGTATAGATGACTCTACAAGCGCACACACACATACACGCACACTGAGTTGCTTGCACAAACATGCCAGCACACACAATCACACACACACATAATAAAATGGTTGTACGATCAACACACACACATACTAATATGCCGTAAGTAGCTCTGTATATGCATATATATATATATATGCACATATAGATATATATGTATATATATATATATATATATATATGCATGCGTAGTAACATACCCTACACATGCACACATGCTTATGCACACGTATGTTTTATATAAAGAAGAAAATGGGTATGTAATGCATACGCACTAGGTATGTTATATTTATGTGTGTGGATGATATTTCTCTGATTAACTAAGCTAACGATTTATAACTTCGATTTAATATATATTTGTTCCATATCCCAAAATTAAAGTAAAATTATGTGCACCTATAAGAGATCCTTGAATTACCTACCAAACGGGGTATCTTCTACTTCAACTAATTTCTACAACCAATAAAATGTTCCGTTTTGACCAACTAGAGACAGCTGTTAGTAGATACTGTAGATCGATGAATCTATACATAATAATCTATATAGCATAGACTATCTAACTGTACTCTGATACATACCCATATACATATCCATATTGGTCTATCCATGTGCATATCTATATATAGACAAATGGAAATGGTAAGTTGGTTATAATATCAATTCTTTCATCGCCAAAGAAGGACTTCATGGTTACCGTGTGGCAACGGGAGCGGGAAGCTAGAGCTGTGTGATAAATAAGTTTATTGAGTTTAAAATATGACTTCTAATAATCGGTCAGAATTTGTGCGGCAAATTACGTCATTTGGCAGCAGAAGTTTTATTTCCTAATGCCCGAATGGGAGAGGCTTTGACCCGAGTAAAGCTTGGCTCTGATAATGCCTCGACTGTAGTCAACTTTCGGTTGTCTCGCCAGTCCCGTTGAGTGTAATCAACAGTTGGACTGTAACGGAATGCGGATGACGATGTGTGGCAGCTATCCTCCCCTCGACTATGATAAGTATAGAAACCGAACACGAATCCATTATGAATATAGATATGTATTTAATAGTTGTTGATCAATCAATACAGTGGGTGCTGATACAGTTCTATTCGATCTGTGATCTATTTATAAGATATATTAGACCCGAGTACACATTCCAAAGTGGCCAAGTCCTTTATTTATGCAATCAGGAAGCAAGAAAAGCTTAGCAAATATATATATTTATTTATTTATAAAGTACATATGTACATATGTAGACAACCATATACGAATACGTATATGTATATATGTATATATGTACATATGTATATATGTATATATGTATATATGTATATATGTATATATGTATATATGTATATATGTATATATGTATATATGTATATATGTATATATGTATATATGTATATGTATATATGTATATGTACATATGTATATGTATATGTATATGTATATGTATATGTATATGTGCTTGGCTGTGTATGTGTAATCGAATTTTACTCCTTATATAAATATATGTATATATATTTTTTTTCTTTTCATGATCTAGTATTCGAAACTGTAAATTCGACTGTCTTAGCGTCTATGAAGAGCACTTTTATATTGATGGATCTATATACATATATATTTAATAAACAAAAATGTTGAGGAACTTGAACATTCTCGTTTATTTTGTTTTTTTTTTTGTCGTTGTTTCGTACTCCTGAGGCGAGCGTTGAACCCAGACCCTCTTTTTGAAGACTTTAGTATCGTGTATTAAAGGTAAAAACGAAGTAATAAACAAGGAGGGTAAAGGTAACGAAATAGGGAAGGCATGGGGTGGTTTTTCGGATCGGCGTCACGGTTCCATCTATCAAACAGGTGT